TTCAGTTTGGAACTGCATAGTACCTCGCTCCCATTTATTGCCATGATTACTTGTACCAAATAAAGTGTGAGGGATGGACACAAATAGGGGTGGGAAGGGAGTAATGAACATCACAGCAGCAATCTCACCTCAGACCTCTATAACCAGCGTGATCCGAATCAGTCAGTCATAGTGTGAGAACAAATTTAAAAGAGAACTAGAAATGTATTGTGTATCATGCGATATGCGAGTTTGACGAGCAGAGTAGCTTAGCAAATTAAAGTGAACTTTGCAAAGAACTATTAGTTTTAAAAATTTAATTCTGCCATGAGGGCAAAACTGTTGAAAGGAACTAGGTTTGCTGACACAAACCCACAAATAATACAAGTAAACTGTATATATATTTCATTTTCTAATATAAAAAACTTTGACTCCAAACTTTGCAGCAAACTCGCTACCATTGAATCATATTACAGCATTTCATTCCACTGAGAGTACCAATGTAAATCTTCTGTTTTTTTGTATTCTAACTTTAAGAAGCTGGAATTGACTATAGCACCAATTATGTGAAAATATACCTCAAGATATGGCATTTTAACTGTGTTTTTTTTATTTAAAATAAAGCCCCTCAGCTCAACTTGGTAGAGAATATATGTTATATACTTTCAAACTTTTCTGTAGACAAACAGCATGCCTAGGCCACTTGAATCAACTTCAACATAAAGTGATCTATATTGTAAAGGATAAAATGTGTTTGGCAGATACAGAGAAAGTAATTGGATTTCAGGGTTCTGAGATCTGCCGATAAAATTTATCATGTCATGACAACAATCTGATTCTATTATTGCCTCGTATCTCAGCTATTTATTATCCTAGATGTCCTTTTTGTTTCTTTTATCCCTTCTATCTTGCATTACTTTTTTTGTGCTCATCAAGATGAAGAATATTAGCGCTGGGAATTGAAAACTTTCACAATAAGTAAGTGCACAGCTTACCAGTTCAAAACACTAATAAGTTCCACAATTCTACAAGACACAGTGTGGTGGGGGCACCAGATACCATCCTATAGCTGACACATATATGTATATATTAGTGAACCTACAGTCATAGATACATACACAGCATATATACACTAATTGTTGAATAATGTGCGTATATACTTATTATTGATTGATATGGCTGGAACTGATATATCAATATATATATAACACAGTTCTAGACATATTAATCAATCATTACTACAAAATCGTTGCTAAGAGTATTCCATTTTCTTTCTTCTGATCTGTCCTGTTGCTTAGTACAGATGGCAGCATCAAAGATTATTGATTGATGTGCTGTGAAAAGCTGTATTTTCATTAGAAATATAAGGAAATGATATTCTTGATAGATTTTGTCTCAAACGATTCACTTTGTCTTATTTCACCAAGACACCATCCTTTGCGAAGGGCGCTATATAAAGGCAAGTTATTGTTTTATCCAGAGCCCAGGTTCACTATTGACTGGACTTACAATATGACACACCTGTGGCACATTGAGATAAGTAATCAATATTTTTTAGTTTACAGTGATTTGGGTATCTAATATTAAGTAGGTGATTTTGAAAAGGTTTCACAGTGATTGATTGTTTGATCAGTCGTAAACACTTTGTGATGTGAAATTGAAAAGGGAACAAGACGTTAATTTGGACAATTCATCTTTGACTTCTGTAAAAAGCAGCTCCTGATACACGTGCATCAACTTCAAACTGAGACTCAATATCTACCTATTGACAAGGATCTATCAAAATGTTTCCTGATACAACAAGTAGATCGTATTTATGAAAATATAACTTCTTCCTTAAAAAAAGAAACATTACCAGCTCAAATATTCATTTGCACGTAATTACACTTTTAAATTAATTCAAAGATTAGGCTGATTATAAAGTAATGCTTAACTCTCTGACATAATGAAAAGTTGAGAGTAGAGGGATTTATTTCATTCCCAGGGAGAGAATAATGAAAATACAGAGATTAGCTACTCACTCTCTCACCAAAGGCCTGTAAGAGGGAAATTAAATAAAAAAGAAAGAAACTTGGGCAGCAGATTCTTACTGATGCAAATTAGTTGGTCAAGCACATCACTAATTATTGCAAGTTCCTATTGATTCAACAGAGGACTTCATGAATTAAAGAAACACAATGCAAACTGTAAGACAGTGAAACTAAAAATGAAATGGAAAGCAGATGGAAGAGAAAAGAAAGAAAATCCAATATACTATTTGATAAAGCTTTTATTGTATCTTCTTCAAATATATCCAAGCAAGGGCAATTAGATATTGGATGATTTTGCTGATTAGGTTTGATAGGTGATGAATCTTTTAACTCATATAACCCGCTGTAATATAAGGAAAAAAAAATCTAGTGTAATTTTTTTGGACATAGGTTTATTAAGAAACAAGAGAAACAGGAGAGGACAGAGAGGACTAAGAGAGATTGAAAGTAGAAATACGGAAAGAGGCACATAAATGAAGATGGAAGTAAAGACGGCAAGAGACAGAAGAATAATCGGATAAAGAGAGAAATAAAAGGGAGGGGGAGAAAAAGACATTTTAAAAGATGGAGAATCAGAGATGAGAATGTGTCCGATCATTCCTTTGCACAGCACAATGGTGCTCTTGTACACGACATCACTGCTGCATTAACTTGGCACTTATTTAATGGATGCAGCATTTGAAATATTGGTAAAATCCCAAATATCAGTTTTGAGATGCATCAGCCTTGTGAACGTGGTAAAAAATAGATTGTACGACAGCACCCAACTATAATTGCCCTGCACAAATGAGTAAAACATGTGAAAGAGAACTCAGCAGGCACCAAAACATGAACAGCACTCCTACAATTACACGGCACTTTACAGTAAAATCCCTGTGATGCGCTTTGAGACATTTGGATAATGTGATGAAACCTTTTATCAAATATAATAATTCTTGATTTGATATAGTGCTGTATCACGCTGTTCAGACGTTTCAAAGCACTTCACAGGATATATTGTAAAGTGGATTGACTGTATATTTTGTGGGCAAAATGCAGCAGCCAATTTCACATCGCAGTGTCCCACAAACAGTCGTGGATTGAGTGACCAAATTAATACCAAATGCAAGGATTATTATACAGTATTATTCTTGGTAAAGTGTTTTCAGAGGCCACTATTCTGATTTTCTGATTTAATGGCTTTATATTTTTAATCGTAAGGACGATTTGCCTTAGTTTATTCTTTGAATTTAAAGGTAGGATATTTTGAATAACATATTGTGCAGTTTATGTGTTATATAAAAACATTAAATGCGAGAAAAACATTTAGTATGATACAGATTGATCAGGGAGAGGTCAAACTAACATTTGTATGGACCATACTTTGCATTTCGTTCGAGTTTGCTTCCTAACTATGAATCCATTCATTATATTGTGCTCCAGTAAATTATTAGAAGATGCAATATTTGCACAGTAAAGTGTCCAGAATTCAGTCAGAGCATTGTTAATTAATGAAACATACTTTTAGGTTAAAATTAAGGTATCACACAATGCACGCTTTGACCACAACACAATTCATGATGTGTTTTTGTATTACGCATTGCATTTGCTTTCCGGAGAGTAATAATTCCTCCAAAAACAATGTGGTTACTCAATCCGTGACTGTTTTGTGGGACACTGCCGTGCTCGATTGGCTGCTGCATTTGGCCCACGTAAATATACAGTCAATCCACTTTACAATATATTCCGTGGACCGCTTTGAGACGTCTCGACGACTCAGCGATAAGGCACTATATCAAATGCAAGGATTATTATTATTATTTTTCTTTTTGCAGAATTGTACTTTGCGATTATTGTGGAATCCCGTAGCTCAGCGGTTAGAGCACTCGCTTTGCAAGCGAGAGACCTGGGTTCAATTCCAGGCAGGGCGAAACCTTGGGCAAGTTTCCTTACTCAATAATAATTTGGTCACTTCAGTCCACGAGTGTTTGTGGGGACACCGCCGTGCGCAATTGGCTGCCGCGTTTCGCCCACAAATACACCGTCAATTCACTTTACAGTCTATGCCGTGAAGCGCTTTGAGACGTCGCGAAGACGTGATGAGGCGCTGTATCAAAATGCAAGGATTATTATTATCAGTAGTATTATTTATTATTATTAGCTCGTAACAGTGAAACCCGGGACCAGACACGCATTGGCATGTGGAGAGACTAATGCTATAATGATAGGTTTGGGGGTGGGGGGATAAGTAGCTGTTGAGGTTAGTGTCACATGGAGTTGTTTGGGTACCAGTCTGGGGGAGGGAAGAGGGGGGAGGGAGGAGGAAAGGAGGGGGAAAGGGAAGAGGGAAGAGGGGGGGGAGGGAAGAGGAGGGGGAGGGAAGAGGGGGGAGGGAAGAGGGGGAGTGGGGGGGAGGGAAGAGGGGGAGTGGGGGGGAGGGAAGAGGGGGAGTGGGGGGGAGGGAAGAGGGGGAGTGGGGGGAGGGAAGAGGGAGAGTGGGGGGGAGGGAAGAGGGGGAGTGGGGGGGAGGGAAGAGGGGGAGTGGGGGGAGGGAAGAGGGGAGTGGGGGGGAGGGAAGAGGGGGAGTGGGGGGAGGGAAGAGGGGGAGGGAAGGGGGGGGGGGGAGAGAAAAGTGGGGGGGGGGGGGGGGGAGAGTGGGGGGAGGGAAGAGGGGAGGGATTCCCGAGCTGAGAGAGCAGAGCAAACGTATGCGCTGAATGTGCCCAACGCTCAGCATCACTCACTCACTCACTCACTCACCATCACTCGCTCTGAGAGCGCAGCGACGAGCGCGCGTTACAGCAATCGCTCAGCTTCGCAAACAAACCCGTCCCACAGCCCCCGACCCCGACCAACGAGTTCCCCCCCCACCCCCCACCCCCCCCACCCCCACTTCCCCCCCACCCTCAAAAAAAACAACAACAACAGCAACAACAGCCCCCAACGAAGGCAGAGGGGAAGGAGACGCTCAGCGCTATGCACTTGCTGTGGCGGTGGGATCTCGCGTGTTGTATGGCTTTGCTGACCCCGGGGCTGGACAGCCTCGACCCCCTTTGCCCGGGGTCCAGCGGGTCCGCCCGCGCCCGCACCCGCACCCGCGCCCACGGCAGCGACCGGGACCGGGACCGGGGGGACCGGGACCGACCCGCGTGGTATTACGGGCACCTGAGCGAGAACCTGCCCCGGGGGTCCAGGGTGCGGGGAGCCACCATCCCCCTGAGTCGGCTCGGGCTGCCGGGGAGGTGCGCGGGGACACCGGGCGGCGGCGGCGGCGGCGGCGGCGGGTGGCAACTCGCGTTGATGGGCGAAGGGCATCCCGACTTCCAGCTGTATTCCCACCACCGGCGCGGACACGTCTCCCTGAGGAGCACCAGAGCCCTGGACAGGGAGGAGACCCCGGGGTACCGGCTGCAGCTCGGGGTGCGGTGCGTCCGGGACTGCCCGGTACCGGCGGCGGCGGCGGCGGTGTGGGCGGTGGCCGCCGAGGTCCGAGTGGCCGTGTTGGACTCCGACGACCGCCGTCCGGCATTCGCGGCCGCGGGGGTCCGGCCGCTGGCGCTCAGGTCGGTGCTTTACCGGGCGGCGGCCGCTGACCCCGACCCCGACCGGAACGGGCGCCCGGTGTACCGACCCGAGCCGCGCGCCTCGCCCTCCTCTGTGGTGCCCAAGACCGGGGACGCGGTGCTGCCCGAGTCGCTGCTGGACCCGAGGAGGAGGAGGAGGAGGAGGAGGAGGAGGAAGAAGAGGAGGGTGAGGGAGAGGGATAAGCTGAGGCTGGACGTGGTGGTCAGCGACCGCGGTTCCCCGGGGCTGACCAGCCGCCCGTTGAGGCTGGAGGTCCGGTTGCACTCCCCGGTGTTGCCCCCGACCCCGACCCCGACCCCCGACCCGGTGCTGAGGGCCCCTCGGGAGCCCCGGTCGCTGCTGCCCCGGGAGTCCCGGCGCATCACCGTGTCGGAGGACGCCGCCGTGGGCTCGGTCATCCTGACCCTGTCCCCCGGCCGGAGGTTCCCCGCCGCCCGGTACGAGCTGGTCTACCCCGAGCACTCGCCGCTCAGCCTGGACCGGGAGAGCGGGCGGCTGAGCATCAGCGGCGGCCTGGACCGGGAGAGCCGACCCGACATCCGCCTGACCGTCAAGATCCACGAGAAACAAGGTACCGGAGTGAGCCCTCCACCTCCACTCCACCTCCACTCCCTACTCCCTCTCCACTCACTCACTCACTCACTCACTCACTCACTCACTCACTCACTCACTCACTCACTCACTCACTCACTCACTCCTCTCCACACACTCACTCACTCACTCCTCTCCACACACTCACTCACTCACTCACTCACTCACTCACTCACTCACTCACTCACTCACTCACTCACTCACTCCTCTCCACACACTCACTCACTCACTCACTCACTCACTCCTCTCCACACACTCACTCACTCACTCCTCTCCACACACTCACTCACTCACTCACTCCTCTCCACACACTCACTCACTCACTCACTCACTCCTCTCCACTCACTCACTCACTCACTCACTCCTCTCCACTCACTCACTCACTCCTCTCCACTCCACTCCCCTCCCTCCCTCCCTCCCTCACTCACTCACTCACTCACTCACTCACTCACTCACTCACTCACTCACTCACTCACTCCCTCCCTCCCTCCCCTCCCTCCCTCCCTCCCTCCCTCCCTCACTCACTCACTCCTCTCCACACACTCACTCACTCACTCACTCACTCCTCTCCACACACTCACTCACTCACTCCACTCACTCACTCACTCACTCACCCACCCACTCACCCACTCACTCACTCACTCACTCACTCCTCCCCACTCACTCACTCACTCACTCACTCACTCACTCCTCTCCACACACTCACTCACTCACTCACTCACTCACTCACTCACTCACTCACTCACACAGACTGATACTGTATCAATAACACTGATACCCTATCAATAAAACCAATACTGTCTCAACAACACTGATACTGTATCAATGAAACGGATACTATACCATTAAAACTGACACTGTATAAAAACGGATACTTTATCAATAAAACCGACACCGCCGTATCAATAAAGCTGTTACTGCATCAAAACATTGATAACTGTATCCACTTGCGTGACACACAACATCCATCCTTCTCTCAACAGAGATGTTCCGACCCCAACCCGGATATTCCCTTCCTAATTAATAAAAAAAATCATTCATTGATCCAGACTTTCCGTTACAGTGGGTTTATCCGTGGTTTCCTTTCTAACCTTGGCTTTCATCTTAACAACTGTTTTGTGTTAGTTTTAAAAGCCAAGGAACAATGTCACTTGGATTATCGAGGCATTGCGTCTGTTCGATTGCCCTATTAATCTGAGTTACCCCCTCACACACACACACACACACACACACACATAAACCCCAAAGGTACCAAGTGTCTGAGCTCCCAGGTTGAGGGTGTTTGGTGAGTGTGAGGAGCCTGGGTGCAAGGCACTGAGGGCAATGCGATGCTCTCGCTATTCTGCTTTCAGCCGCACGTGTGTCAGCTTCTCTGAGTGTGCAAATTCTCCCAGTAAAATACCCCCTCAAGTGTTTAGAGAGACCGGCTTAACTGGTTGCCGTGATGGCATCTCCGGAAAATCATGGGAAAACTTACTCTGACTTTTTGGGGCGCGTAATTAACAACGGTAAACAGTCGGCCGAAGAGTGAGCGAAATCTTTGCGATGATTTTCCAAAGATTGCCTGTCTGTCTGAACTGTCATTTGTGATTGCCATACTGTAAGTAACGTTCAAATGGTTTGCCAATAGTATTGATAGGAGTTTTATAGAGAGCGAATCGATGTTTCATTCAGGCTCTGGGAGAAGTTATTGGTGCTCGAGAGGATGTTCTTGGATCTTAGCTCTTTTTAATCACCTTCTATTTCAAAACTGACCATCTTCCTTCCCCAGTCTCCCATCTTCAGTTCTTAAGCTTCTATCATTCACTTTCTCCGATTGTTTGTCTGTGTGTATGTGTGGGAGGTGGGTGGGGGGGTGGGGGTGGGGAGAGAGAGAGACAGGCTTATTTAATTTATACATAATTCCTACATGTATTAGACTACAATCCACTCAATCCACGACTGTTTGTAGGACAGTGCTGTGCGCAACTGCCAGTTCAACGAGTGCTTTATTCAACAATAACGATCCTTGCAGTTGATATAGTACCTTATCACGTTGTGGAGACGTCTCAAAGCGCTTCAGAGAATATATCGCATAGTGGCTGTGTATTTTGTGGGTGAAACGTGGCAGCCAGTTGCGCACAACAGTGTCCTACAAACAGACGTGGATTGAGTGACAATTTTTTTTGGAGGGGAGGTTTTACTATCCATTGGAAAATGATCCGCCAATTGACTAATAACCGGGTTCCTACTTACTATTGGGTAAACAGAGATGTGTGGAGTATGGAAACTTGCCTAAGGTTTCATCCTGCCTGAGAATCAAACCCAGTCCTCTCGCTTGCGAGGCGAATGCTCTAACCACTAAACCACAGTTAATTCTGCCCCAAGAGGTCAATCCACCCTCTTCTTGCTGTCACCTGCGACAACTAGTACTGCCAGACCAGTGGGGGTGGGGTGTGAGTGGGAGGGGGCAAACACTTTGGAGATGTGCTGCCCAGATCTCAGCCCACCTTCTGAAATAACTCGGGGGCACTTTGTAAAGCTAGACGGTGTTTGTCACTCTCACGTATGAGTCACTTACTAGTTAATCTCGAGTTAGTGAAGCTTGATAAAGCTTAGCAATTCTTCTGAACTAAGCATCTCACAACCCCTGTCCTATAGGACTTTGTAAAACGGATAAAATAAAAAGTAAATCGAATAATTCACAGGAGTCTGCTTCACTCCTTATAAGATGATATTCAACAGTGTTGTCAAATTTTGTGTTCTAGTTATTTTGTGTATTTGGTGAGGTTACCAAACTACAGTGTCTCCTGTTCTAAAATTTAAAAACAAATGGCAAAAATAAATAGCTACTATGCAATATAATGACTTCTCTGCCAGACAGAAAGGTGACGGTATGTGGCTCCCATTATTAAATATAATATTGAATTGTTCAGCTGCGAATATCAATCTCCGCAAAGTTGAATGATGCCTTAGAATTCCCTCAAGTTTTTGCCAATATCCATTGAGCAAAAGTGTATAATGTGAATCATCATTCGGTGCCAGAACAAATTAAAGCAGAGTCTTGTCAGACTCACTATAATTTTCAGATTAAAACTACAGTATAACAGGAGAGGGGAGGGGACGGGCACTGTCTCCAAGGATCTGCTTTCATTGATTCCTGAAGGGGCGTCCTATCACTAGAGCTGGTCAATTTTGCTTGTTTTAAAGGGCGATGCAGCAAGTAGACTTGGGCAATCAATAAAGATTCTGTTCATGTTTGCAGCTGCCATGCAGTAAATCTGCACCAACATAGCAGCTTGTGGCAGAAAATATTGCTCTTTCTATAGAGGTGCCACATCAGGTGCCAGTTTGTGTTTTATACAGAGAGAAGTCATCTCTCTCAGAAACACACAGCTTCTAGTCTTGAAAAGGTTATTGCATTTTAAAATCCAAAAAGATGGAGATTTATGATGTGATCTTTAATACCAGCGTTCTTTAGGAGAACAGATATAATTGGCATTTGAGTGGGCATAAAATCAGAAAATTGTTATTTCTGCAGGTATCATTGAGTAGCTTAAGTATAGGAGTAGAGGAATGTGCAGGAAGAACTACAGAGGCATTAGAGAGAGAGAAAAATAAGGGATTTAATTCAAATTACAAATAGTAAGTTTCATTGATTTCTTTCACACACTACTTGTCTGTTCGTTTCTGTTCCATATATTTGTGCTAATAGTAAACATTATTCCAACACCAGAGCAGTAAAATATACACTTGCATATTATTCACGTTGGCTTGGACTGTGATTTAATTATTTCAAATACTATACAACAGGCCATTGAATTGTCACATACTCAATTTCCGTTTCCAGCTCTGTGACATTTTGAGGCTGTTAAAAGTGCTGGCCTGTGGTTATAGATGTGTCAGTGCATACACATTATTACCGTCTGACGCTATTTATGTTGCGTGCAAATTAGCTGCCACGATGGCTGCCAAAAATACTGTGAAGGGCTTTGAGATGTTCTCTCGACGTGAATTAAAAGTAAGTATTATTATGTTGATAATGTCTCCATGTTCAACACGCTATCACATTCCGTTGCTGCACAAATCCTACATTTTGGAGCCTACATATCGTGCGAGGAAGACACACAAAATTCATTCATCCAAAGATTAATGTTGTGGCTTGGAGAGTGGCACCTGATTGTTATGTGCCTCCACATTTGTGCTGCCCTCTGGAGTTGCAAGCTCCATGCACCATGTGGTTAACTTTGCTTCTGGCACTCTTGTGTAATGCAAGGCTCAGCTCAAGAGTATCTCTAGGTGTATAATTCAGTCATAATTTAGGACCGCAATATGTTCGAGTAATGCCGCATTTGATGCGCTGTGATTGATTTACAGTATATATCACTTTACAGGTTATTCCGCAAAGTGCTTTGAAATGTCTCAATAACGTGATAAGGGCTACATCAAATGCAAAGATTATTATTATTATTACTACTGATTGACAGTGAACTCTCATTAGACCATCAGATCACCAATTACTGTGAACGTCAGCGCTAAAACAAATACAATTTGAATAAATTCCTTCCAGAGGTTATTATTTAAAACATGCCGCCCAATTTTTGTACGCAGGGAGGTACGGCAATCTTATACGCAGGCTCTCAACATCATTTAAAATGGGGAATATAATCCCCGTGGACCGTTTCGGAATACAGAGATTAAGAATGCAGTCATTCTTCAGAACTGGGATGAGCAACTACGATGAATGGGGTTATTCATCTCTGAATTCTAGTTGGAATCAAACTGAGCATATAGTAAGCCTGTTTAGTTTAGAATGTAGGAAATCTTGCTGGGGACTCATTTGCGTAATCAGTGCTAAAAACAGAATCAAGCGAATGACTTCATTTACATTCTTGTGTTTGTAATTTGCCTTTTGTATGAAGGGCTGCAGTAATTCTTTTCTAGTGTGACCGATTTGTCTGTTGTGTATTTTGTTTGCACAAGGGGGTAGAGAAGGATTCATCACATTCTCTTTGAAGTCTTCAAAACACTGAACTACACGCAGGAAGCAGCTCGAGTTTGTACTTTTTTTCACATTTGACTTTGAACGGTTTACAATTTGTGCGGACAAAATTAATAGTTTCCTCAGGGATTCAGCTCCTATTTCTTATTCAGTTAATCCATTAGAACTCCGATTAGAGGACATTTTGGTTTTTCATTATTATTTTATTTGAGAATGGATTACTGCTTTCTTCAATCGTTCCTCAACAAGTTCTTTTTGGACGGTTTGGGTGGGGGGGGGCAAGTTCTGGACATCAAAGGCACAAACCCCTCGAAATTTGCAAGAGAACATAAGTTTAGATGTCGATAGTGACACTCATGCAGAGTGCATGTAGGCATATTTTAAAAAAAACAAATGCATGATGAATTGTTCTGACGAGTCGGTCTACCCTCTAAGATGCAACAAACACAAAACTCACAGCAGTTGATTCTCTCGCTGTCTATGACATTTGCAGAATTCAAGTCCATTCTTTCTACTTTTAAACACCCCGTATTTAAATGCATTTTTGTCAGGTTGCTTTGCGGTTGTGTAGGATCTCTAGAGTCACTTCAGAAAGAGGCATAGAGTCTCAAAGGGCTTTGGGAAATGATTATTGGCCTCTGATGAATTTGCCTGAAGAAGATGCTGGTAAAGCAGTAAATACATGGGTCATGAATGATAGATACATCATGTTCCCACTCACAGGGTCACCCCTCCTGTTTGCAAAACATGATTGCATTCCGAGAGAGTGATCCACCACTGTAAGCAAAGCAGATGACACTTGACTTGCTCAATTAATACCATGTATAATGTTCAGCCCTGCAATTGGGAGGGGTGGGGTGAGGGATGAAAAATTGCAGCAACAAAGACTTGGGAGTTGTTCCTCATCGCTACAGGCAAGGCTGTGCTCAGTACCTCATCCCATTCTAAATCAACCCTTAATTCCTGACAGGAATCAAGAAGTGTTTGCTCTGACATCTGATATCCCTGGGTTCATTGATTATTTTGTAAGGTCAAGAACATATAATCAATTTGTGATGAAAAACGTATGTCAGAGTATAGCGATTGCCTGCAGTCTCTTCCTATTGCCCTTCCTCTGCATCTCTTCACAGCAATGCCTTGCTTTCTTTGCTGTTTAGTTCTGTAGCAGTCTGCTAGGTTTTGCACACTCAAAACAGTTCAAACAGCTCTTATCAGTAAAGGTTTTATGATAGCAAATTCTGTTACGATAGCACTGACACTGACTTCTGTTTTTTGCAAGTGCAATGAGCATATTGAAAGTTGTTGCTGTACATTGAGCTAGCCATATTTTTGAAACATTATTAAAGCAATTTCTATGGAAGATTTTATAACATTGCTCAACATTACGGGCGTGAGATGTCATGCCTCTGAACTGATGATCCCATTCAAATGACTTTGCTCATTACTGCTCCACAAGAGTTGACTTAATCCAATAAGCACTCTTCCTGCTTTCATTCAGTCAGTTAGTGTACCTGCAGAGCCTTAGTAGGACCCAACATTCTTTGAATATAGAGAGGTAGTGACCTATTTTCTAAGGGCATCCAATTTCCCTCCCCAACACTTCCCCAGGTTCAAAGGATTTTGAGGCTTTTAAGACATTGGAAATTTCTATGGAAACTTTATGTGTGGCTACCGTTGTGTTATACAATTTAGCTAATTAAATCTCTTTTTTTTAGTTAGCTTCTTTTCTATGATTTTTCCTTGAGTGCAGAGTTGAAGAAAAACGGAAGCTTTTCACCATAGTTACAGCAGGTACTTCACAGGAATTCAGAATGCATGTGTAGCATTTTTACTGTTGTGTGACCATGGATGTGAGAAAGAAAAGTGCCAGTAAGATGGCCCACAGGAAATCCAGCAATGTTTGTCTCTCTGGAATCAATCACCTTTATCACATCTTGCTTTGCGTTGTTTGCATTTGTGGTTTCAGGCAAATCAGTAAGATGAATGAATAGCAATCTTGAATGTATCACGACAACCCACTGGGATGCAATCCTGGCAATTGCTTATAACAGCACAAAATAGCGGAATGATTCCACCACATGACTTACTAATTATATTTTTTTCTGCACTTACGTAACTTGTAAGTAAACGTTTTATGACAGTGAAATTCTGTTATGATAGCACTGACACTGACTTCTGCTTTTTGACTAATTTCTTAAAATTAATTTCCTGTGCATGTTACAACCACAGCAACAAGAACCTGGATGTATATGGAATGCCTTTCACATATAATAATATCTTGAAGCTCCACACAGAGATAAGACAGAGACCTGAGCAAGGTGGGAAATGGGAAGAGGGTAGCTGAGAGTTGAGCAAAGGTTAAGTGAAGAGGTACTTATTTTAGAAGGTTAAGTTGAACAGGTATATTTTGAAAGCAGAGAGGAACAGCGCAAGGTAGAGGTATTTTGTGAGAGAATTCTGGACAGTGGAGTCTGGAATGGCTGAAAGGAGGGGAACAAATCACAGATGTCCAAAGCAATTCCACCCAAGTAGCACACTGACTAAATACATTTGTGTCATGCTTCAGCAGATGTGATGTTGAAAGTGTATAATTGCACAGTATAAAAAGTACACAAAGACAATTATGACAGTTTAATGTTGGGATTACCTCAGAGTACCACAGTAAAGGCATCAAGCTTCCTCTTCTGATGGGAGGATTTGTGCATCAATTCTTGTGTATACTTAGCAGATGCAATGCAGGAATTAACAGGAGGAGGATTTCAAAGGTTATGTTTCACAGATTGTCAGATTTACTTCACAAGCAATTTCATTAGTTCATCGTACAGTATTACACAGATACTGCTGGACACATTCACTGCCGCCCACGGTTAGAAACATTAAATCATGGCAATAATGGGCTTAGTTCATATTCCAACGCATAAACTCTTAAATATGGACTGTGGATTACTTTAATCCCTTCTAATTCTGAATGCCTACAGATTTCAGAGGTCAGGAAATGAATAGCAAAGACAGTGAATTGTGGCTCAGAGGTGTTTTGTAATTACTTGCTGAATTTATTGCAAATTTAACCAAGAAACGTAGATGAAGTTTTGTTCCCATTGATGGCTGTAGAAGGTGGCTGAAAAGATCTGGTAGAGCTAAGGCAGCCCACAGTAGATGTGAATCCACAACTCTCTGAGCATCTTAGTTAGCTGTGCTACCTTTGAGAGGTCTGTGATCTGTCACCTGTTAGATTGATGGGCTACTGCAAAAAGATGCCTGTGTTTCCTCGGATCTCCATCGTAGCACGCAAGAATTCTTCAGGATAGAATGGAATGTTAGCAATATGGAACAGATTAGTTAGTGGTTACGATGGTGATATACAGCAGTTTGGAAATTGTTCGCACTGTATTAATCACTTAAACACTTTAAACACGGCTCACATTGTTGTCGTCTTGTATTCCATTTATTCTGTGCGTTAATGGGTTCGAGGGAGTTTCAAACCCCTATTGTTTTCAAGCTCAGCAAAAGCACCTCAAGATTCATGTAAGATAGACTCAGACTTGTACCATTATTGTGGCTGATTAACAGATAGAGGAAGAAATGTCAACAGTAGGAAATATCGAAAAACCCAGTAGCAGTAACAGCTCGATTAGAGAGGGCTGTCATATCTAAAGCTTTCTGCTCATCCCTAATTGAAGTTAGTTTGGCTTTATCCATTGAAAAGAGAGTATTTTTCTCAAGTGGAGTTACATTTTACACATGGCTGATATACAAAGTAAGTGTCAACAGAGCTATCTTTAGCGTATTGAGTGCTTTGAGCATTTGTGTGTGCAGTGCGCTAGACAGCTGTCAAGTTCAGTTAAAATATCTGGCCATCTCCTCTAAGATTGCAAAGCTGACTTGGTAAAACTTACAAGTGTTAACCTGTTGATGCACTCATCTCACACACAGCAGCAACGCGATGCTGCATTGTGTGTTAGAGATGAAGCATTGAATATAGATGTTATAGATGCAATGGATGTTTTAGATATTATTGTGCTTTGCAAGTTTAACCTATTAGAAACAAAGCATAAAAAATGCGACACCACTGATAGTAAAAGGAAAAGGTCGCTATTGATGACAATGGTAAAGTGCTAGACTGTTTCCTCTCCTTCACCAATATAAAACCTTTTGCAATGGAGAGTAAATATTGGGAAAAAATAGAGTATAACTTTGCACGTCTCCAGCCTAAACTTAGTATGAAAAATATCAGTCAAGTCCAATATAATTGTTTAGTGCTCAAAATCCTGTGTGAGTTTCAGCTTAAACCGTGAATGTAAACTCTTGAATGTGTTTACATGAGTCAGCTCACCATGCAACAGTTTGCTTTGTCTTACAATATGTATTGGGGTCTAATTTGTGGCGTGTCTTAGAATTCCTGCCAACCTGCTCCCCCCAGAAAGAGAAGCTGTAGAAGCTGACATCCTGTGGATAGACACAAGGGAAGGAATTGTAATTTGTCCCACTCAGATTCTTAATTGAGGAACCTCATTAAAAATATCCTGTAAGCGCTACAACTGAACAATTTTCTAATAATTATTTTGAAGTAGTGATTGAATCTCAGTCAGAAAGTCATATTGATTCACAGGCCACTTCCTCTCTATGTTCTGATACCCTTATCTTTTTTTATTGCTCATTGTCATGTATGTATGTTTCTCTTATTTCAGGACATGACTGGTATCTATTACACATTGAAGTGGTGGTTACTGACATCAATGACAATGCTCCTGAATGGGTTATGCACCCTTTCCCCTTCCTGGCTGTGGTATCTCCTGACGCTCCCCGAGGGAGCTTTGTCTACAAGCTCCTCGCTCAGGACAAAGATGAGGGTATCAATGGGGAAGTGGAATATTTCTTTGTGGAAGGTATGAATGCAACTCACTGTCAGGGTACAACACTGCTAATGTAGAGTGTGACATTTCAGGGGGGAGGCTTGAAATTTATGTTATGGGTGATCAACTGGATATTTTACTATAATTTCTTGGGAACATTTGTGGGCTTGTCTTTTACAATTGCCAATTGCAAACTAACAACTGACTGTCACACCTAAGCTTAAGACAAGAGAGTTTCAGCATCGGGGAAAACAGCTTAAAAGAGCTCCTCTATCGAGGTTAAAACTAAGGTGGGGACAATGTGTTTCCCTCCACTGTTTTACGGTGGATACAGTGCTAAGGTGTGATTCTGTAATTTTGCAAAGCACCCTTTGTTGGTTTATTCAAACAGATGGAGATGGACGTTTTGAAGTAGACAGGAAGACCGGTTCCATTCGAACCACAAGCCTGCCCCTGATGAAGGATGATGAATACTTGTTGACGGTCGTGGCTTCAGACAAACTTGGCCTCAAAAGCGCTCCTGCTGTTGTGTCTGTCACTGCTGGGCCCCGAGCTCCGCAGTTTGCAAACCTATCGTACCATGTAGAAATTGCTGAGGACACTGGAGTGGCCGAACCGTAAGTAGAGATTCAATCTTAAGAGGCTGGTAAAGTTAAGCTTGGAGCGATGTGGAAGGAACTGCTGGTGCAATGATATTTGTAGGCTCAATGCCAGGAACTGCTGCAATGTGGTCTTGACTGATGATTCCCTCCCTCCACTCCCCCACACACCCCCAGGGAGCTAATAAACCATCAAAAGGTCAGATTTTTGCTCAAATACAATAGAATATTCAGAGAGAACTCCTCATAACTGCCTCCGTTGGTGCTTGTGGTGGCTTGTTGCATTCTGTTGCGGATGTGTTTCATATCATGTGGTTAGTGTGAAGAAGCACTAGGCTACTGACAGCATTGAACTACCTCCACTTGTGCTCTCCTGGTGCAATGTGAAGCCACACCAGACCATTCAGACTATAGTGCCTACTTTAAAAATAGTACAAAGAACAGTTATTGTCAAATCATTCTGAACATATGTTATGTTATCAGATGGGGGAGCATGCTTTGTCTTCTGGTAAAGATGCAGTTCAGTAAGGTGACTGCTGAGGCAATGCAGAACTCCATGTTATTGTTTTCACTGTTCCCAGGTTCCTGACAGTCTCAGCCAAATCCTTCCAGAAGATGCCTGTTCGCTACAGTCTGCTAATTAATCCCAGCAGTCTTTTCAGCATCAAGAAGGAGACGGGAGCGATAAGCCTGACCAGGTCTATTGACTATGAGAGTGATCAGCATCGGTACCTGCTCTTGGTAACAGCAACAGAGGAGGAGAATCTGAGCAGCGCTGCCGAGGTATAGAGCACATCTGTTTATTCTTTTCAGACCCTAGCCTCCCCTCAAGACCTGTTGCTTCTGTACGGTACACACTCCCCATCGGTGAGAACGTTTGTCCTTATCTGTCAGCAGGTTTTGCATTAGGCCTCAAAACCCCTGAAGTGCGGACAATTCAGGAATGATTTTATGGCTTTCCAGGAGTTGCCAGGCTGTCACTTTCTACACTTCATTTCACTTCTGTTCCTGCCTGCCGTTTCAGGTGGATGTTACGGATCCCATGGTACACAAGTATTCGAAGATAGGAGTTTCTACCTGTGTCCTGCCAACATACACAAATTAAATTACTCATAATGTCATGGCTGTTTGTGGGACAGTGCTGCACACAGTTTGAGCCTTATTGCATTTTGAAAACATCTCAAACTGCTTCACAGGATGTTCTGCAAATTGTCGTTACTGTGTACTTGTAGGCCAGTGACAGGAGTTTCCATGAGTTGACTTGATGCGCTTCCAATTTTCTTGCTAAAGAATTCCATTAGAAATTGCTGTGTGTTAAACCCAATGTATTTAAATGTATTTGCAACACACAAAGCGTACTGACAAATTACAGAAAAACACGGAACTGAAAAGCGCTTACAGCTTTGTCTTCCTTTACAAAACATAATAATGCAGATTTAAACAGATAATAATCTTTGCATTTGATAGAGGGTCTCATCATCTTGTTGAGAACGTCTCAAAGCACTTCACAGCATATTTAGTAAATGACTGTGTAATTGTGGGTGAAACGCGGCAGCAAATTGCGCACAGCAGATTGTACCAAAGTGATTGTTCTGTCTTATCCTCTCAGGTTTTGGTGTTGGTCACAGACGTAAATGACTGCACCCCAGAATTCTTTCAGTCTATATACAGTAAAGACAACGTGCTGGAAACAGTTACCACGGCAACCTCTCTGCTTCAAGGTAAGTATTTGGAAATTCCTCCTCCACCCCCCCCCACCCCCAACCTTTCCAAAGATATTCATCACACAAAAGAGCCATCATTTCATCATTTCTGGAACCAATTATGTAACCTGTGTGGAATTTAAATGCTCACCGTCATAACACGTTCACATGTACTTTAGGACAACACAGTAGCACTTTGAAATAGAAATATCATGAAGATGCTTCAGTTTGTCTGATCAGAGATCAGTGTTGCAGAATATGTGGTTTGAACCTCGGTCAAGTCCCATAAAAGCAGGCTGCATGGAGACATTATGACGGAGGCATTCAATTAGGTAAAGCTGCCTTTTTAGTTGATAAGTTTTATGCATTATAGTTACCATTTTGTACCATATGAAAAGGGAGATAGTTTTAGTTTCATTCAATGGGTAACAGTGTGGAAATTCTTTACAATGAAATAGCAATGGTAAATATGCCACGTTTCATAGAAAACAATGGCTAGTTATAGCTGAAGATCAAAAGTGTTATTTATTAGTTATCCAATCTCGATCGGATCTGGAACTTGTCTCAGCCACAGATGTCTACAGGTAAATATAATGTGCAAAGTTGAAAGGCATTATTTACATAGTAGTGTCATGAGCGACAAAGTTAAAAGCAAGCAAGACATAAATTGTATCCATGGCTCAAGCCTTCTGTTTATTTGACAAGCTGATTAAACAATTATTTATTTATAATCATAATAATTGAATCAACCCTTTTGGCAGTCCGGTAACTGAGCCAAGTGGGTCCACAGTACTCCAGGCACTACTGATGACAGACCAGCGAGACTGGGTCCCTGGCTCATCAGTGGGACCTGGAGGGCAGACCAGTCACTGGACACAGGAGGAATTCTTCTAACATGTCTCCTGTTAACTCTGCAAGCCAAACACCTAATGGGTAGGGTGGTTCTAGCTGGGGGTCATCGCATGGGGATGCTTGCCAGACAGTGCTCTCAATGGTTAAGCTATGCCGTTTTAGCTGGTTAAAATTACAAAAATTAAAATGATACAAGTTGGATGTTAGAGGTCAGAGCAATTGACTATATTGTGTATCTGACTCTATATTTTCTTGTTCAAATGTTTGACATGTAATTTTCGTGGGTCCCGATTATGTGTAGAGCAAAGAGAGAAAAGCCACAGGAGTATACTTGAAACCTTTTCAAAAGAACTTGTGAAAAAGTCACCTGCTGACCAGACACTCAAAACGAGAGCACGAATTGAAGCTGCGACCATTTTTCTTCTTGTGTTGTGCTGTTGGTTGCTTCACACTGTGAAACATTACGGCACACAGCAGGCTGTGCTAGTGAAGAGTTTCCTGTGTTGAGATAAGATGAATTTCCTTTCTGCTCTTTTCTGGATCTAGTTTCAGTCAGTGACTGTGACGCAGAGAAGAATGCTGAGATAATGTATTACACCCTGAGCCCAGATTTCACCATATCTGCACACGGCACCATATTCCCTGCCAGGCATTTGGACTTTGAACGACCAAATCACCTGTATGAATTTGTGATCATGGCTGTGGACAAAGGGGAACCACCTCGCACAGGGACAGCAACAGTCAGGATTCGGATGTCAAACGTCAACGATGAGGCACCTGAATTTTCCCAAATGGTGTAAGCATAGACATCTTCAATAATAATAAATAAAAATAATAATAATCCTTGCATTTGATATAGTGCCTTATCACATCTTCTAGACATCTCAAAGTGCTTCACAGAACATACTGTAAAGGGAATTGACCGTATATTATGTGGGGGAAATGCGGCAAATTATTGCACACAGCAGTGTCCCACAAGCAGACATGGATTAAGTGATTAAATTATTATTACTTTTTTGAAAAAAATATTATAATAATGACAGACCAAATGATATTTCGGTCACTTGGCAGGAATAAATATCTTACAAAAAATAGTGAGAGATATTTATTGTTTTCCTTGCCTTCCTCTCTCTTTATTATCCCGAGTTTCTGAATGAAGTCTTAAGTCGAGCTGCCAGGTTTCGAGTGCTGTGTGTGTTTTATATGAGTGACTGCTGATCCAGTCAGACATGCTTCGAATGGATGAAGTCAAGTTCGAAACAAGTGAAATGAAAATTACGGACAGATAATAAAAAATCGTGTTTAAGCAGCGAGAAGTAAACAAAAAGCTCTGACAATGTGTTTAAGTCTAGTCCACCTGCCATTACAGCTATAGAACCTTTGTATCGGAAGATGCAGGCCCCAACACCCTGGTTGCTACAGTTCATGCCAAGGATCCTGATGGAGATGCCGTTTACTATGAAATCTCAGCAGGAAACGAAGAAGGAAACTTTGTTGTTGACAGCTTGAAAGGTGAGCAGAGTAAAGAGGAGCAGAGAAGCAGCCTGTGGTGTATGTAGAAAATGTGACATTTCTAAAGAGTCAAACTGTGCGCTAATTACTTGAGGCAGTGAGGTGTGATTAGTTGGGCCAGATGATGCAGAACTCTCTGCGCATGAGAATATAATGAAGAAGTTTTCTGAAAGGTTCACTCTGATGCTTTGCAAGTTCAGACTTCTTTCCACATGCACCACTTGCTCATAATCATCTTCCTGACTTTGTTTATCAAACCAGATTTTTTTTGATTAAGACCTTGAGAAGAGCATACATATTCTCACCTCAGAGGGATAGTATTTTCTGAGGCTTGTGTAGACCGTTACTTTTCTACTGATATGTAGCAGAGCATTATGTGATAGATGTACAAGAAAGAATATTTAGGTTTAGAGGAAACGGGATTGCATTTATGACAGATTTTTTCTATCAAATGCTCTGGGGGTATTTAGGTGTGCTATGTGATGAATAATAATTCTCAGAAATGATCAGTAACTCACTTGGATGATGATGGTGTTAGATATGAGTCACAAAGTTTGGTAGACAAGTTGTAGGCACTCAGATTTGGCAGGGCTGGTTTGAAGGGACATTCCAGTTGAATCACAAGGAGGTATGGACTGTTGAACAGGGTTCAGTCAAGAGATAAACGAGAAGATGTTGATCTTTACCTTGGGTTGAAAAGGATTAAATTTACAACATGGAAATTTCATGCAGTATTAATTCATACAAGTCCCCTTGTTAAAAGATTAATTAATTGATTTACAATAGTATCCCAGAGGTTTCAAACAAGTATCCCAGATTAAATAGATGCCAAAGAATTTACATTACTAACAGAAGGCTGGGTGGGATACAAATACATAACCACAATATTTAACATTTTTGTCCTACTTTTGAAGTTTTGGTAGTTCTGTAGTTTGACCTGCCTAGTAGTAGTAGAAAGACTGTAGTGATTAAGCATGAGATACAGTGACCATGGACTGTGATTAAGTAGATTCGACAAACATTGATGGAGTGTAATAATTGTTAATGGAATTGATGTAACATCCGTGCAGCTGGTTAAGAGGGAAACATGGAGAGTTTTATGAACAGCTTCACAGTGACAGAGAGCAAGCAATGATTCAGACTGGCTGACCCTTGCTGAACATTTTCAGGGCTCATCCGTCTTCGCTCCAACCCACCACCCAGGCTGCAAGGTATAGAATACGTCCTCCACATCACAGCGACCGACGACAACTCCTCAGGTGGTCCCCGCTCCCTCAGCACTACAGCTTTAGTGATTGTGGGGGTGGACGATGTTAATAACAACAAACCGCTATTCAACCAGGTACAGGAGGCAAAGCACTCATTCCAGGGCCTTTTGCACAAAGATCAATGGCTCAATGGTCAGCCTTTATTTTCTGTATATTAACAAAGCTTCCTTTGTGTGGTGTTGTTAAAAAAAAGTATTTTAAACCTCATTTTAACTTTGTATTTATTCCATAAATTTATACTCTGTGATAATTCACAAGTATGAATCAGCTTGTGCTTTTAGTCTCGCTCCTTCTACTGTGCCTCTTCAACTCGTGCTCTGTTTGTTGCACATCTACTTTCAGCTCCTATTGGCCTAGCATTCTTACTGCTTACTTTGAAACTATAAAGAACGATATTTATATTATCGTTTGGGTGTTGTTTTTCTGGTTGTAGCTATCAGCTCGTAAAGTAGAAGTTAAATTGCCCTTTGATTTCTTTCTCATTTTTAGTGCCATTTGTACCGTGAAAACACGACTGTCTTTGAGAATCGGCCTCCAGGAACTCCCATACTGCAGGTTGAAGCTACTGATGCTGATGAGGGATCTAACGGAGAAGTCAAGTATGGGATCATGCACAGAGATGGTGCTTCCCCAGCCTTCCACATCCACCCTGACACCGGTAAGCCAACAGGACAACAACAACAGCCACAACTTCCATTTATATAGGCCCTTCACATGGGCTGGTGTGCTGGAGCTCTTGGACTTCAAAGCTCCTGTGTTGTGGATAAGGTTTAATATTTATATGTTCAAATCTCTCAATCATTCTCCAGAGAGGCCTGCTGGATTTGCATGTGTGGACATTGGGTGATTCCCTCACTTGCTCCTCATTCCCTCTTGGAATGCCTGCTCTTTGCTCAGCACTTTGCTTCAGCAATGCAGCTCAGATCAGTAGTTCTTCAGCAGGGAAACGAAAGGGCTGAAAGCCTGTGTCACAGAATAGACCTTTGTGGAGTCACACATGGTGCTGTTTAGCACTGGTGATCTCTCACCTGAGTTATTCATGTACGGATGAGAAATCAGTGAGCTCTGCTTTCATCTCCTCTGGCAATAATATAACAAGAAGGTGCACCACAGCAGCTGAGGATGATTTCTGAGCTCAGAAAAATCACTGTGGGGAGGATTAGTGGCATGAACCCACGGCTCACAGCACAGCAGCACAGAACAACACAGAGCACTGATATTTTACCAAGGTTTAACTTCAACCAAGGTTGCTTCTCAAGTATTATAGCTGGGAGCATTATATGGGTCAGTGTGCAATGAAGGGCTGCAGGTCCGCTTAAGCTTGAATTCCAGGGTTCAATCTGTGGTTTCCAAAACCACAGCATGAATTTGCGACTTTGAATAACTATTTCAGTTGATATTTAACGGTGATGATAGTTATAGAACATTTGAGATGTTTAGTGTGAAACACTAAGTGGACACAAGGTTAACAGTTAAGAAATGTCACAGATTCAAGTCTAATGTACCTCTCGCAGGCGCAGACAATGACATACTTGTGTGCCATAATGAAGATGAACGTTACATGCATTAAACCCTCTTAGGGAAGAAAGACGGATTGAATCTGTAAACTTGAAGGTCAACATCTGCTGGCAGTTCTTTTTACTGGATTACTGCAGTATCAGTCCAGTCTGACATAAGTGCCATTGATATTTCAGGGATTATCACAACGTCTCAGAGGTTTGACCGAGAACAGCAGAAAGAATACACCATTACCGTTACAGCGACAGACAAGGCCGCTGAGCCATTGATTGGCATCTGTCAGATAAACATTCTCATCCTCGATGAAAATGACAACAACCCAAGATTTGAAAATATGCGTTATGAATGTAAGCTTTGAGGAAATAGCCATGGAGGTTGAAATACAGACAAAAAATTCAATGCATGAGCAAAACCCTTTAAAACAATCTGTATTTAGAACATTATATAAGCAAAACACATTTCCCCCCTTGCAAAAATTCTGTTTATCTGCAGCAGAGTAAAAGCCAGCATGGGAAAGATTATGGAGCATAATTCTAGTTCAGTGCAGTGAATGCTGTACTTAATTATTTAAAATTCTGTAAAAGCTTCCTAGTTTTTTTTTACACACAGTGGTAAAAGATGGGATTTACTGGGATTTTATGTGAGATGCCTTTACGACCAATAAATCTTTTTAAGAATGTGTCTTCAAATTCTCTCGTTTAGATTTTCTTAGGGAGGACACTCTTATTGGCACAAGCTTTCTGCGAGTTGGTGCTCATGATGACGATCAGGGTACAAATGCTGCCATCACCTATTCAGTGTTTGCTGAGGAGCCAGAGTATTTCCGAGTTAATCCGTCAACGGGCTGGGTTTACGTGAACCAGCCAATATCGCAGGTATATTACATTGTGCATAACGTAACACAAGGGAAAGGAAGCATCTTACAATTTTTTTACATATTCTATAGGTTCTCTGGCCTTTCCCCTGGCACTAGCCTTACAGATGGGCTTTACATTGCGAGGGGCACAAAACAATTTGTAAATAGCGAATCTCTGATGTATTGGTGCCAACCCTTCGGAACTCTGATTAGAAACCTTTCTCAGTTGTGACTGACCAAATATAATAATCCACGGCTGTTTGCGGGACATCACTGTGTGCAATTGGCTGCTGCGTTTCACCCACAAAATATACCAAAATATACAGTCAATTCACTTTACACTATATTCTGTGAAGCGCTGTGAGACGTCTCGAAGACGTGATAAGGCGCTATATCAAATGCAAGGATTATTATTATTATTATTTGCTATTTACAATTCCTTTAACAAATCCTGCAATTTGCACCCCTAGTTTTTGGACTCTTATCTCCCATCTCCATTTTCCCGTGGCTTTTTCCTCTCTCTGTTTTGTTTCCATGCCTCTATCTTCAGAAATATATATGGGCATGAAAACTGAAGTCAGGCCTGTTAGATTAGTGAGGGGCCAGAAAGTTGAGAACAACTTTGATATCAGCTGTAATCCTCCTCAGGTCAAATAGTCTGTACGTTCATGGGCTAAAATTCTGGTTGGTGTGGTGAACAGCATCCTTGTTGATGTTTGATTGTTAATGCGGTAACGCACAGCACCAACTGCAATTTGTCGAACCTCACCCGTGAATAATGGCCACTTGGATGAGGTACTGAAGAAGCTGATATCACAGTGGTAGGAAATGGGAACTAAGCAAATTAATGGAATTCTTAAATGGTGCCATTGTTGTATTTACAGACATCCAATATCGTTCGCCAGATCATTGCCACAGATGGAGGAAACAGAAGCAGCAGTGTGGAACTTGCAGTGACTATCACCAATATGCAAAATCAGCCTCCGCAGTGGGAGAGAGAAGAATATCAAGTTGTTATTCCCGAAAATACCACACGAGACACATCTATTGTCGTATGTTATCTGCCTTATCTGAATAATGCATATATTTGTAAGCAGAATAGGAATGGAACCAATTTGATTGAAAGCCGGATTCATTTATGCATTTTGCAAAAAGTGAACTCAATGAAATCACTGGTGCAAAAATGATTTAGGAATTATTCATAGTAAAATGGCACGTTTATTATGATGCACCAAATAGCATAGTAAAAAGCAGACAATTTCTGCGGGTTGCTTGCGGGGAAATGTAAGTTCCTCCTCCTGATTAACATGGACAACAGGAATGAACTATTCAACTTTCTCTCATGCTGCTTGTTTCATCACAAGCACCACGTTAATATGACAGAAACTTGCACATTATATCTGCAATAAAATAATCCCACTCAGTAGATAGTGCACAGTTCTGTTGGGAGTGTGCAGATCTCTGTTGTCTGTGTCACTTTCAATTTGCAGCTAAAACAAGGACAACAGAGAGGAAGTGGCAACAACACGGCTTCAATTCAGTAGAAGAAGAGTTCAGAATGAATTATTTTGAAGAGAATTCCTTGTCAAACACCGAAACCAAATTTTGCAAAAGCCTTTTCATTACGTTGGAACTATTTGGATTACTCGGTATTGGCTGTTTCAAATAAATAATCTACTAGCAGGAGAAATGCGTTTTGCTGTCTGAATTGTCAGGGAAACTGGACGAAGCTCCAATCTAGTCCAATCAGACTTTTGATACATTTACTCGTCCTGTTTCCAAGTCACATAGCATTTCCTTATAACCTTTGCAGATAGATCTAGTTTGTAGCCACTTATATATAGCACCTACACGAAATCAGCTAGTGACCAGGAGGTGTGTGACAAGCACATTTCAGTTTTCATTCCTCTGGCTCAACTGAAATTTTCAGCTCTCTGCAGAGAAGAGCTTATGTCTTACAACTCAAGTGCAAGCACAGAGCATAGAGTGGAACATGCTAATCTCTCGCACCTATTGGTGGCCTGGCCAACAATCTCCAAAATAAAATTGGTCATTCACTTCATAGCTGTTTGTAAGGACACTGCCGTGTGCAAACTGCCTGCCACATTTGCCCACAACACAGTCACTGCACTTTACAGTATATCCTGTGAAGCGCTTTGAGACGTCCTCCTGACGTGAAAGGTGCTATATTAAATATAAGGATTATTATTATTTAAGTATAAGGCTAAAGTTTTATTGCATTTATATAGCACCCTTCACTCAGGGTAGTGCTCTGGGACACTACCCTGTATAAGGGGCTTTATATAAATGCAAGTTGTTGTTGTAAAGTCTGTATTGAACGTTAACTGAACAGATCAGGGAGACATTTGCAATAACATTAGTGCACTTCCAACTGGAGAGCCATCCCATTATCCATTGGGTTAGAAACATGTTTCTTTAATGCTTCCATTGTTCTTCAGACTATAAAAGCAATATCTCCTCTCGGGGACCCCCGTTTGACCTACAACCTGGAAGATGGCCTTGTTCCAGAAACCAACATGCCAGTGCGCTTCTACTTGACGCCAAACAGGGAGAATGGAACAGCCTCCATCTTGGTTGCTGAGCCACTTGATTATGAAACCAGCAAGCACTTTATGCTGAAGGTGCGTGCCCAGAATGTGGCTGCCGTGCCTCTGGGAGCATTCACCACTGTCTGCATCAATTTGACAGGTAAATTATTCTCTTCCAAGCAAGTGAGAATGACAGAACTATTGTAATGCATTCAAACTGGAACATTCCTGCTTTAAACAGCCTGTCAGTCATTTGAACAGATTGACCTTTACAGGAGAGTTTTATGGAAATGTGATAAACATATAAAATATAAAACCATATACCTTTAACTACTAGGATAAGCTGGAGGGCTAATAATTTAGCATAGTTATTGAATTTCTTATTTCCCCCACAAATTTAAAGAACCAATTTTGTAAGTAAAGACATAAACGAAAACATGTCTTACACACCCCCATTGTCAGGTCCTATGAGATACGAGGTCTGAAAAGATCGAGTTATATGAAAAAAGCAAATGTATGATTCTGTAGAATGTAACATAGAAAGGATGAGGGCAAACATAATTTTACAATCGAAGGAATTTTTTAAAGACTTTTCTTCATTATAGTAACTGCAGTTGCCATGAAACTGTAACAAGGTAGACCTGGCTCCTTGTGCCAAAAAAATGAGGACCTCTAATAATAATAATAATAATAATAATCCTTGCATTTGATATAGCGCTTTTCACGTCGGGAGGACGTCCCAAAGCGCTTCACAGAATATACTGTAAAGTGAGTTGACTGTATATTTGTGGGCGAACGCGGCAGCCAATTGCTCACAGCAATGTCCCACAAACAGTCATAGATTGAAAATGACCAATTTAATTATTGTTTTTTTTGTTTTTTGGAGGGATTATTATTAGACCTCTAAGGAGCCAGATTACCACTGATATCACTTTGTGTGCCACACATGCACTATCTGTAAGAAGCTCTGCTAATATCACTTCCTGGTGCTTCTGGGCTTCTAAAGTGAAAGGCACTATATTAATGTTAGGATTATTATTATGATTAATACATATTCTTCATGCTCTTTCCTCAGATGTGAACGACAATGTTCCATTCTTTACCTCATCAATATATGAGGCTTCTGTCACAGAGGGAGCCGAAAGAGGGACCTCCGTCCTTCAAGTTGCTGCAACAGATCAAGACCTGGGAGTTAATGGCAAGGTTTGTGTAAAAAGTCAGATCAAATGATAGTCCTTCACTTTACACATCAGTATTAAAACTACAAAAGGATGCTTTTATTTTTCAGATCACGTACTCTCTCTTGAAGGATCATAATAGGGACTATCGTTTTTTCCGAATAGACCCTGTGACAGGCTTGATCTATACCCAGGCAGTTTTTGACAGAGAGTTAAAGGGATCCTACCTTTTGGAAGTGCAGTCAACGGACGGTTCTGAATCTGCCCGGCCAGGGAAACGTGGGCAACCAAACACTGGTACGAAAGAAGAAAGAAAGAGCACCAACGAGAGCTTTGCTTTACCAGATTAAAAATTATTACGATTTTCTTTCAAAGCCCTTCAGTGTATGAGTTAGTTGGTGCGAATGATCTGCCACAGTGAGTGGCTGAGAAACAGCAGATGAAGAACATGAGAATTTATTTTCTATTTTCCAACCCACAGACACTGCTTACGTGAGAATCTTCATCAGCGATGTGAACGATAATAAGCCCATCTTCACTCAGAAGGTCTACAAAGTTAAAGTGGACGAGGACCAGGATTTGGGATTTCCTGTCATTACTGTCAGTGCCAATGATGAAGATGAAGGTAGGCTGAGCTCAGTGGTACATCTTAATGATGGTACGTCTTAATGACCCTTTTTGTTTCGGCAAAGAAACACTTCATGGTTTTGACAGCATTGGCTCCAGTGCCTGCAGTTTCCTATTACTGTGTACTAATGACAGGCTGTCAGCTTGCAGACAGATCTCACAATATTTTCCTTCCCATTCATTTTAACAGAAAGCTAACCGGTTTCCAGGTTTTCATCTTTCCAGGTTGCTGATGCTTTTCTCCAACAGCAGTGCTTCTACCTTCAGGGAGGGCTGATGTGTCTGGCTGTGGCAATCACTGATAGTGGGAGCTATCGGTGCTGCTTCTGTGACTGGCTTCCCTGAGGTGGATACTTCCATCGCAGGTGTCATATTTTTCCTATATTATTATACGGAGCTAAACGCTCTGAGACGCTGCCCGCATGAAGGGCGCAGTATGAATGCAAGTTGTTGTTATTGTTAAGTGCTGCTTCCTTTTCACTGTAACCTGCTTCAGAAACTTGGGAAATTCTCAACTGCTGTTGCCCCATGTTTACTGATTTAACTTGAAGGATTGTATTATATCATGCCTCTGATTTGCTTCCATACGAATAGTTTTAGATCCTTAACTTTTCTAAATGATCTTTCTGGATAATGAAATTTTCAAAGAATAATCCTAGCTACCTTGCTATTATTTCTATATAATCCCATATCGACTGTGTAAAATTATTTTGATCAACAGGTGCTAATGCTAAGCTGAGGTATCAGATCACATCAGGAAACGTTGAGGGTGTGTTTCACGTGGAGCCAGAAGTTGGCACCATCTTTGTCGCTCAGCCTCTGGATTATGAGCGTGTGAAAAAGTATGAACTGCACTTGGTGGCTTCAGATGGTAAATGGGAGAACTACTGCACTGTCATCATAAAAGTGTTGAACAAAAATGATGAGGCTCCCGTCTTCTCTCAAAGCGAATACTACGGGAGTGTGACAGAGGAGTGGGAGGGATCCCCTATCTTTGTGTTACAGGTAATTATATGTTCCCAATCACGAACTATGTTATTTAGGTTGTAAAATAACCATCAAAACTAAATAGATATTAATATAACAACTATAAAACACTATCCTTCCTCATTGAATGTAACTGTACTTGTCTGATAGAGAAAACCTTGCGTTTATTGTATCTCTAGTTAGTAACTTACAAAATACAGTTGCTATATTTTTCAGGTGTCCAAGCATATAGCACATTTGTGGTGCATGTTGTTAAACACAGTGGTTAATAAGACTTGGTTTGACACCTGAACGTGACAGAAACATTATCTACAAGACAATGCACTCTATGCTTTCTCAGCCGTCAAACCTATGAAGAGCTTAGCAGATATTACATTAATATTTATTAACTGTGAGGGTATTTTTTGCTTCTGGGCCCACCAAAAATTGTAGTTGTTAATGCTTCATAAAACAATGGTGGCTTTTTTGTGTTATACCTAAAGACCAATCTACACACGATTGCTCGCTTTTAATGGGACGCATCCATAACATGTGTGATCAAAGTGAATCGTTCTGAGACTGCGTAAAATCTAACCTGGCTACTAATGGTGCAGGTATAATTATTCTTGAATGGTGTAATTGAGCAACGTAGAGTTAAATTGCTCATTCTCACTGGTCTATAATCAGAAACTTGCTGTTTATTGGCAGTGAAATATTTTAAGTTAGAAAAGATCATTGTAGTACATTCTCTCTAAATGGACGAACACAGTTTCCAAACAGCCTGTTAGATTTCAATACCTTACTGGTGACATGAAAGATTCATTGCCTCTACAGTGTGCTGGAGAGACAATTGCTGATCAGATTAAGACTTCTATGGCAGTTTGAAAGTACTGTAATATACGCCCCAACGATCTGGTACTGTTTTCATGTCTAGCAAAATAAATAAAGCAATTTTCTGTGCTGCACAAAGGTTACAGCTACCGATCCTGACAATGAAGCAGCCCACGGAGCTCTGAGATATTCACTACATGGCCAAGGAGCGGAGAGTGAATTCAGGATTAATGAGATCAGTGGGAAAATTTACTCCCAGAAGCCCCTTGATCGTGAAGAACGAGCAGTGTGGCGTTTTGTTCTGCTAGCCACTGACGAGAATGGAGAAGGCTTAACAGGCTTTGCTGATATGATAGTTACTGTACAAGACATAAATGATAACAGACCCACATTTACTTGTATGGCTGATAACAGCTGTAGCGGCTATGTTCTGGAAAATTCACCCGCAGACACGTCTGTTATGGAAATGACAGCCACGGATCTCGATGACCCCACTGTGGGGCAAAATGCTCTTTTGACATACAGAATTGTGGAGAATGGAAAGAATCAAATCAATTTAGATTTGTTTAACATCAACCCCTCCACGGGGACCATCTACACAGTACTGGGGACCCTGGACAGGGAGAAAACCGATAAATATCTCTTGGTTGTGGAAGCGAGAGATGGAGGAGGACTGACCGGCACAGGTACAGCAACTATCTATGTGTCGGACATCAACGACCATCCACCTAGATTTGCACGACAGTCCTGGGGAGCAAAGATTTCGGAGAACAGTGAGGTGAACTCGGCTGTACTGGAGGTATCGGCAGTTGACGCGGATGTGGGTGAGAACGCCCAACTGACATTCAGTATCATTGCGGGAGACCCGGAGCATAAGTTTTACATTGAAAATAAGAAACATCGACACGGCATGATTCGATTAAAGAAGAAAGTGGATTACGAGAATCCACAGGAACGGAAGTTTAATCTGACTCTGAAAGTGGAGGATTTGGATTTCTCCAGCACTGCTCAGTGTTTGATTGAGGTGGAAGATTACAATGACCACGCCCCCTTCTTTATTCCGCAGTTTTACCAAGCTAATCCATTGCCTGAAAATGTCCTTGTGGGCACCATTGTTGCCAATGTGGTGGCCTCCGATGACGATTCTGGTTCCAATGGGAAAATTGTGTACAGTATCCAAAGTGACTCAGATCCATTAGGACAGTTTCTGATCAGTCAATCGGGTCACTTGACTTTGGGAAGCTCTGTGGATCATGAAAGCATCCAACAATATAACCTCATTATACTAGCAACTGATCAAGGCACATCTGCCCAAACAGGGACGGCAACAGTGCAAGTGACTGTACTTGATATCAATGACAATGGACCTGAATTTGAAGCAGCCTATATGCCTGTGGTGTGGGAGAATTCACCGGGACCCCAAATAGTCTACATGAACCAATCTTCATGGCTGCTTTATGCAGTAGATCGGGACACAGCTATTAATGGATTGCCTTTTACGTTTGCATTGCCTCCAGAATACCAAAACTCACAAGACTTTGCTTTGAAAGACAATGGAAATAACACGGCCACTATCACAGCTCTCAGGACATTTGACAGAGAGGAGCAGAAAGAGTTCTATTTGCCTATAATCATAACAGACAGTGGCAGCCCTTCCATGAGCTCAACAAACACATTGACCATTACAGTTGGGGATAAGAATGATCACCCTCATCAAGCTGGGCACAAGAAAATCTATGTTTACAATCGCAGAGGTAATATTACACCCACATCTCTTCTGTTTCAGAATTTTACAAAGTAAATTAAATATTCTGTTAGATGCACCGTCAATCCTTTAATTGATGAGACTTTCACCAACCTTGCGACTTTTGCATCGTGACTTTCGAGACATCTCGAAGACGTCTCAAAAGCGCTATATCAAATGCAAGGATTATTATAATATCCTATTGTCTTAAATTTTAAATCCTGGTAACTCAGATCCAGTATCAGAGCTTCAATATCTCAGTGTCTGAGATTCAATGTCCAATCTCACAGATTCAAGCCCTACATCACATCTATCATTCCTTTCTGAGGCTGTATTGGCAGAACTCTGGGAACAGGTACCTTAAACTGACCACTAGATATTTAGCCCTGGGGGAATATACAAAGTTAAATGAAAAAAAATGTCTTATATAAGATTGAATTTCCCCCCGAACAAAAATAAATAGATATTCGTTTCGGTACTGTGTATTCAGCAATGGATTATACAAAACATTACTCTCATCTTGATGTAACAAATGGGCGATTTGTGCTTCAAGGCTTAAGAGCAATAATAGCTGAGGAAAGAAGGGCCTCTTCAGGAGTGCAATTTATTTTTTTCTAAAGAACTTATCTTTTCTCGAGCTACCTATACATTAAAAACATTCCTTAGGCAATACTATCGACATGAACGGTACCTTTCTAAAAAAAAAATCTGATAACCTGAAATCAAATAACAAGTCAAACAATCAGACAGTAATCAGACAGTAATAACATTTTAGATTTGGAACCGTGTAGGTGTAACTTTCTGAAATTTCTTTAGCACTAGCCACTGCAATAAGAGAAATGACATTCTGTAAAGCCCTGAAAATCCATGTGAATGAGATCAACTGGAAGCAGTGCGAAGGTGGCTTCAGATCCTCTATCACCTCCCAAAGTGATTACATCCTAATTGAACACTTGCACTCATTCAAGCAGATGGGTGAAAAACCCTGACGTGAATGTGTGAGAGTGCAGCAATTAGATTGCTCAAACAATAAGATAAGTAGCCGGCTGTTGGAGCTCCCGGTGAATGGTTTCTGAGTGTCCACTCTACTTTTGTCATTTTGCTTTGCGATTTGGATTCATGTAGAATTTCGAGAAATTATATAACAAACTTATTTTGAGGAAGTTCTTTGAGTCATCAAAAAGGGTCTGTTCATCAGGTGAAAGTGATACTACTCCAGTTGAAGAAATAGGAAATTATGAGGTGTTCCCCTAAAAAATGCACAGTCACCACACTTTACAGTACATCCTGTGACATGATTGGAGATGTCCTCTTGACGTGAAAGGCGTGGTATCAAATGCAAAGATTATTGATATTATTATTATGTTAAGCCATTGTGTGGAAAGAAAATGAAAGGAAATTAAAGTTCTTTGTTAATATTACATGTACATCTTCTAACAGGTGTGATGTTAACTACAGTCCTGGGAAGAGTGCACGCTCCAGACCTGGACGATTGGGACAATAAGACCTACAGCTTTGAAGGCCGTAAGCCAAAGTAAGCAAACTCTTTATACATGCAAAATACAACATTCCATGTAAATGCAATGCAATACAAATTTACACAGTGCCTTTCACGTCAGGAGGAGATCCCAAGGTGCTGAACTAGGGAGCAAGTTAGTTAGTAGATTATTAAGTTGTATATTAATTCGAGTGATTCTCTTTGTGTATAATTCCTGAAAAATAGTGAATCTCCTGGTAAAATACTCATCTGGTGGTACTGCAGGTCCCACAACACAGAATCAGAATTCATTCCATTCATATTTACAAATACTGTAAGTCATTAGGAGATTAAATATACTTGATGTCTGATTCCCCTAAGTGTCTGGTGAACTCACTTCCAATAGGTGCTTCATATTAAACCAAAGGACTGGCTTTCTGATTATGAAGGGAAACACTCCTCAGGGGACTTACGACTTTCAGGTCAAGGTCTCTGATGGGATCTGGCCTGACGTTTATTCGACAATCAAGGTTCATGTTAAAGAACTGCAGGATGAAGCAATTCACAACTCCGGCTCTGTACGTCTGTCAGGTGAGCAGAATCCTGCTGGAGCATTCCAACAAGGGAACTGTTTTTTGATTGTGTTCTCAGTCGCTCCACTCTATTGTGACTTGGAGAATTGGAACATAAAAAGACATTATAAAGCTGAGTGATCTGGAGCTCAGAGCATCTTTGCAAAAGCTGGCGTTTTTTTTAAAAAAAAAGTGATTTAAAAAGTGAAACAAACTCTAGGCAGTTGGAGACTCAACCCAAGAATGGTAGTTCAAGCAGAAAATGAAATTTAAAGGAAAGAGTAAATGTGGCCACAGGCTTTCTGAGGAGGCGAGCTACTATTGATGAGGAGCACTGGGCCCGATCTAAGACAATTAAAAGCTGTCAGACGACACAAGATTGATGATCATTAATCTTGGGGTGGTGAGGAGGGGGCTTTCATCCATGACATGAAACATATTTTAGGATTTTTAGATTATTCATGTGAAATTTCTAGAATTAATTTTTAAATTCCTTGCATTTGGTATTAGAACATTTCACATGGAGTGAACACCTCAAGGTGCTTCACAGGTTTCACCGCAATAGTGTTGTATCTTTGTAGGTGAACGCACCAGCCAATTTGCAGACACCAATGCCCCACAAACAGTCATGAAGTTAATGACTGTTTTCATCTGAGGGATTGGTTTATGTCGTGTGACGCTATCATTGCAGCTGGTGCACCACATTTGGGGGTGAATAGGTATGGGGTCAAGTAATACACAATGTTTTCAGAAATAGGTGAACTATCTTATTTACCATGATAGCATGGTGCAATGGGTTATCACACTGTCTGCAGTTTAAGTGTTTCCATATATTGGCGTTGGTTGAAACTAAATCCCATAATGAAGTCAGAAAGGGAATGTTTGGCAATGAGAGTTATTAACAAGGAATCTGTTATTAACTGGCTGCACATTATGACTGATTAAATGAAACAGTGTGACTTACTTGTGTCGATTCGGAGAAGAAATCCCACAAGCCAACCATGACATCCTACCAGTTACTGTCAGGATTCCCTGTGAGTAAGTTTTTCTCGCTATTACTAATTTCTGTTGAAAACACTACTTTTGACCCCAATTATACAGATAGTTGATCGGAACATTGAAAATAAATTGAGACTGGTGTAAGTATGTGTGTGCGTGTGTGTTGGGGGGGTGGGGGAATTGGGATTAATAGCCATTGCTCCACATAGTCATTAAATCCTACAAATGGATAAATTATTCTCTAAAGCACACCACTCCTCTATCAAGTATTCGTTATGTGTTTTTGTTGTCAGTTAAGCAATTATATACACTGCTGACAGCATTAGTTATATTTCAGACTGTCAGAACTAATGGATCTTTTTGAGGTTTGGAAATTGTGTCTGAAAGCTTATTGGTCCTGTTTGCAGATATCACAGCCGAAGAATTTGTTCAGAAAGCAGAAAAGCAAAAAAGTAAATATGACATATTTAAAGAGCTGTTAGCTGAAGTCCTGCCAGCTCATGCAGACAAAATTGACATCTTCAGTGTCCTAAATGTAAATGGCAGACAGACTGATGTGCGATTTGCTGTGCATGGCCCCCTCTATTACCAGACAGAAAGGCTAAATGGAAATGTGGCAGCTTACAGAAAACAGGTAGGTATTGCTGTGAGTGGTTTAAAGCCTGAATACAAAGGACTTTGAAATGAATAATTCTGTAACATGGATCTTGCTGCTATGAGATTTGCTTGTTTTTGTTTTGGTTTGTTATTAATTACCAGTAAATATTTGATATTGATCATGGTGGCAGTTTTCTCATGGAGCATTGGATAAAATCTGTTTTTACAGAGGTGATACTCTGTCCTTGCCGTGATAAAAAATAAATCATAATTAAGCATGATATTCAGAAGCAGTCATTGGGCTTATTTTTAACTGTGAAACCAGCACTAGATTCGTCTAATATAAGGTTATCACTTTGATGGATTACAGTAAATTTGTATTGGTAAATGGCTCCAAATAAGTCAACTTTTGACAAAGATCTAATCAGTAATGAATTAATTTTCTGCAGTGGGACATGGGTGACAAACTTGTAATTGCTTCCTGATTATTTTTCTCTTTTTAGTTTCAGTCGGCTCTGAAGGTGAACATCACTCAGGTGCACGTGGATGAATGTGTCCTAGCAAACTGCAGTGGTGGCAACGGCTGTGCGAGCCGTCTCGTTGTCAGTGACACGCCGACTGTCGTGGATGCTGGGAACATTTCCTTTGTGTGTGTCACAGTAAGCATGTTCGCTGAGTGCACTTGCCTAGCACGGGAACGAGGGCATCAATCCTGCGCCTCATATGCGAGAAATCCCTGCCACAATGGAGGAACGTGCATTGATAGCCACAGTGGTTACAGGTGTGGTGTGGAGTCCTGGACTTAATTCACTCTTACTCACATGACATCAAATTATCTGTGAAACGTCTTGTACAGTTTTAACATCACAGGCACTGTATCAAATGCAAGGAATATTATTGCCAAAGTTATTTAATTTGGGGAAGATTTTACAAATGAAACTGCTTCCATTTTGGCAAGAGAAATGTATTAATAGAAACTGTAATTGACTTGTATTCATATCTACATAAGATGCGGCTGTTCAATTGTTAATCAATTGGTTTGCAGTATTCAAAATTGGGCTGTTGTATAGTTTTTGTGCCATTTCATGTCTACTTTTCCCTATTTCATGTTTATTTAATTTTCCTTTTGTTTGAAGGTGTCAGTGTCCTGTGCAGTTTGATGGACTTGACTGCCAACAAACAATGCACAGTTTTCATGGGAATGGCTTTGCCTGGTTTACACCAATTAGAACCTGCTTTGAGAGCCACCTTTCCCTGGAGTTCATTACTGAAGTTCTCAATGGGCTGTTGTTATACAGTGGACCGGTTACTGATCAGGAGCCTCAGGAACGGGAGGATTTCATTGCTATTGGTAAATTGGATCTACTTTTGGAAACTGAAACTGTACCTGATGTTTGCAATGACTCTGAAAGTAATAAGAAAAATAAATGAAAGCTTGAGTGCGAATGGCGTAATAATAGAAACAGTTACATTATTCTTACTCTATTTCATTTTTTCAAAAATAGTGAAGTTAAATATTTTATGGTGTAAATTATCTGTTGCTGTTTGAAGAAGAAATTCTGCTTGTCATTGCATTTCTTACCTTCCTGCAATGGGCTTGTTGGATGAACATCATATGGTATCATTTGTGTCTGATAACTAGGTCAATCAACTAATAAGTGGTGGCTCCTTTGTGATCAATAATAAAACCTGTGAATTTAGAGTGGCCGAGGTTGAGTGAGCTTGGAGCTATGAGTGATAAGTTACTATTTCCTCTGTAGTCCAGAGGGTCATACTCATTAATGCATGGAAGTAATTTCACCCTAGAATGCCCAAAGAATTCTGCTTTAAAGGCAAAATGAATCTTCAGAACCTTTCAGATTGAACACGAATACGGATAGTTTCCATAGAGAGTTTGATCTGTTATTTTATGTTCAATATGTTTTGATGTTGGTTGAGCATCAAGTGTAAAACTGTATGTGATTAGTAAAGCCAAGATCAATAGAGATAGACCAGAGGAGAGGAAAGTACTTTAAAAAGTTTTACTTTGAAATGTAGCAAAGGCTTTTGGCATACGGCAAACCTCTATATTTCACTGGTTACTCCAACAACTTGTGGATCACAGACAATACAATACAAAATTACATTTGTAAAGCGCCTTTCACGTCAGCAGGGTGCAGGGGGGGAGGTGGAGGGGTAGTTGTGATCAGGGGATTGGAGGGCAGAGAGGGTAGGAGGTACAACAAGACATCTTTGGACTAATTCTTGTTATTTTTTTAAACCATAACGATTTTGAGATTGAAATAAAATAAAAATGCAGTTTGTGGTTGAAGAAAAGAAAAAGAAGTCATACCACAATTGATTTATTCATCAAATTTTGTTAATGTAATGAAAATGAAACTTTTGTTTTGCACCAGAAATAAACAATGGTGTCCCAACTCTGAGGTTAAACCATGGCTCTGGGATGCTTGTGCTGGAGCTGCGGAGTAGTGTCAACGTAGCAGACAGACGCTGGCATAGGCTGGATATCAGGAGCAATGGGAAGGTAAGCATTAGCAAAGAGAACATTACTGCATTGATTGATGGTTTGCACAGGGATTTTTTTTATATAGTCGTTAATTTCCAGTAAAATAGAGAGAAAAATGAAGGGCTGGCAAAGCAGGGGGAGGGGTTGGGAAGAAATAGAGGAAAAAAGCAATAGAAGAAAAGTTGTGTATTTCTGTTCCGGGCTATGGTTTGCATTTTAACGGCAGCCACTGTTTAAATTGATGCAATACTTTGCCTCCAGGATGTACGCTTCACTCTGGATCGATGTGCAAGTTCCATTGTGTCTGAGAAAGGAGGAGTTGGCAAGTGGATTTCGACAGAGGATCGCTCAGTCTGTGAGGTCACGGGATCAACTCCAAATGATGAAAGGTTCAACAACATATAAACATAAGCCTGATAACAAATGCACCTTTTGACTACCTGCCTGCGTCGCACTTAAAGTAACAAAGCTCTGATTTTCCCTCTTTTGTCGCAGATTTTTACACGTTAACCAGGTTCTACAGTTGGGCGGTGTAAAAGAGACTCTGCCTTATGAGTACTCTCAGATAAAGCAAAGGCACTTCACCGGCTGCATCCAAAATCTGATCGTGGATAGTCAGGTAAAAGGGACAAACAAAAGAAATGTATTGTCCATGGTACTGAAACCATTTCAATTGGCTTCTTCTCATCAAAATATAGCTTGTCATTCAGAATGCATTCGTCATTTAGAAATTAAACAGCATTTTTTATACCACCACTGAAATATATGGCATCTGACAAACTCTGAACTTAATTTCAACTCGTCCATCACACAGTCCTTAAGTTACGACTTTTTAAAAAAAGCAAAATTGTTTCTCTTGAGACATGAGAGATTCAGAGATCTGGACTGTAATTATTCAAAGCACATCTTTTATTCTGGAAGAATTAATTGTGTGTATCTTAACCACATCCCGCTTGCAGGTATATGACCTGTTGTCACCTGCGGAGTCGCTCAACAGTGCACCTGGCTGTGCAGTGACTGAGGGGAATTGCCTGCTCGCAGAATCTCCTACCTGTGGCGCCCATGGGAGATGTCATGGAGAGTGGAGCTCCTTTACCTGTGAATGTGCCCCCGGTTATTCAGGCTACAGTTGCGAGAAAGGTAATGAGTTACAATAGTACAGAAATCCTCTGGCTCTTGCTACTCAAATGCTAAAATACACATCTGCCCAAAGCCATGTAACAACAATATTGCAAGCGTCAGTCAGGGTCTTTCTTTGATTATGGTTATTTGTAGCCAAATCAGTAAAGAACCCTTCCTCCAATCTCCTTCAAACAGAACAGAGGATTAACCACACTCTATCTGTCTCACGTGTCTTTTTCAAATCAATGTACCAGCCAGCTGCCATGTCATTGAACCAGAGCCTTTGAATCTCGGTTTGTGGCAAATTACTGAAATTGCTAGCAAATTGTTTGGCAATTGATTGCAGAATCCTACCCTGCAAAGTGAACTCTATCTTCACAGCACCACAAAAAATGCAAGAATTAAAATCTAATGCTCTGATGAGGGGCAGCCAGCGCCAGGAATATTAACCTCTCTGCTATTCAGAGGCTGATAAGGCCGCTGTTCATTCGAACATTTTCTATTTTCTTATTCTTGATTTGGCCTGTTGTAAAAATAAAATCTGTACCAAATATGAGGGTAGGTCGTCAACATAACAATCAATCCACGAAGGCTCATCTCCTTCTCCGAGAAACGAAAAAGCATGTTGTGCCAAATCACAATTATTACTGCAAACATATGGTTTTGACTCAAATGCAAAAATGATTTTCAATCGAGAGAACTGGAAGCCACAATGGGCATTGGAGTTACACAGCATTCAGACTTCTGAAAATATTAAAACCCACAAAGATTGAAATATGAAGCTGCTGTCCTCCTGCTATCTATTAGGCTGTAAGAGACACTTTATTCAAAACTAATTCTGTGCTTTTTCTTGATGCAGTTGCTGAGGAGTGGTCCTTTAGAAAGGGCAGCTATGTTCAGTATCGGCTCAGAGCTCCAGTGCCTGTCCGCAGGACACTCATCCAGGCCATGGTCCGCACACGAGCTCCCAACAGCTTCCTCATGAGCTTATCTTCCAAAGACAGAAGCGAATATATCAGACTGCAGGTAGGCAGCAACAACCAGAGAACAGAAAAACGTGAAACTCCTTTCTTATATAGCAACTAGGAAGGTACGAAAGCGACTTTTTGTGGGAAAGACTGTTGTATTCCATCCAGCCGGTCCCAGAGGTTCTTCAATCCAGATTTAATTGTGCTGATTTGATTCATAGTTTTGCATTTCCGTAAGTTTCTATTAAGAACTCCAAAACAAAGACTGAATTCAACAATTTGTCAAATTCTGGATGCTCTAACATGCTATATCCCAACTATCTCCTGGGTGAAAGTTTTAGACTCTCTAAATCTCAAGGATAATTAAACAAAAAAAAAGAAACAGTGTATTCATCTATCTCCACATTTTGTGTATTCAAATCCTGCCTCCTCATTAAAAACAACATACTCCCCCCACCCTCCACCCCCGCACTCAGCTTCCACAATCCACTTTCAAGTCTCAATTGAACGATTTAAAAAAAATTAAAATCCTACCCCAAACCTATATGCCTGTACTTGTCAGTCAACCAGGAAATGACCCACGTCGCTTTTGACTACTTCTGTTTAGCTAATATTTACTGTAGCAGATAGCAATCTATTCCAAACTCAACCTCACAAATAATTTCCAAAGTATGATTGGAAATAATAATACTCATCGGCCATGCTTGATCAATGAGTCCCTAAGGTTTAAGTAGCTTAATTTAGAATAAAAGTTCGATAAACCTGTGTAAAGTTCAGCGCTCATTTGAGGTGAGTGTGATTCTGCATTGTCTTTACAGGTATGGCAAGGATTGCTGGCAGTGTACTGTAACCTCGGGGATGGGCAGCAGGTTTTGAACCTGACAACCCAGCGTATCGACAATGGCGAGTGGAACATGGTGAATCTGGATCGCATTGACAACGAATTCACGCTGCTTATCAACGGAGGCAGCGCAAAACGAGAAGTTACTGCATTGCTTGGAAAGTACAGAGAAATAATTATTGACCCGCACACTGTGGTGCTCGGAAACATTTACCCTGCCGGCCACGATCATAGTTTCCAAGGTAACAGAACTTTAATTTCACTTTTGGGGCTAATTTTACTTTGAATGCTGAATGAACTAATTTTTAGCAGAGGCTGACTTGTTTATTTTTTAATTTAGATTTGATAAGAAGCTTTAATTTGATTATTCACACACTGGAACGCTGTGAAAAGACTGAGAATACAAATATAATGAAGATCATTCATGTCAGACCTTTGTGATGTTTAATTTGTAATAACATTAATAGATGTTATCACTGACAGCTCACTCTCTGTGTAGGAAACTACAGTATGCACAAAAGCCAAAGTTTAGCAGTAATAAAGCCTTGTACTTATAATATTATAGATTTCTCTAGCCCTGTTTGCTTTTTACTATTCACTCATCCACATTGCTCATCTGCTTATTTAGCTTATAGAATATTTCCTAAACAGGCAGTAAAATCTCCAGAGAAATAAGACTCAATATACCATAAATTTGTGTTTGGATAATCACATAGAAATGATTAGTAACATTAATTTTAACTTGTTAACATTGAAAGAGAGATAAAAGCGCAGTTCGATAGTTCTGTCAGTAGCACACAAAGATATTAGGTTCTGAGAGTGGCTTTCATCATTCTTTATAACTGCATTACAGTAGCAAAATTCCCACATTTCTCTTAACACATGTCCAATCTAGGATACCAGCTCGCAAATGACTAAGCATATCACTGGCCCCCACAGAGCAATTGCACCTAAATTGACAGTGAATCCTGTGGCATAATAATAATAAATAATAATAATCCTGCATTTGATATAGCGCTTTCCACGTCTTCTAGACGTCCCAAAGCGCTTCACAGAATATACTGCAAAGTGAATTGACTGTATATTTGTGGGCGAACGCGGCGGCCAATTGCGCACAGCAATGTCCCACAAACAGACAAACAAACAAACACAATGGTTGTCCATTGTCAGCTGCCCATTGGATTGATTCATTAAAGGCTATATCCACAGATGACTCATTAGTGGGCAAGGTATACGCAGTCACTACACTTTTCAGTACTCTGTGAAGTACTTTGAGACTATATCGACTCGATAAGATGCTATATCTATACAAGGATTATTATTTTAGTGAAAATTGTTTAAACAGTGGATGATAATTGTCAGTCAGACATTTATCATTTCAGTGCCTGCAGAAAATGTACTAGAACAGGTTACAATTTCTTGTGGAAAAATACTCACACGTATCCCATTAAGTCTTGATGCTGCAGATTTCCTATGACATTAGGTTTCTCATTCCTTCCTTGTCTAAATTAAATGTTTTAATAGTTTGATATTTCTATGTATTCCAGTATTGAATTACAGATATTAAAAATGTAAGAACCGTACTTTTTTTGATTTTTTGATGTGTTCTGTAAAATGTTTTATGCAAGAATTTTACATGTGAGGAGAACTGTGATCTTTATCCCTGGGTTCGATGCACGTTAAACTCCTGATATGAACTGTTATTTTATTTTGCCTTGTCCTCAGGATGTATGAAGGATGTCAGACTGAACAACATCCACTTGCCTTTCAATAATGAAAGAGTGGAGTTGGCTTCTGTTGCCAATATGCAGGGACTAAGCAAGGGTTGCTTATCAGAAGCCTGTACAAAAAATCCCTGCAACCCACCCTTTCTGTGTGAGGACCTGTGGAGAGCTTTTGAGTGCAGGTAAAGTCAGCCAGCGGCAATAAGTTGTAGAGAATGCAATTGCAACAAAACAAGTGGCGAAAAGCTCTGCTCTTTATTATTTGTTATAAAATGAGGTCGATAGCTCAAGTAACTGAATGCTCAATTCTTAATCAAAAGGTCACATGTTTCAGTCCCAGTGCTTCCTGTCGCTCAAATTCATTTTTCTCAGCTGAGTGACTTTTCTCATTTGTCACAGTCGGTGGTAAAAGCCACCACATGGAGCTCCAGACCAAATAGAGGTCCTCTACCCTGGGAGAAGAGACAATGAGATTGTCTGAATTGCTTTGTTCTTAACGGTAGCTCCTGCTGTGTGGTCCGCCAGCAGCACAGACCAAGCAATGTCCATAGATCAGACTCTTCCACATTCCTACCTAGAGCAGATGTGCGTTGAAAGAAAGGAAAAATAATACAAATCATAAAGGTTAAGTGAGAAAGCAGCGGTTCTGCTCGCTCCTTACACCAACAACAACAAAATTACATTTGTATACCGCCTTTCACGTCAGGAGGACATCCCAAGGCGCTGCATATCAGAGCCTGTGTTATATCAGTTAATGTAACATGCATCAACCATGTGGAGTCCTGTAGAGTATTGGTTAGAGCACTCACCTCGCAAATGAGAGGACCAGGATTCAATTCCCAGGCAGAGCGAAACCTAGGGCAAGATTCCTTACTACACACGCCTCTGTTTACCTAGCAGTAAGTAGGAACCTGGTTGCTAGTCGATTGGTGGACACTGCTGTGCGCAATTAGCTGCCACTTTTCGCCCACAGAATACACAACCAATTCAATTGTGTTAGTGTTGTGAAGGAAGTTTTTCCCAATGTACTGGCTCACAATTCCCCAAATAAAATTGGTCATTCACTTCAATAGCTGTTTGTGGGACATTGCTGCACGCAAAATTGGCTGCTGGGTTCACCTTTACAGACTTTACAATAACATGTTGACCGGGTAATATGATTGGAGAACATTGGCAACTTATTCTCATTTCTGTTTTTATTGCCGACACAGATGTCCACCTGGTCAGAAGAGCATGGAGAATACCACAGGCAACAGGAATTGCATTTACAGTTTATGTGCTGATAAACCTTGCCACCATGGAAGCACCTGTATTGTCCAGTCCCCTTCCAGATTCAGCTGTCACTGCCCTGAAGGCTACACTGGCCGGCACTGTGAAATCAGCCTGGCAATCTATCATGATGACATAGGCCTCAGCTTCAGCTCCATGTTTGCGATATGCATTTGTTTTCTGGCACTCTTAGGTAGCTATGGCAACTACATTTTGTACTACCTGTGGTGACGTTGAGATATTTACTCTCACCTGTCTTGAAGGCTAATGATGTGAGGAATCTGCGACTGTCAACCGGACACTACCTTTACTCCAGCCTCCTTCCCTTTCTCTGTCATGTAAAAATCTTCAGTACTGTTTTATCCTTTCTCCATGTCTTACTGTGTGTCTGAAATGTTAAAGGTCAGCACTGCCCTGCTTGCAATTGTGGATAAAACTGAAAAGGTCAGCTGCCGTGCAGTCATTAGTGTTTTCCCATCTGACTCAGGTTGTGCTGTGCTTTGATTTCGAGAAGTTTATAAAACTATCTTTTTGTATGGTACAATTGTGCTCAGAAAGTAATATCACAACTATTGTTTTTGTAAAAAAATTAATACACTCTATCGATCCAATCAAACACCATCACAATAAAAATATTGATTGTGTTTGGGTAACTTGCCCCGTTTTTAGAAAATATGACATGATACAAAAATAACTTCCTGCCTTTAACCCTAATAGAATAAAACAAGAATAGTACAGCATTAACTGCTGTGTCAATAACACAGATAAAGTGCCACCGATTCCTGATCTTTGGCAGCTGTGTTCAATTGGGCAGAGACATATTCACTCTAATGGTGAAGAACCTTTCAGGTTATCCACATTACAAGAAAAAGTCTTTAAAACCAGCTTGTTGGAAGCTGCATTATCCTTCTGATTCATTTGTTGCCCTTGGAAACTGTCAAAGTATCCCTGATATCTTTTTAAATCGTTCCATACTTTCCAGTTTCCGAAAATCAATTTGCTCTCAAAAAAAAGTTTTCTCTGTATACTTAAAAAGTGCAGGATCTATTTCTAAATCTGCTTGCCTGTCAATTTCACAGCTGACTGGTGAACTGAACAACTTCCAGATGGTCTGATTTTGCAAGAAGTCAGTCAGATAGGAACCAATGTGAGAAAAATTACTTGAAATAAAATGATAACCCCAAATAATAACTTTAGATTCATTAAAATAAGAGACAAAGCACCTTATTATTAATTTGTTGCAATATTTGATCTTTCAAAATTACCAATACAAGAAATTCTGCAGCTTCTAAAAGGCTTTTTTTCCCTTGTCTCATCCGTGTAAGTGAAGTATATCTCTCTGTTTGATTCGGTTTTCGTAAAGAATTTGTCTTTTAAAAAGAAGTGTTTTCAGTCATTGTGCACACTGTATTCTGTTCTTTTCCGAAGCACAATAAGACTTCTCCCTGTCTCTCCGTCTCCAGTTTTCCTTATCTTCTGGTTACACTGTTAAATTGGAGCATTGTCTGTATAGCTTGGAGTGGGGTGACTCAGATGAAAAGCCAAATTCATTTTTTTTCACTTTACATAACCTGAAAGTATTAATAAGTATCAGCATCGACTATTTTATATCTGATAGCCTTCTTACTGCTTCTGTGGTGAAATCTTTTTCAGTAATTTAATCCATTTTTAAAAACCAAAGCCTAAATTTCACTCTGAAGTGGCTTAAGATGCACTTTCTGAACAAGAGAAGTGGTTTTTGTACAGTCTGGAGCATTGAATGTTTTAAATGCAGATGTTATATTTTTGTTACAAGTATCGGGAAATACTTGATAAAGATGATAAAGTTGTCTTGCAGTTATTCTGAGGCCTTGGGGAGGATTGACAGCAATGTTAAAACCATTGGATTCAATTGGTCTGTTGCCTTACAGGTAAAACAAAAGACGGTAATGTGGTCAGATCAAAAGTGCCTAATGTATTTTGGCCAATAAAGTGTGACTACAATTCTGCACTTGTCTATCACTTTTTCTTACCTTTCCTGTTTTCCAATGTCTTTACATTGTTGTCTGTTTATCATGCATTTGTTTTCTGCGTTTCCTGTCTGTTTGATGCATTCAAATAGTTTTCATACTGATACTCATATAGCTTGGTTAAGGTAATATACATTAATGTATTCACTTTGCATTCGCTTAACTTTTTTTTAATCTTTTTTCAGTATTTTTAAACATTTTCTCCCCATCTTCACTTGCATACATTCAGTTCTGCTCATTGGGGTGTCCCTTTGGAGTTGTCAGAAGTCAGCTAAAAACCTGGAAGGAAGCACGTACAATGTTTCAGAACAGCATGAAGCCTGGGACATCCAGGAAAATGTACTGAACTACGATGAAGAAGGGGGCGGTGAAACAGATCAGGTAAAGTTTTGTTAACGTGTACAGTAAACCTCACATAAGCTATATCAGTTGGGACCTTACATTTAATATGACATTTGCAAAGTATGAGTAATGTCAAACTTGCATAGAATATAAACTCTTGAATAAGGGGACTTGCGTATGATTTAGGAGATTTATGTGATTAATGCAATTAGACGTGTGCAAGTTTTACTCTATTTGTAAAGATGAAATGTGTAATGAAAGTTATTTACAACAAACATGTATAACAATGATTTACAACATGCAATGAATCTGAAAATCCCGGGAAATGCACTGCTATGAGATTGTTTGCCGCCATATCAATAAAATGTGTGCAGTTTGGACAAAACAATTTCAGCTGGAATCTTACCCTCAACAGGACTGCTATGACATGGCAGAACTTCAGAAACCATTCTACATGAGTCCGGTCCTTTCTGCCTCTCGAAAGGATCATTCAAATCGAGAAGATGACCGAGTGAGAAAAGATGTTCTACCATCTCAATGTGAATCTAAGAAATTGGCGAGTGCCACAGTTGCCGAGCAGGATTTTGACCAGTACATCTCCAATATCATTCAAGATGCGGATCAGCACCCACAGATGCTAGCATATGATTCTTTAAAAGTGTACTGTACAGAAGGGGAAGGCTCTGTAGCTGGTAGCCTAAGCTCCCTGGACTCCTTGCCACAGGACGAAGAACTGGAATATGACTACATGAAGGAATGGGGGCCTAGATTTGAAAGACTGAGAACTCTATATGAGCCCATAGAGGAGAACGTAGTGTGACAGGGTCTTAGTTGGGGTCTTTATTTTTGGAATGTTGCTTCATGAGTGACAGGTGGTAACTGACCACCATATGATGAATGTGCTAGTTTCTTTTGAAATGGCAGGAAGTTTTTGTGTTTTTACAAAACCATCCAACAGCTAAGATGATGTCTGTGCTGGCCTTTGCTACTAGGGAGAAATAGAATTCCAGGCTTAAAGCATTGGATTCCCACCAGTGGTGAATAAACGTTCAGTGGGAATTGTTTGGGGGTGAAACCTTGTTCTTGTGGCAACCTGACAGGAGACAGATTCCTGAATATTTATTTGAGAACCAAACAGCAGGTTATCAGCATTATTTTAAACTTGTGCAAAACCACAATACCCCACCCATTGCACACAACGCAATTACAAAATGTCACTCTGTAGATAAAACCTCCTCAGAGTGCGTCGTGTCATAAATATTTTTTCCGAAATTTTAACATCTTTAAGATCCTGATTGCAACTGGGCAGTTTTATAGACTTTTAAGAAATGTATTTTCATATATAAAAAAATGAGTCAGCGGAAATTCCTCTGTTTTCATTAATATAAGGATACAAAGAAAAAGTAGATATGTAATTCTGTTTTTTTTATAACCTAATTGGAGAATAATCAAAATTAAGCTATTTTTTAAAACCATTTTCAGTGCTTACATATACAGTACGTATGTACGAATCAGTTTGAATTCATTTTCAATGTGAGATTTCAGGAATCTGGAACGGACATTTTAAAATCTGGAAATGAAACAATTCAATAAATGGATCTTTTTACTGTGACTCACCAAATAACGCTATACAGCGGCAGGAGAGTGACACTGTTTTTTCACACAGCTATTGATTCAGGCTTCTCATTGCTGTACAATGTAATCTAGATCAGCCAATTTGAGCAGTATAAAAAGTGATACAATCTCATCTCAAATTAATTTCAGAATAAAAATAAAACAGAAATACTGTGCTCAAAGTCGTAAAACTACCGCGTAGAAGTGGTTTGCATTTGTGGAGCATTTCAACACTTGTTTCCATTTCACTGTTTGAATGAGATCACTGAATTGTAAACATCTATGATGGGAATGGTATTAAAATGCTAGTTGTGATCTATCACTGCATGACCACCTCAGCGGTAAATTGCTCTGTTCATCACGCCACATGCACAATGGAGGATGAAGCTATCTGAGAAAGGCAGGGGGAAGGTACTTATCCCCCTCAAAAAAAACCTTGTACAACAAAATAGAAAGTACACAGTTCTGAAACCTTTTGCAGTGTGCAAGCACTTATTTATTCTTTTGTATAAATTTCCAAATCAAAATATTTTTTCTGTTAAAACGTGCAGTAAACTGTCACATGCTGTTGATTTGGGTTGTGTTTGTTGAAAAGTTGAGGAAACTCGTGTTTCCGGTATGTAATATACAATAAACACTTGAGAAATATAACAGTAATTTCTGTGCAGTTGTCGCTATTCAAAGACATTACGTCCCCTGGGTTGATTTGACCTTAAGCTCAAATCAAATTGCATTTGTGATGCGGCAACAAAAAGGCCAGAAGCTGGTTCACTATTTGACTCCTTCACTTTTACATCAAATCATATTATATTAGTACACACAAAAGAATGTGGCTGACTGTAGCTATTTGTACACTCAATATAATTGGAGTCATTTTCTTTCTGAACTAAGATAGTTTAATGTAATAACTGATAATATGTGCAACATTGTGAATGTAAAATATCCTTCATGAATAGAATTGTCGTGGCCATCTGTCTGTCTGTCTGTCTGTCTGTCTGTCTGTCTGTCTGTCTGTCTGTCTGTCTGTCTGTCTGTCTGTCTGTCTGTCTGTCTGTCTGTCTGTCTGTCTGTCTGTCTGTCTGTCTGTCTGTCTGTTTACTTGTTTGTTTGTTTATCCATCCATCCATCCATCCCATCACATAGCCACTTTAATAATTCTTGCATTTGGTTATTTCAAAACATCTCAAAGCACTTTACAGGTCATTTTTGTTAAGTGCAATGCTATATATCTGCAAGCAGCTTATGCTATCTTGTCTTGTGCACAGCATTGTCCCACAAACAGTGTCCCAAGACTAGTTTACATAGTTTTTGGCCAGGAGACAAAGGAAAAACTAATCATTCACCTGAATAAGACCCTACGTATAATATCTCTTTTGAAGGACAACACCCCTGACAATGTAATCACTCTCCAAACACTACACTGCAGTATCAGTCTATACCGTGAACCATAAAGTCCCAATTTTACATTTGACATAATTATCAACAAAATATAATGCATTACTAAATGATTAAAATACTAATGAAAACAATTATTGGGGGAGAAGAATTTCAATAAAGAACCAGTTACCTTCTGAATGAAATATGTGTGTCCTTCCTTAGTGAGATGAACAGTCAATGGCTGATCACATTTGTACTGGATTTAATTAGACCCATTAATCATAATCGAGCTATGCTTAAATTCCATTACCAGATGCTGATAACTTCGCCCACAAATATACGGTCAATTCACTTTATAGTCTATTCTGTGAAGCGCTTTGAGACGTCAAGAAGACGTGAAAAAGCGCTATATCAAATGCAAGGATTATTATTGTATTATTAATATTATACCTTCAGCTAGATTATTGAGAAGCAGCATTTGTTTGGTAGAAATATCTGAATTAGAAATATTGATAGAAATCAAAAACTGTAGCATTGCTATTGCCTAGATATGCTGTTACATTAGGTTAGGGAACCCTTTAAAATGCTTCTGTTCCAGTATAAGCAATAGGTTTTAAAGTCTACCAATGTTTAGGATTCTGTCTGTTCTGGTGTGTGTGTGTGAATGTGTTGCAAGTCAGGTGTGACCTCATATAGCAGGTATAACTACTGTTGATTATGTAACCTTTGATTCCTGTTCATTTGCTATTTGGAACGTATTTTGATATTTGGTATCTGAAGTGAATGAAGCCACGAAAAATGGATTCTTTATAATAGATATGTTAGACATACTCTACAGCATCAACTGTGTGGGGACTGGTTCTAGCCTCCAATTTAAACAGAAACACCTTGGCCATGTGTCTCCAGTCAATCAAACAGACTGTGGTAGTGTCAGATGCAAAAAGTGGAATGGGATATTTAAAATGAATGGAATATAGCACACTGCTGTTTATAACAAATCTGCTACATTAAATTTTGTTCAGTGTGTGCTTTGCAAGTTGTGGCAAATAAGGGAGGATTCTATTTTACTGGTTTACTAAATCTACTTAATCCTCTTAAATACACAAGATTATTTAATACAATCTCCAAATAGAAATAAAAATAATGTGGACGGTAGATAATGTGTGACTGCAGTATTGGAAATAATGTAAACCTGTACCTCGACATTTGCGTTAAATGATGTGAATTTGTAAAGACGCTTATTATCGTTACATTAACTAAATCTGCATTGTGCAACACTGGAGATCCATCATAATCTTAATAGGAATCTAAAAACAGACGATAGAATTTGACATTTAGTTTGCCTTGTGATGTATAGGCATTTTAGTGCACTACAATACACTTATAGGTGTCAGTTTGACTCAATTGGTAGCATTCTTATTACAGAACGGAAAGTTGGTCACGGGAAACTTTGCTGAACTATTTTTTTAAATTCATGAACGAATCATGAATTTATTCACTCTGGAATGGATCAAAAGATTTAAAAGGATAAAAGTGCAGCTCATATGCTTTTATACAGCTTTTCTCCCACTCTTTCTAGAAGGACACTAAAGTCAAGTGCGGTGGGATGTTACCCTGTGTGAGGGGCGCTATTTAAATGCAAACTGTTGTTGTTAAAGCCAATTGTAGAGCTGTACCTGACATCAACTGACTCAGCAAAGCCCAAGGATCAAACCTGGAAGCTTCTTCCTGATCTCCGCAGCTCAATGTGGAACCATGCAATGCAGTTACCCACTCAATTCTTTGGGGAGACATCCATAAGCTCTTATGCTGCTGAATAAATTGAAAGTTCAAGTGATCAGCGCAATCATCCTCCTATGACAAGTACTTTCAGTATAATAGCCTGTTCAGTTAAAATGTGCTTTTGAAAGGTAGCCAGTTTGTTCCATTACAAAGCGGCAAATCATTTTGTAGCTGGTTCTTTTCCCTCTTAGATTGATTGACTTAGGTTTGGTACTAAGAAAACCCTTAATCTAAAATCCATTATCCTTCCTTTCATCTTTAAAATACCTTGAGAGACACCTAAGGTAACAAAAATGTCAGCTTCTGAATCCTACGCTCATAACAGATAATAGCATCAACATAGCTCGTTTAGACATGAAGGTAACAGCTTTAAGTAGAACTGAGTTTAGTTCAAGGTGAAGTTGTTCAGAGCTGCTAAAACACCTTCTGGGAGTTGATTGGATATGTGGCATGTCACGTTAAACCTGATAAGTTGTCATGTTATGCTATTATCAGAAATAAATTTCACACCAACCCTGCATTCATGAAGTTGTCATCAAATATTACGGGGAAAGACTGAAGTTAGTGAGTAAGAGTTGGAATATTATTATGGATTTCTTGTTTCAGTTATGCGATTAAATTTCAGGAATACATACCTATATCCCATTATAGATCTCAGTTAGCCAAGTGTCATAGTTGTTGGCAATGTTGGTCATTTTTCTTTGAAAGAAATAAAAGTATTTTTCTTTGTGTTACTAATTTGTGACCCTATCACCCCCATCCTCGCCTGGCTCCATGGAATCAGGCAGATATCTCTAAAAGCGCGAGAGCAACCTCCATTCAAAATATTCTACCAGCTACTATTCCTACTTTGGGTCTCTGCTCATTGTTTGGTCAGCCAGATGTCTGACACACATGGAATTCCATGTTTAATTTAAAAAGCAGCGTGAGGTGGTGATGGGGGAATGGTAAGGTGGGTTTTCTGGAAGTATGAGATCAGATGGGCTGAATGGTCATCTTCATCCAAACCAATCTTGTGTCATCTTGTGACCAGAATTCCATGTATGCATGAGTGGATGGAGCTGTACATTGTTCCTTCATCTCTGAGACCTGTCTTTGTTGCTTTGCTGAATACTCTTCTTTTCTGAAGGTTTCAGTTCTATTACTAGACCTATCTATGTATTTAAAAAGAGATACAAGATGGAAACAGCCTCAGCTCATCAAGTCAGTAAAAACTGATCACATTGTTGAACAATGTTATCAGGCCATAAATACACTCATGCACGACTGTTAGTGGGACCTTGTTCTGTGAGAATTACCTGCCACATGTGTCTACAAATAGTTAAAGAGGCAAAAATCAAATACAAAGAGAGTATATGTTCACCATCATGATGTCCTTTCTGAATGTCTAGCACTCAGTTCCACCCAGAACGTGGGTGCTAAGACATAATTCATTCCCATTAATTCGTCACAGTTAAACTAGACAATTTTCCAACATTTTTAAGATAATTGCTGATAAGAGTGACAATTTTCTCGATGTGGTTGAATCCAGAGTTTTAAGTTACCACAGCGACTGGGTTTCATAAAACGGTACATCAAGGACATTCAATGATATCAAAAAAATCAGATTAAAATCTTCGGATCAACTTCAATGAATAAATTCAATATGTGTAAATTAAATATTTTCAAAGAAACAAAGACAGGCTCAAAGATGTAAGAAGATACTTAGTGGTAACTAAAAAATCCTTTAAATTACAGAAACATAATTTAATTTAGTTAATCAACACTATCATTATTTTAATTGTTCTGAAAATATGGTTTCACAAGATTATGGGAAACAGATCTTAATAGGGTTTTTTACAATAAGTGGTAGATTAAAAGTAAGTATATTTAAGTTATTCCAGGCTTAACAACTGCAGCTGTAATGTGGTGGGTGGATGGGCATTGAAAAGTGCATTTTAGTTTTGTACAAAATATCAAACCATTTTTGATATTCATTGCGATACTTTAAAATTCTTGCAGCCATTCAGCCAGTTTCTATATATTGTTTCGTTCACAATGTTCTTTCTGAAATCACTCTGGAACCTACACTTTTGCTTCTCATTGTACAGTATGTCTGAAATGGAACCAAACTACAATAGCCAGAGCTACCTATGTGCATTCGTTAATTTGTGGGATAACGCTCTCACCAAGAGATAGGCTATCAATCCTAATCAAAATGAGTACTGTAGCAATTTGCGCCCCTTCATAGAACTGGTGGAATGGAATAACTAAGAATTTTCTCAGGATGATTTATCATCACCTATATGTTTTATGTTTTTGATGTTGCAATAGGAAGAGTTAAGATTCTGAAAAATTAATCTAAGGGCCTTCTTTATCCAAACTGACTCTTATGTTTTTTAAACAAAACTACAAGCCTGTATTTCACATTAATATAGAATTATACTTCCTAACCACAACATGTTAAACATTGAATTAAACTATTTTACCCTTTGCGTTTCAATTACAGCAGCAGTGAATAGCATAGAAACGAGAAAAATTCTGCTGTTATCAGAATATTCATTTTTAGACTCTGTCATGGATAATAGAAATAAATCCCTGTAGTGCATTTGCCGGTTGACTAAAATTAAACCCCAAATTGTCAGTCTCTTTATCTAATGTGCCCCACAAAATGATTAAAATGCACGTAACTAGGCAAACTAAATGACAAATTCTATTGTCTGTTCATCTCATCGTTTTTAGACTCCTATTAGGATTATGATGGATCTCCAGTGTTGTACAATGCAGATTCAGTTAATGTAACAATGATAAGCGTCTTTACAAATTAACATTATTTAACCAAACGTCGAAGTAAAAGTTTACATTACTTCCAATGTGCAGTCAGTCACACATTATCTACCGTTCAAATTATTTTTACTTCTATTTGGAGATTGTATTACATAATCTTGTGTATTTAAGAGGATTAAAGGATTTAGTAAACCAGTACTAAAATAAAATCCTCCCTTGTTTACCACAACTTGCTAGGCACACACTGAGCGTAATTTAATGTAGCAGATTTATTAAAATTGTCCTACACAAAAAGGACAATTCGGCATCACCATTTATGGCACTTTAGTAGTTTCCACAATCAATGTTAAAATGTTTTCAATGTAATTCCTCACCTCTGAATATGGTACTTAAATTTCTTTGAATGAAGGTATACGTAATATCATAACAACCCTTGCATTTGATATAGTGTTTTATCACGTCATTGAGATGTCTCAAAGCGCTTCACAGGATATACTGTAACGTAGATGTAGTGAGGAATGTGAGGAGAAAAATCTCAGTATGAAATATAAAAGTATGGTATTTAAGAGTTATATTTTGCTCTTTCCAGTGCATTTTTTTTTGCTAACGGTGTATATTGAAAAAATACAGGTACACACTGTCAACAGCCACAGGCAAATATGAACCTCTAATTTCAAACTTATTAATCATACTTTGTGAAAATTTGGCTTTTAAGAGGTATCTTCTTTTAAAATGCAATATTCAAAAATGTTGTCCTATTATCTTGCCCTGAAACAATCAGTTTGTGCCCTTTATAACTTCCATCTTAGAAAATGTCTCAAATCCCAGGCAGATGAATGTTGTAATCAAAACTACAGTCTTGGAACAAATTCAAAATTTACATGTAAATGTTAATTGAGTGATTGTTTATTTCCTAAATAACACACAGGATTCATGTCAAATATGGTGAAATAAAACAGCAAAAAACACAACTGTCAATAGTTCCATTTAAAAAATCTATATTTACCCTAAAGTGATTAGAGAAAAAAACATTTCAAAAGAAATCTCAGAACCAGCAGTGATGTTCCTCCAATTGGCACAGAAGCTGTTTTATCTAAAAACCATGGGTGCAATGAATAAAGTCACTTACACCAACTGAAAAGGTTACAAGCATTTCTATTTAAAGAAATGGGTACCAGAAGAAATCATATAGCAGTAAATAAAAGCAAAAGTCATCAGCTATTGCAAATGTGGAGCTGGAACACTAAAATGTCAACCCCAAGTTTAGGAGATTAGGGACTGAATCCCAGCCTGAGCTGACATTTGCACAAGATGACAAGCATCTGTGATCTCAGTTAAGTCTGCTGTGTGATATAACTTCCTGCATCTGCATTCAAGAAGGAAGCAGTAGGATAAACAAAGTGATTCATCCTGCTCTTGCAGATAAAAGAGGACAATATAGGTGAAAGGATTAAATTAATGGCTTAGGAAGGGGGAGGGAAGGTAATCAAAGCTAGTTAAGAAAATCAGCTTCGACTTAACTCTCAGCAGCATTTACATTTCGGAATTTTTAAAAACTTGGCCAATGGCACTACGGCTGACCTATGTGCAATAATGCATCAACAATTATCTGTAAATCCCAGTTACAGAAAATGTTTTTCAATTTTACGTTCAGTTAACAACAATTTACATTTATATAGCACCTTTCATGTCAGGAAGTCATTTCATAGCTTTTCACACAGCTGACTGAGAACCAAATTAATAATGCAATAAATGTTTTGCTGAAAATAGACCATAATAACCTAACCCCCAGACATTATATGCGTCAATTCAGACAATGGACGAAACCTATTTCAACATTCTTCAATCGTGTCATTCTAAAAGAACGTGCTGCAACAGTTAAGGCACGCCTTGGCAGTCCGATTGGAAATTTTCTGCACAGGAGCCTGAAATGGTCCAATGGTTCTGTATTAAAGATGCTTGTGGAATAACACAAAATAAATCTCCTAGATTGTAATACTGGCCAAAAATGGTTCATCTAATTTGGCACAATTTAGATACTAATGTCAGTGTGATAAGGTTAGGATAATTTACCAATAAACAATATCCAAAATCTACTAATCAGTCAATAATGGAAAACATGGTGTTATGTTTTACACAAATGACAAATACACTTGAAGGTAAACACATCTACCAGGTAAAGCACACTATCATACACGTACCGCAATTATACAAGTAAACACTTATTTATAAAAATTAAGATTAATATGGAAAGGAATGTGTTCTCTCATGCCAACCTGTGTTACTAATTCAAATCAGTACTGCCACTAAGGCAAGACAAGATGAGAAAAATACCTTGATTAAATGATCTTACATTTAAATTATTGTGCAATAAGAAAACATTCAAATGTTAATGTTATACTGTACTTAGTGAGAGAAAAAATAGTTTGCATGTTAAGATATTTAGCTGGTGATTAAATTAACTGGCAGTGCAAATTTTGTTTCAACAAATTAAAACTTGTAGAACTGGAACAAAAAATACAACCTCTTGCTTTCAATGGTAAATGAGCATGAAATAAAACTAGGCCTGAAGGACGAGTTGGAACACCTGGTGAATAATTCTCTTAAAAGTGAAATGATACCATTCAGCAGGAGCTAAGCTAATTCTTCTCACATACTCTTTCCGTAAACAGTCATTGTTTTCAATTGTGTCAAACCAGACATTGACATGTTACAATGCAGTAATGGAACAACTGCAGAAGCCTAGCTTCTAATAGGGTGCATCTTTCTTTTTCTTGAGTCTGTAGACATGGAAGGTTTTGTTCCGAAACACACGGGCAAAGTAAGTGGTGTACGGAGGTTGGTTAGACTTGATTTCATCGCAAAAACGTTGATAAGGAGAGGGTTTCAAATCAGGGTCATTTTCTCCTGGGCCATCCATCACCTAAAAACATCAGATTTCTGAGGTTAATACTTATGCAACCCTCAAAAAGGATCATAGTATCATAGATTCTATAGAATCATAGAAATTTACAACACAAAAAGAAGCCATTCGACCCATTGAGTATGCACTGGCTCTTGGGAGCTTCCACTCCCCATTACTAAATGTAGTAATTTAGATTTACCCTGAAGGTGAAGTTGTTCCTTTAACAGCTTCATGGATCTCAATTAAGGCACACACACACAAATTTACTCAATGAGACCCATGAATCACATGTATTAATAAAATTTGAAAAGTTAAAAGTCGCTTTTTCTGACAAGCTTGAGTACTTACATGCCCATTTGCTACATCAAGCAGATCTCTCAAGCGACAGCCTCTGCTGTGTCTTCTTTCGTAACAAACACTGTCCTCGAGGAGGATGTAGTCTGCACCGTATAATCTCAAGATATTGTAAACATCTTCAGGGGAACGGCGTGAATAAATCTGATAGATCTTCAGAAAGGGACAAGAAATAAAAACTCAGTATTAACAACAGAAAATGAAAGCAGAGAACAACATGCAGTGGAGTCCATTTAGCCATTGCTTCTAACTGATTCTGTACAATGCTCGCTCTCTATGCAGTTCTCTCTCTTCCCAATTTTATTTCCTGAGGGAGGTAAATAACCAAACATTTTAAAAACACATTTAAGATCAAAGTATCAAGTTTCTTTCTCACCACTAAACAAGATCAAGTGAAATAAATCCAGGATATCAATGTAATGTTAATAACTGATGTTGCATTTATACAGTTCCGAGCGGAACATCAATGTGTAACTTTACATTGTTAAGGTATCTTATCTCTGGGTGAGAATTACACACTCCTTTCAGGTGCATTCTGAAAGGAGCGATCCTTCTCTTCTCATTTTATGTCGAAGATACTTGCCCGGTCAAAGCAGTCTAACAAAATACACCTCACACTTGGCTTTCAATAAAATATGTTTTATTTATTCAAACCCATATACTTCAATATATATATGTATATATATATATTCCTGCTTTCGGAGCATTCGACACAAAAGTAACAAACACAATTCTTATATAACGCTTTGAGAATAGTATATTAATATAAGTTTAACAAGACATAATATTGCATACCTTGTAAGATATCTAACCACTGAGCCTGAACACTTGAACCACCAGGGGTAACCAAATAGAGTAACCTTACCCCAAATTGACATCTCTTTTAAGTTCCTGAGATTCAGAGTTTTTATCATTAGTGATATTAAAGTCAAATGTTAGATAAAACCCCAAAACTCAACAACTCTCCTATATAACGCCACTCCCTCTCTTTTATACCTCAAATGTGCTTATGTGATATTTTTTACCCAATCAGTTCTCTGTACTTTGACAAACTCAACTCCTCATTGACTAAGAATTACCTCCTTCAATCAATCCTTCCTACTTTGACAGTTCGAAAACAAACTTGCTAACTCAACTATCTTTCAGACTAAAAGACTCCGACAGGGCAATAAAACCCATTAACGCACAAAATCTAACAAAAAAGCCATAAACCGAAAGCACTTATCCACCATTTTTATCCCTTAAGAGAGATAAACAGATTGATATTGCAATTTAACAAATTCAACAGACTATCTGGCTCTGAACACTTGTGAGCCCTCTTCATGATTCCAAATAGTCACCCTATTAACCCTTTACTACCTCACAGCATGATAGCTGATTTATATGGTCTTGAATTGGGGCTCCAACTGATTTGGGCAATCCAGGAATCAAGTATTAGTATTTTAGGATTATTAAAGGCAGCTTATGTAATCAGCTTTCTGATAACATTATGTTCAGAATTCATAGGCTGTTATGGTTTTGAGCAGAGCATGGGACAAGGAGACCAGTGTGATTATATAGGAGTATACAACACATAGTCCACTAGGGAAAATATTCCTTTTAATCTTGTAATACAAGAAGCACTTTTTTTAACATTCGTTATGAACAGTGAGAACAGCAGAGTACTCAGGACACACGGGAAATTCAGGGTATAAAGGTAGAATGGGCTTCTCTGCGGATTTGTACCTGCTTTGTTCTTTCTCTCAGCTTCTTATCTTCATAGTGAGGGTGGTTAGTAATGGTTCTCCCGGTACACAGTTTGACTCCTGCTAACAGCTGCATACTTCCAGCAAACACCCCATCTTTTGGAGTTTTTGTTCTGAGGGGAATAAAATGTCATTACCAATTTAATTGATGCAGATGAAAAGACCTCCATTTAAACAAAGAAACAATGAAGTTTCACTATCATTTTGCCATAGTGCAGAGGCCGAATTTCAGTAGGTAGGGATCATGCAAGAAAATGAATTGCAATAGATAATTCGGGAATAAATCTCTGTAGCAAAACAGTGTTAAGTTAGGATGTTACCAGGGATGAGTAGATACAGCTGTCAGAATGATTGGCAAGGCTAGAACTTTTCTTTCTGGAGCAGAGATGACACATGTGGGAGAAGGGAATAGAGGGGTATGGGAGAGAGGGAATTAGGTGTGGAGAGCTCATGTGGAGTATAAACACCGGTAGGGACTAGTTTAGTCAAATGGTCTGCTTCTATGCTGTAACGTTTTAGGTAATTAATTATACTGAATACTCAGTGGTGATGAAGATACCACAGCAGGAGGGAGGAAAAGAAACTAATAATGGGAGGGGTTCAACCTGCTATTCCGTGTTAGGATGGTGCATGTGGTCGGGAGGAGGAGGGGGAAGAAGATAAGTTCAACTCTCCACCAAAGCGGTTATCTCCTGCACATCTAACCATTTTGATCAATGGTGCTATTGTTTGTTTCGCTGACATAACTGAGGTAAATGGAATGATTAAAAATAATAAAAACCACTTTGTCACATGTGCATCCATCTCTATGGTAATAATTTACACTCAGGTTGAAAAGGTGCCTGCATTAGAGTACTGGAAGGCAATGTGTTTCTGTTTGTAATAGCCTTTTAAGGGAGAAGGTAATGAAAAAAGGAAGTAATTTCATTGAGAGTACTTGCTCTCTAATGTGTCCACATTCTTAACTGTCAAACATCGCCTTTGTTTTGAAGAATAGCCTTTAGATCTTAGGATTCCTTCTGTGCCAGATGACAGCCATTTATTCAAGGGAAAGCAAATTGGACACATTTTTCTGTCAAGAGGTTCATTTCTTGTAGAATGCATCTGACAGGCAGCATCGATTTCCATGCAGATGGCTTTTTAAATCCCAGCTGAGATAAGCACAAACACTGCAAAACTTGTCGAGGGATTAGCACTCTGAGCAGTAAGTTGCAGAATTGTCCTCACTGTGGGAAACGTGAATTCACACAGTGTTTGCATGCTTTCTACCTGCTGGTTCAATAGCAATATTGACAGATGTGGGAGCAGGGCATCTGCAGCCCACAAAGTTGGGAAATAATTTGGAAAAAGAACTGCAAAGCTGATTTTTAAAAGAATTTCTGGAGGACAAACATTGAGTCAGCACGTGTAACTTCAACATGATGTGTTATGGAGATGTAGGTGAAAGATATATAGCTATTTTGGCTACTAAAATGGCCTTTGCCATCAGTGCTTTGGGACGTCCTCCCGACTTGAAAGGCGCTATACAAATGTTATTTTGTATTTCCCTCACATAGTAAACATTATCTATCATAGCTGTGTTACGATGAGAAATTGTAGACATTCCCCAAAGGGTAGATATGAAAAACAGAATGAGAAGGTTACCTAAGCTGTTCTCACACATCTTAAATGCAGAGAGGCATGGTAGAGAATACAGTTAACAGTATGTGGCATCTAGAGAAAGGGTAGTGGTAACAAAAACAAGTTTCTGGAAAGTACAGTCACACATTGATTCAAACTCCTCCTTGAACAATGTCTAACTAAATGAACAATGACGATTTAATGGCTCATTTCAGGATCTCAACGGCAGGTCATCCCTACAAAAGCAATTTCTAACACAACACACCCCAATAACGGCAAGGAGTCATAGTTCAAACTGATTTACGTTACAGAATGCAAAGGCCATTTTAATTAGGTCTGACAGGGATGGCGCTTTCATGAAATTATAGGTCGAATTTATTTCAGGAATACCATCACCTTGAACAGAATAATTACATCTGAACGGAAGCCAAATGAGGAATTTGCACGTTGCTGACCTTGTGCTGCAATATTAATATTTATAAATAACATACATCTATAAAGAACAGATCATGTGGCTGAGTTAATGACCCTAAGCAGCAGCTTCCTTGTCAGATTTCTGGACTGCAGTTACATCTCCCTTCGATAAAGTAATGACAACAAATATCATTTGTATCGTGCCTTTCACATCAGGATGACGTTCCAAGGCACTGAAATATCTAATAATACATAAGGCTTATCCTGTAGAGTGTAAATGTTGGCAATGTAAACGTTAGTAAATTGGAGTGACTTTTTTTTGTAGGCAAAATCCTTTTTTGTGGCACCACCTTCAGAGTAGCAATGCTCTTAGTTTGTCAAGAATAGGAAAGTTTGCACAACTTTAAAATAAAAGATAAACTTACTTGATCCAGTTCATTAATTCAACTGTGTCTGGGTCATAGAATTCCCTCAGGTCTGATAGTTCAGCCATCACTTTCGGCCAGAACTAGAAACACAAGAGATCAAATGTTGAGCTAGTAAAATGCTTATGTCCACATTATGTCTGTTTTGTAGCCTCAGGCTTTGCATCCTAGGCTCTGGCTAGCGACTGGTAAATGACATCTCCACAGCCACTGGTGATGAAACTTTATAACCCAAGATGATCTCAACCTCTGCTGTTTTACTCATCCATCAATCAGACACTTGGCTCAGCAACTTTTTATCTGCAAAGTCAAGTGTGCCATAGCTAAAGTAAGTCAAGATTCCTGTTCAAATGCGTGGTATGTACACTCATTGTTAACATTCGCAGAGTCCACCTATGTGCTTAACCTATTTTTAAGCATCGAAAGGAAATTGATAGCATGGGCATAAGAGAATTCTGTTAACAAAACAGATTTTCAAGCTAACAAATGTATAAGCTTAACTTAAGTAGCACGTTATTTCATGGTATGTAATGATATATGTTGATATATGGAATAGGGCTAAATGGTCCTAATTTCTAACAAGAGGATACAACATTCATTTGGAAACTCCATTGAATGTGAAGCCTTACCTCATGGCAAAGGTAAAGAAACATCAGTACGGGAACTGCAAATCTCATCACACGTACCTACAAAACAGAGTAAGCTAAAGGTTAAAAACGTTGGATTTTTCTGTTCTGCAGTATCCCAAATATTTCAATGATGTACTTCACATGGCAAGAAACTTTGCTTCCCAGACCTACAAATTTCTAGTAATTTTTCACCTTAAAATTCACATTAGTCCCAAAGCTGAAATTGTAGCTGCCTGCCTTTCTTCATACACATTTCCTTGAAACAAGCTAAATGTCAACAATGCACAGAGTTCACTTGCAGGATAATCAGCATAGTCCTGTGAAACCTTCTCATCCATAAATTAAAGACAGACAGTCTAGATTACAAATTTCGTGCAAAATACACAATCAATAGCTGAATTATTCTTGATGATATTGGAAATATCATTTGAAGATGAATTTCATTCCTCAGAGCTGTTGTATTATGAGACATTCTAAAGCTAGAAAGAATATTTTGAATATTATACAGTAACTAATGGTACACCTTCCTTTGAAAAATGGCATCTGACTCAGCATTGTTACCTTCTAGGAGGTTATGATTCTTAACCAACGTTATTAAACTTCAATGGCTTTTAATCCAAAATAATCTAAAATACTAATGATAAAAATATTTCACTATAAACCTCACCAGAGAAAATATTCAAATAATGAAAACCTCTCATGTACATCACCTCACACAGAGCAGCAAAACTAAATGGTTTTAAAACAAAATTTAACAAAAGGCAGACGTGAACACGTTTTGATAAATCTCTTGTAAAGCAACAGAAAAATAACACAGGACAGTACAGAATTAGTGTTCTGCACATTGTGTAGAGTTAATTCCAAAGCGTTGAGGGACTGTGTGCATGCAGATAAGAGCACTAACCCGTTGAGGAGAATATAGATGAATTGCTTTGAGACTCAGACTCCACAAATGATTGCTGCAAATTCCAGCAGATGCAAGGACACACAGGTGGGATGTCCATAAGTATTTCATTCTGTAAGAAATTGAATTCTGTGAAATACAGAGATAAAGCAATAAGGGAATTTCCCCAAATTCAGACTCCTTGGGGCTTAAATTCTGGTTGATATTATTTGTGATGCTTTTGGCTTTATCAGCCGTAAATGGGTTACCCCATTATAAATTGCCAAAGGGTTATTTCAATTTCAGTCCAATTAGAGTTAGAACTGTGTTTCAATGATCTATATCAGAAATCAATAGGACTGGAAAGCACTCTGTGTAGGAACAGAAGCCAGAAGGCTGAGTTCAAGTAAGTTTTAACAAAGGAGCATTGGCACTAATTTACAAACAAATTTGCTGAGGTTCCGTAACCCATTCCTCGTGCTAATTAACACATGGAGGCATAAGTTCGTTGCACATTGAATACTATCTATGAAAACTATCCCATGATACACATTAACACTTATTTGGAATATAATATCTCTAAATAAAAATATTAAAATTGACCATTAATACTACAAAATTCAGAACTTGTACATCAGTTCTATTTTCTGTCTACTATATTAACCTTTAGAAAGACAAAAATAAGACCATATCATCTCTGGGCTTGTATGAAAGTACCTCATTGTGCTTAATGCCAGCAGACCAAACAAGAGATTATGCACTAGATTGTAGGCCATGTCTGATTTCAGCATCGTCACTTGCTCGTCTTTAACAGCTGTGATCTGGATGCGAGATGAATAGCTGATGCAACCAGGGAGAAAATTAAAATCATAAATAGAAATCAAACAGTTTAAGAGTTGAATAAATACTTTACTTAATGCAGACTGAGTTCAAAATAGTCACTTGATGGTTAGCTGTGACCAAAAGTAAATTCATTAACAAATAAATGTCAATATTGTTTAGATCTATTACTGGAGTATAGCAGTCAGGCTGACCAAATAACACCAAAACCTCACGTACCTGAGATTCCGAATAGCAACAAGTACAGCAATAATCATGGTGAAGAATAAAACCAAAATATATGAAGGGAAAACTAATGTTTTTGAAAGCCTTTGAAAAGTATCATAGGGCAGCAGGCCAAATGCTTCTTCACACAGGTATAATTGAGCATCAAAATCCCTAAATTAAAAGAAATTTTTGTTTAAATTTTTTTCTCTTGTTGGAACATTAGCAATCCAAACACAACAAACACTATATTTGCACAGTTATTGGCAATTTTGCCAGTCTGCTTCCATGGATCATATCCAGAAATATTTAAGTGACAGCCCAAGCACAATTAAATAACTTAGCGCTCTTCAGTGTTGAGAGGAGACATCTCAGAGGGGACATTATAGAGACGTATAACATGTTAAATGGGATTGAAAAAATAAACCCAGAATAATACTTCAAGATGCACCAAGACAGTAGAACGGAAGGTTTTAAGTTGCAAAGGGCAATCTCAGGACAGACTCCAGGAAGTTTTTCTTTACCCAGAGATTAATTAATGACAGTGTGGAGATCTTGAATTCTTAAAATTTAAATCATCTGAAGCTATTATCTCACCGTGTTTCTCCAAATCCAAACTTTGCTCTGAGGAACTTAAAAATGTGTTCATCAGATTCTAGGCCTAGAAGGTTCTGCAACAAAAGGGAACACTTCAATGTAGTTACACTAGATTTATTAGTACCCATTTTACTGTATTATTTTCCCAGCAGTCATCTATTACCGAGTCATCATTCAGGATGAAATACGACATTAAACAAATGAGACCTTTCAGAATTACCGGAGACTTCCCTCATAACATGAATTCCAGTGTTACTGAAAATATACTGTAAGCAGCATTTTTCTGAATCCAATATTTTTGTATATTCACTCAGAAATGTTAAAATTAAATGTGCCATGAAAAATAAAATCGTACCTTCACTAAAATTGAATAAAAAAGGGCAATTTTAAGCATGGAAATATAGGATTGTGAACTAAGAATTGGGACTACTACAGAAAAAAATCAAGCGCCAAAAATAAACAGATATACTTTTGGTATTCACAGGTTTTTTTTCCAACCCTTTCAAAATCTTTCTCCAGGAATAGGTTGGCAGATGTTCTAATTTATGATTCTTTTGTGTCGTACAAAATTAAACTGCAAGGAAAGGCCACATTATCACATTTTAATACCAATTCCTGATCTGTGATTACCAGTTAAGTAGTCATCTCATTCCCCTGAAAAATCCTTAAAAGTTTCGGAAAGTAGATTTTAAACAGCACTAGTTACTTGCCTTAATTGTGTTATTTGTTAGAGCTGTTAAACAGAATACCAGGCCAAGATGAAGCACTAGTTTTGCAACTCTTATAATCAAACCACCAGTTTTTAAGTTTTCCTAGTTTAAAAAAAAGAAACATGTGTCATTGGAATCTTCAGTTTCAAGATCCATAAACATGAACTAAAATCAATTAGAAAAACGGACGAGACAAATGTAATAATATATTTGGAAAGACAACGTTTTCAATGCCAGTCCTCAATTAAAAATCTGTTAAAGATTCCGTCTCCTATTTAACACAGTGCTTGACAAAGGTTTAAGATTCATGCAGGCAATAATATTCCTTTAAAATATGGATTATGAACTATTTGGACATATACCTGCAAGCATTTCACTGTGAGGGCAGCAAAAATAAAACTTAGGAACAAAGAGCCCAACAGCATAGAGTTGTTAAACTGCAGTATACAGACGAGAAGCAACGAGGCCACTTGAACCAGGTAGAGAGATGTAATCTAGAACAGAAGACAATGTACCAATTAATCCTTTCACAAATGCAAAACCCAAAATAAAACCACCACCAATCCAGGATCAATTGTACACATTAAATCATTTCCTCACCCATTGGTCAGAAATGAAAAAAAATTCTTCAAAAAAATGATGAGTACAATTTATAGACAAGATAATAATGCTCTGGGTAAGTTCTTCGTGGCCATTTTGGCTGAACTATTAAATGTTTTATTTTTAAAAAACATTGTGGGTTGAGGAAGACATTTGAAAATAAGACTTTCCCTGTAATCCTGAAATATTAATGTTGTAGCAAATACTTGCAGTTTCTAATCTGCAGCTGGACTCTCAAAGTCAATATAGGGATGCGAATCAGATCCTGCAAATGCACTGATTGTCAAAAAAAGAGCTTGGATTATATTTGGACCAGAATTTGCCAATCTTAATGAATTTTGGGGGTTTAGTTTTTTTAAAATCCTGCCAGCAAAACACACTAAATGACATAGCATTGTATGAATATCATATGATCATATGATCAATGAGGTAATGACACTTTATTTTTATAATTATTTTAGTTGAAGGGTTTTCAGTTAAAAACCTTGCACCCAAACCTAAAAGCACCATGATACACTGCTGGTCTGTTCATTCCATCTTGGTAAACTTTCTCCAAATCTGCTCTCTCTAAATGTTACTGTATTGGAAACAAGAACCAGGGTCAGGTCTGGAGCTGAGCTTGTGATGTAAATGCAATCACACGTGTACAAAATCCACATCCAGGCATAGCTTTCATGCCTGAAGCTAACAGCATTAGCACAGTTAAAAGCTCAGTCTATTTACATTCAAATTCACATTTGATCTGCATTGCTCATCTCTAACTAACTGAAGATGCCAGCATGAAGCCATAGGGCACAATTTACTGCATGTTTTGGGTAAAGAGTAGCAGATATACTTCTGAACTCATCGGTGATAAAATTCACTGCTTACAGAATTCATTTTCTTTGAAAGTGTAAACATTTCAGTGACTATTATGGGAAGCTATCTTTGCAGAACAAAAATGATGTAAAAATTGGTTGAAGCTGCCAAGATGTAGCTCTTGTTAAAACACAGCAGTGGCATAGATACAGAAAATGTTTTGATCCGACAAAGGCCACAGATATGGCACTTTTCGGAAAATTGCACAGGATGCCAAACAAGTGCAGTAATTTTCTTTAGTTTGCAAATCAGCTGGATTGCTCACCTGTCCAAGCCAGGGGGATTTGTGGAGAAGGGTAAAGAATCCCACTGTAAGAATCTTGTTATAATGTTGGCTTGCTCATAAACCTTGTGGACCTGGCTTTGACGAACGGACTGGATGGCGTCCTGACCAAAACATATAGTGCATGCACTGAATGCACTGCTGACATCACTTGGAGGAAGTAACAGATGTCTGCTGTGCTTCATGTTCAAACTGATGGGGGTGGAAACCTGACAGTCTTCAAATCAGCCATACTTAGTGCATTGCAGAAGCTATCAGTGGCAACTCACTACCCAGAAGTCAGACATTGTTCTATTCTTTGTTATAAGGCAGGACCTGACAGACTGGACTCAGAGGACCATTTTACTCAGGGTTGGCTGTATTAAGGAGGATTTGAACTTGTTTGCTACATCAAAGATTTGTTTTAAACTCAAGACTAATTTCTTTCTCTTACAATAATTTTATCTCACAACCACACTAACCAGCTTGCAAACACTTGCATGAACACTATTTTGACTGGTCTTCATTGGCCCATCCAAAGGTGGTCACATGTGAATTCCTCTCCCTTTAAAGAAGTTCTCTTATCTTTAGGCCTTTATGTGCAGCACAACCCTCACTGTGGAGATTGCAGACAGTGGGCCCACTCCATCTTAACTCCCAAAGACACACTAAAATCAACCGCTTGTTCCTTCTGTGAATAAAGGCTTTAGTTGCTGTTAGCAGACTGGCCTCAGTAGATAAGTTCCTGGGTGAGCCCATCCACTCCATGGTACTGCTCATGGCTGCAGGAAACAACCACCATTCATCTTCACATGTGCACACAAACAAAAACTAATTTAATTTGATTTCAATTAACAAGAGTTTACAGCATGATATTAATCTCACATTACCTGTCGTCCGGGTACCATATCTAAACAGTCCAAGGAAAACAGAGCCAATGCTTGTATCAGCAAAATAAACTGGTTAAACTGCCAGGTCACGCAGAAAAGGAATGTTGAGGTCAAGATCAATGTAAGTGATAGCCGCTTAAAATAGAAGAAATAAAGAATACATTAAGTAAGTCATACACATGCAAATACTTAAATACTTTTAAATTCCTTAGCTTGAGTACACAGTTTTTAAAAGACTCTCTTGAATAGTTGAATTGACATAAAAATGGGTAAATTCCAAAGGTGAGGACATTTGGTACTGTGTCTTTCTGGTACTGTGAGACATCAATTTTCGCCTTCCTGACACTGCAACACATTGTACTTGGAGAGTTGAGAAATATTACAGAATTATATGAATAACTACACTTCCCTTCCTTCTCTTGGAAGCTCCTTTAGGCATCAGAATGAAATACAATTTCACCTTCCTGGGCTTTTAGTTGTCTCTCTGTCATGGAAAACTCATCAGGAACTCTTCACAAATTGCTAGTAATTTTAAATTAAGATCTCTAAACAGATTAAATCATCAAAAGCATTCAAACACCCGGGAATTCCTAAGTGCTCTCCTCTCATTATTTACGAGCAATACAGCCCTTAACTGAATACCACTATTTACTTCTTATTCTATCTGCACTCAGTTTACTTCCTGTTATATATTTATTAATATGGATTAATTTGCATTCTTATAGTCAGAAATACATTTACAAACTTCTTTTACTGTAGCAGACTGTTCCATTTGTTATTTCTTACAGAACAATAAAGCTATTCTCCGCTGATTCATGTGGTCTTCAATAAAACAACTTATTCCAACAAAGCGATTTGTTATACTAGAGAGAACACATTCCTATGCTATGCTTTATAAGCCTGGATCTGTGATTTATTATAATATATACATTTTTAAATGAAATAGGATTAAATTGAAACATTTCATCCTGAGAACTGTACTTGTGCTGCTGCTAGAATATTGCAGAGTAGTATGTATTCCTTTCAAATTACAGACAATATAGCAAAATATGGCCTTCCACGTACACTACCACTACAAGATAAAAATGAATACTGTTTTTTCAACATGTAATAAGAATAGGTATCATCACATTCAACATCCCTATGACCAAGCCAGCTTTGCTACACCTCCAGCTTCAGGGACTTTTACACATTTTAAAATATTTAAATAGAGGAAGTTGAATTTTGGAATGTCAATGAGAACTCTAGTCAATAACTTATCCAAAGTGCGTGCAATAACAACAGCAACTTGCACTTATATAGCGCCCTCCACGCAGGATAGCAGCTCAGATCACTTTACTCTCCATACTTCATGCTCCCCAATGATGTTAAGAGAGAAAAAATCCTGGAGCGCACCTGCCAATCAATGTTCACTTCTGTATAGTAGCCTGTATGCAGAACGTGAGCTATCGTTTCTTTTGAAATATGTTCCCAAATAATTCTGATATTGATCATTACAGAAGAATCGTCAGACATAGGTTTAAAAATAAAATGACAATTGCCCATGGGAGACTGCTAAAAGGTTAATAACTATATAGATCTTTATCCTGATTTAGAGGGATGTTTTATTGGAATCCCTTGACTGATATTGTCACAGTCCATCTACATCAAAACTGTGAGAGGCTGTCAATGTTATTATTTTATTATTTTAAAAAAAGTGTTGTTTTAATCCTAACACCCTGGGACCCAAATGAGATGCATATTTTACATAAGGATTATTTTCGTGCTGGTAGATTATTCTTAAATTTGCTTCACAACATTAAACTTGAGACCTTGTAAAATCTCTATACTGACCTGTTGAAGAGGTTTCAGATGTGGTCTGAGGTAGTATGTAATTGCCATTATTTGTAACGCAAAAAATGGAAGTGACCAGTTCTCTCGAAGAGGAATAGTAAACTCCACTCTTGTAGTATCTATTCTATAAAAGATGACAAAAAATCTTGACTTTTACAAAGGAACATAAGAGGTTTTGCTACTTTCAACTGCACTTAAAAAAATGAAATTAAATACGCTGACAAATCTAGAGAAATATACAATCTGATCATCGTGTGCACTCAAAACAAAGGATTGACAGGTTTTAATTTTGCAATTTCAAAATTGTCATGCTGGGGTTTGGTACCAAGGAAATAATCTTAGAGCAATTTGGCAGAAACAAAAGCAGATTACATACAAAATTAATAAGAACATCAAAAGCGCACAATACATTTTGAAAGAAAGACATGGTTCTCTGCTCATGGTCAACTACTGGTTTATGCTCAGTCCACTTGGCCTACAGATGGCATGCATCTTACCTACAATTTGTAAGGCATACCTATTTAGGAGATACCATATGGCTGCAAGGGCTCCTGACAGCCAGGTTCCACTTAGTAGCCAGCTGGTAACGTACATGGAAATGACATAAATGGTCTGGAGTCCAAATATTGCATACAAGTAGAAATAAACTGGTTCCAGGTAATTCTGTTCAAACAAGATTAGACAGATTACTTTTCACAAATATAAACCAGCATTGTTTTAACACTAGTTTATAAAAGCTTGGAATACATTGGCATAAACAATATAAATGCCATCATTAAAGCGGAAGTTCTTACCTGAATGGGCAGAATTCTGTACAAAATGCTCAGTGCAACCTCTTGGTAAATGTTCATTCGCTTCAGGAGGTTTATCGTTCTCCTCGATTCAGTTTTATTGTCATACATGAGCTCATTCAATCCTTTGCAAAAAAAAAAAATCTTAAAAAGGTACATTTATCTGCAGCAAAGTTAGTCACGTGTCACTCCTTGACAAAGTTACCTGCGGCAGAATATCCTGCTTCAGTTTTTCTATATTTTATCTGTTCAATGAATTAGCCACCCCATTTTTTCATATGACTCCCTCGACAGAAAACAAACTTGTAGCTTTGCTCAACTGAGCAACTAGTGAGCCCTCGATTTCTCAGCAAATGTTTGGACTGGATTGCCTTTTAAGAAGCAAGATGAAGGGCCAATAACCTGTGGAAATGTGGCACATTTTCTCTTCATAATCTACAAATTCTAAACATTTGCATTCTAAACTGGGCTGGCATGTGGCAGGACAGTAAGTTACTGTACAGCAAGCAATAGTACATTTACCAAAATGACATTTCATTACTGTGCAATACTGGTTACTAGGGATAAACATCTACAATACAAAGAATACTCATTCTTGAATGACATTTTAATACATTGGAAAAGAAATTTCAAGATTGCTGGAACAATTGATTAAAGTCATGTTTTAAGAACTCGTTTAACACAATGTCAGAAATGAGCCTTATTGCAATTTATTCACCTTGGCTTATGGTTGGGGCTTGCAGCATCTGTTTGTAGTAAGAGTAGTACAGACCACATTCTGTCCTAAATGAAATTTCCCGCTCCACCTCCTGCAAGTAAGATATGACATTCAGCAAATATAATGTTATACTGCCACTCCTCTCCCCCCATGCATCCTCACAAATGCAAATTCTCCTAAAGGCTTAGACTCATGCCAGACTGGATAATATTTCATGGACACTAACTCCAGTATGTCAAACAATTGACCATTCTCTATATACCAGACTGAACAGTGAGTGTTATCTGGTAATACCATTATTGATTTCATCCACAACTGACATCCACAAAGGCACTTCTCAGAAGGGGTGACTGGTCAGCTATCAATTGTGGGAGTTCCAAGGGCAACAAGAACAAATATCATGCCCCCTTTTCTGCTCTGGCTGAGATGAGCTAACTCAGCAGAACAGAAGCTGAACCTTGGACATTGCTGATCTTTACACTTGCTTTTACCTCCAGTCAAATGCAATAATTACTCATTTGTTTCAGTCACTATCGTACAACATCAGCTGCCAACTGTCATGGGTTCTTAATTAACAAGGACCACTGGAAGCAAATTAAATGTCAGATAATTTCTAACTCAACATTGTTTTACATCTCATTTCTTAGTTCAAAAGATCCATTTATTGAAATGGATAAAATGCCATGCCACATTATTGACCCAATTTCCAATGATCTCTGCTGTAACAATTTAATTAAAACAGCATTACCCTTTGGGCATAAAGTCTCATTCGGTGCAAAGCTGATTAAAGGCCCCTGAGAAAATTAATTTGAGGAAATCAGCCGTATATGCTACGTACCTCACTCAGTGCCATAGTTGGTTGCACACTGACCCACTGAGCGATCAAGAATGTGGACAGATGCTACTTGAACATACTTATTGATTGATGCACTGAAAAGTAACAGGGATGAGAACTAACACCAGCTACAGTGCGTAAGTAAATACAAAATCTTACACTTTAGCTTATGATAAAGCTGATGTGGTAAATATAAGTTATGTTTTCCAAATGTTTGTGAACTTCTCAGTTCGTGAAAACTGTGATATTTGGATTCAGAAAGGGTTAAAAACAGTTTGGTAAGAGAAGCGAAAAACAACCTGTGAAGCCCAAGCAAAAATGCTTTGCATTGGTCATCACTGAGCAGGTGTCAGCCAAATACTAGATGAGAACAACCTACTCATAATTAAATGTTGCTACAAGGCAGCTGAGCTTCAAATACTTATAAAATGATAAATGTAGCCGCCTTTTTAATCTACAATTTCCATAGGAGATAAATCCAATACACGAATATGTCAAAACCAATTAAATTATAACTATTCTAGTCAGACAGCTTGAAACACACATATGCACACAAAGCACACTTGGTAATGAATCCCTCACTCAAAAACCTACTGTTCCTAAGCCTGGCTTCATTGTAAATGTGATCTTATATATTGCAGCAAAAGGCTTTTCATTTATTCCACCACTTGCACACAGGTACCATTAATATATTTAATTGAAAACTCTGGCAGAATCACAGTTTGATATCGAATGCAACTTAAAATCAATCGGTGAGGTAGAAACTAGCAACCGATTTCATCACTTCATAATGAAGAGTGGTAGAAATAAATTTATCACGGTCAGCAAAGTGACATTATAAATGATGCCACAGGTGAGTTTGACCAGATAACTCATTCACCAGTCTTGTAAATCACATTGCTGTACAATGTTCAACTCTACTTCAGTTCTTTAAATTATGCACACTTCAATACATGTTTTAATTAGGAACTTACAAGTGCACAAAATAACGCAATAGTCTAAGGGAGTTGCTGGTATTTTCATTGCTTAGACGTGTGATAAACAAACGAATTGCAAGTGACAACAAAAATCTAACTGAACTTGATTAGCATTTATCAGAGAAAGCACCCATTGCGACAAAGCAATTCAGTGGCATAAAACACCCCTGGTGTTTCAAAATGAATGTCAGCACCTTGAATTGAATTATATTTGGAAATGCCAAGTGCTTCTCCAATCCAGGAAAACAGGAAGAATGCAAGTTACTTGAGTCATTTTCACACGTCCAACAGTGGCCAAATAAACAGCATTACTGTCAGAACGCACTCACCCCCAACTTTCATTTATATAGTGCTCTTCATATAGAATAATTTCTCTGAGCACTTTACAGAGATGGTATCAGACGTTGGGGAGAGAGGTGACTGTAGCCACAGTCGAAAAGATAGGTTTGTAGAGAAGGGGCAAGATAGTTAATAATAATCCTTGCACTTGAGACGTCTCAAAGCGCTTCACAAGATATACAGAGTTCCAACGGCTGGAGGCATAGTAGCTGAAGGCTTGACCACAAAGCATTGCTAATCAGACTTTCTGCATCATTGGTAATGACAACTAATGTAAATCGAATGCAACAAAAGGGGACCTGAACCCATTCTATTTAATTTTATTTAATTGTGTGTAAAAGAAAATCAGGATGTTATTTTCATCACATTTAGCTATTTGGCAGCCTGGTAGTGCAAAACCTTGTTTGACAGTGTCATCTAGTGGTTCCTGCACTACACAGCATGATTGACTGGGCAAAATCAAATATCTGCAATTATTCAGAGAAAATGCAATATTAAAGGAAACGTAATCTGATTTTGCCCACAAATATAGTCAATTCACTTTACAGCCTATTCTGTGAAGCGCTTTGAGACTCTAGAAGACGTGAAAAGCGCTATATCAAATGCAGAGATTATTATTATTATACCACATTACTGCGGGATGGCCAGATATTTCACAAACTTTTCATATTCAATATCAATGAATGCTTGAAGATTTGTCATTTTTTTGGGGGGGGGAGGGGAGAAACAGGGAACATGGGGGTATTGTCCAGAGATATATGGTTCAATTTGCAAGCACTGAATGACGGAGACCAATAATATCACAAAAGGATAACAAAGTGCATAAACTTTGAGACAATTCATTACAAAATTGGCACAATATTCTTCCGCACTACTGTGTACTTAGGTTTAAACATGCAGAAGTTTTTTAAAAAATTTGCAGTTTTTATTAACCAAGTAACCCACAAGATGAAACAATAGCATTTATATTTTGGGAGAAAGTGTGTTGCAGTTGGATGTGCAAATCCCTTGTTTTCTAAAAGGCAATTAGCAGAAACCTCACCTGTATATTCGAAAACCAGAGGAGATTCTCGTGTAGAGAATAAATAGACCAGGAGTGAAAGGATCCTAGCATCAGTCCCACTGTGAGAGCTAGCAATCGGGCGAGTGCTGTTCTGTTTGGAGACAGCCACAACCTATCTGCTGGCACCTCAAAAGGGAAGGTGTTGCTATTTCCGCTGGTATCAGAACAAGTGGCATTCTGCTCACATTTTTTCACCGAACACTGCTGCGAAGCGCTATCGACAATTTTAGATAGCTTTTTCCTTTTTCTTATTGGCATGTTGAGACACTAACACTGAACGCAACACCTCTTTTGCTTTTATGTTCCAGTTCTACAGATGGTTTCCACTGGCTTGGCTGGATTCAGTACCTGCCTTATTATTCAATTAAGACGCAAGCAGGAAGCTATGAGTCATCCCTGGGGTTGCCATAGAGTCTTGGGTGTAAACATGAACTCCAGAGCTTTAGTTGGCTTCCTCCAGTCACTCTACATTGGCAATATTCCATAAGACCATAAGATGTAGGAGCAGGAGTAGGCCATTCGGCCCCTCGAGCCTGCCCCACCATTTAATAAGATCATGGCTGATCTTCTAACTTAATTCCATTTACCTGCCTTATCCCCATATCCCTTAATCCCTCTATCCTTTCGAAATCTATCAACCTCAGTCTTGAATATGTTCAAGGACTGAGCATCCACAGCTTTCTGGGGTAGAGAATTCCAGAAATTCACTACCCTCTGAGTACAGAAATGTTTCCACAACTCAGTTCGAAAAGGCAATTTTGACCCTTAATCTTGAGACTACGACCCCTAGTTTTAGATTCTCCAACCATAGGTTTCTATAAGATCACCTCTAATTCTTCTATATTCTATAGAGAATATAGGCCTAGTTTACTCAACCTATCCTCATAGGTCAACTCCCTCATCCCAGGAACCAACCTAGTGAATTAGCCTGCACCACCTCGAAGGTGAATATGTTCTTTCTTAAATAAGGAGACCAAAACTGCACACAATATTCTAGGTGCGGCCTCACCAAGGCCTTATACAACTGCAGCAAGACTTCCCTACTCTAATCCTCTTACAACGAACGCCAACATGGCATTAGCCTTCCTAGTTGCTCGCTGTACCTGTATCCTAACTTTTTGTGACTGGTGTACAAGGACACCCAAATCCCTCTGAACACTAACATTACCTAGCCTCTCCCCCTCTAGAAAATAATCCGCTTTTCTATTTTTACTACCTAGGTGAATAACTTCACACTTCCCCACGTTATACTCCATCTGTCACCTTCTTGCCCATTCATCCAGCCTGTCTATTTCCCTTTGCATTCTTCTTGTGTCATCCTCACAGCTTACTCTCCCATCTATCTTCGTATCGTCCGCGAATTTAGATATATTAAGTTCTATTTCCTCATCTAAATCATTGATATAGACTAAATAATTGAGGCCCAAGCACTGATCCTTGTGGCACTCCACGAGTCACATCCTACCAATCTGAGAAGGACCCGTTTATCCCTATTCTCTGTTTTCTGTAGATTAATTAATTCTTTAAAATTGGAGCTGTATATTGTCCAAAGCAGCCAGTTCTAGTGATGCGTAACAGTGACATTAAATAACACATTTGTAATGATCTTGGAGTCCAGGTTGTTTTGTTTGGCTAGTCCATACTAAGCCATTAAATATAACCAGGATTTAAAAAAAATTAAACCAAACCAAATGCAAATAGAATTAAGCAGAATTAACAATATAAACAGAAGAATTAACCGTTTATCAAATTACACAGTAGACATCTATGATCTGAGAAATAGAAGCCAAAAAATCATATTTCTAAGTGTTAATTTACTCCAGATCTTGGACTGAAATGGTCCTTGAAGTCCAGACAGAGTGGAATTTACCACACCATTCTGCAAGGAAGGAAAGAGGAAAATTACATTCAACCCTTTTTTATGACTGCCATCCTGTTTGCCCATGACTGCATCGAGTTTTATGTTTAAAGATCTAAACACGATATACCCAGGGTGGTCATGCTAGAAGCTATAGTGATGTATGTATCTGTGCGAGGGCATGGGTTGAGCTTCAACCAGATATATATTTAAATTAAGCAACAATTGAGGCCACAAACTGCAGCATAGGCAATATTTACCAGATGGATACGCACATCTGCTAAAACAAGGCTTTGCAACAGCTGCTTTCATTCTAGCTTTTTCATGGTTTCTTAAATATTTGAATATTTAATAGATGTAACTTTCCATTAATCCATCTCCACAACACATGGCCTTAAATCAGTGCCAATAAGTTCCTTCTGAGATCAGAGTCTCAATGATGCAATTTTGCTCCTGATGGGAGTTCCAAAATAAACAGATTTTTAAAGAAAACTAACCCTAACCTTGAAGTGTACACCAAACTATGAAAGTGCAGCAATATAATAGTAATTTTTCTTTCACAGATACCTATTCATAAAAACTGCATATCTCTGAATCTCGCAAGGCTGATCAGAATTTAGATGGCACTGGGTAATGTTCGATGTTCTCTGGCAAATCCTACACAATATGTTGAATTATGTTGCAAAGAAGGATAGTGTATAAGTGCAAGTTTATATCTTATTTATGGTATTTGTGTGTGTGAAATTAAATATATTCCTTCTCATTCAGGGAAAGTTTCATTTAGAATCTTTACAAAAAGTTGCATTTATATTGCGTACTTCATATAGGTTAGCGTATCGGAGTAATAACTTACACAAATAGGGCAAAACACAAATCCATTGGCATCTATATCAGTTTTCACATTTAAAGTTAAATTAATTTTGAGGTGGCGTAGGGTGACTGGAGAGATATGGGATTCTTCTCTAAATTGTACTGTATGAGCTCCTTTTAATTTGAGTATTTGTGACCGATATTTATCGACAGAGACATGCTTCCCTGCAGCGAGACAGGATAAACTGGCAACCAATTCACCTCAGGCGTGCTTTGGCACAGGCCTGCCTACCTGTGTGGTAGAGAAACACTGTACGGCATTGGCAGAATGAAAATAAAAGCAAAATAAAGTTTGCTGGCAGAGAACGTGAATCCGTTACATAACCTTTGCTGCCATCTTGTGGCAAATGTAACCATATTCAACATTCAAACAAAGAATTGTTCCAGGCAACAGATCCACCCTGAACAAGTTTAATTATTGTTACTGTATAAAATCAAGGTGCAACTGCTGATAATGTCACCATTCAAAAAGGTAACCAACATCTCGCCAATCTATTTATGTATTCTTTACAGACTCAGCCTTCTTACCTGGATAGAAGAAAACCACAGATCATTTTCATGCAAAGTCGCCACATAAACAGAGGTCAAGAGTCCTAAGAAAACTGCTGCTAATCCACCAACCAGGAATGTTATACCTTTCAGTCCCACTCTACCTGTTGAATAACGTACCACATTAAAAACAGATCGCAATAGAATACAGAATAGTGAAACAGAACAAGCTGCTTCTCAGGATAGTTATTTTAGTATTTCCTATCCTCTATATTTAAAATATAGAATGACTAATCCTGGATGTGCTGCATTATCATATGTCGCAATAAATCTGTGAAATGTCGACAAATGTTTCAAATCATAATATCCAATAAAAGAGAATGAATGAATTATGATAATTTAAATAAAAAGTAAGTGTGAAACCATCTTTATCTAACTATTTTAAATGACAATGTTGATGTGTAAGGTAGGAACATGAATAGCCCATTCAACCTGCGGAGGGATGGAGGGCAGACGGTGGGGTCAGAGTGGCAGAAGGCCCAGCTGCCAATGGTGTAGTGGGCGAGGCGGGGGACGTGAAGATACAACGTTCTGTTCCGAGCCTATTTCAACAGCAGTATTTTGCGCCAGATTCATTGAAATGCCCCTGCACTGCTTGGCTCCCATTGGTTTGTACTAAACCTTCCTGGCATTTGGCCAAAAGTTGCTGTTTGTGATGTGTGTACATACACAGTTTCTGCCCAAGAAAGACTGCTACCTTTGCAAGTTCTAAGCAAACTGCACTTGATACAACATTACAAATGTTAGCTTTGTCAATACTGGATTATTCAAAGATACACTTGTAACCCTTGAATTTAATATGATACTTATCACGTCAAAATGTTTCAAATTATTTCACTGTAATATGTAGTGACTATGATTTCTAAGCAATTCTTTAAAGCAGTCCTTTTTGTTATTTGCTGCAATAACTTATTATGTACAACTTTCTAAAACAATACATATTCCAGCCAATTGGAGTTGAGGTATAGATCAGCCATGAATGGCGGAACAGACTCAAGAGGTTGAATGGCCTACTCCTGTTCCTATGCAATGTAATGTAATGTCATGTTCTCACTGCAACACACTCTGTTACTGCTCACGCAACTTTCCACCTCAGAGGGTGGTAAACAGGTCTAGGAAGAGTCCATATAGAAAGCCAAAGATGAGATGGTTGAAGTTGTACTGGAAGATGTAAACACAAATAATGACAACAAGCTCCAGGGAAAAACATGACTCTGAGCTTTTGAGCTGTCAAGAACTAACCAAATGACAGCTAAAGCAATACATATTAGTCTATTTAATTAAGGACAATAAAAAATGCATTCATTAAATCAGGTTCAAAGTGTAACATTGAAAGATGAATCTTTAAGTGTGATTGTCTCCACCTATGATTGAAATATTACTGGTTGAAGCCTTCATTTTGGGCTTTTCAACCTCCTGGTGTTTTAGATTCTCTTCGGAGCCTTTAGCTGCCTTTCTTCGTTTCAAAAAGGTCATGACTTCAACTTCGTCAGCTCCAGTTCATCAAATATTGCTGATCCCTGAAACAGAAATATATAAATATGCAGCACCTTACAAAAATATTGCACTTCAATTTCACAATGATTACGCTTGTAGTCCGCTAGGCATAACCCATGGTTAGTTTTACAGGCGACTGCAAAACAAAACTTAGTATGTGTCTGTTTACAAAGAGAATGGGGTGGGGGGGGGGGGGGAGGAGGAGAGAAGAGAATGGGAATTAATCCCCTCCCTCCCAGTGTCAGGAGTCCGGAATCCAGACAAAAGGTCAGGTTGTCTCCCTATATAGGATTGTCCGTAAATGAGTTGAACCTTCATGGTGAGTTACTGCAAATACATAATGGTAAGCAACAAAAAGAAATGCTGACACTGCTGCCCAGCCTGCCCACCGACGCCGCTGCCCACCGACGCCGCTGCCCACCGACGCCGCTGCCCACCGACGCCGCTGCCCACCGACGCCGCTGCCCACCGACGCCGCTGCCCACCGACGCCGCTGCCCACCGACGCCGCTGCCCACCGACGCCGCTGCCCACCGACGCCGCTGCCCACCGACGCCGCTGCCCACCGACACCACCGCTGCCCAGCCTGCCCACTGACATCACTGCCCGACAACACTGCCCAGCCTGCCCATTGACACCACTGCCCAGCCTGCCCACCGGCACCACTGCCCAGCCTGCCCACTGCCCAGCCTGCCCACTGCCCACCGACACCACTGCCCAGCCTGCCCACTGCCCACTGCCACCACTGCCCAGCCTGCCCACTGCCCTGCCTGCCCACTGCCCACTGCCCACTGACACCACTGCCCAGCCTGCCCACTGCCCTGCCTGCCCACTGCCCAGCCTGCCCACTGCCCTGACTGCCCAGCTGCCCACTGCCCACTGCCCAGCCTGCCCACCGACACCACTGCCCTGCCTGCCCACTGCCCAGGTAACCCTTCACCCACACACCCCGGCGGACCCTCCAGTGAGATCCACTTGAGCCCCTGACAGTTGGTTACCTGCCGAGCGGCGCTGCCTCGCCTCTGCTGCTCCCGCGGCGCGCGGATAACGGGTCGCCGGAGCCTGAACCTGAGCCGAGGAGGAGGAAGCGACCGTCGGGTGATGATGATGGTGATGGGGGGGGGGGGGGGGCGGAGGGCACCGGAAGCACTGCCCGCGCCGCAGAACTCGGTTGCTTGTATTTCCGGGTGGAGAAGCCGCTCAGCCATCTCCATGGTAACCAGGTGCCATGGCAACGCCGAGGAGAGGATGGGGATAGAGGAGGCCTTTTTGTGGGTGGTGGGGGGGGGGTCCATTGAGTCTCATCCTTCCTTCCAGAATGCGTCGCGGACCCTTCGTCTCCCCGTCTCTTTTTAACGCCCATCGTCCCGGGACGTCTCTCCCGCGCGAAGAGCGAGCTGTACAAGTGCAATCTGTTGTTGTTGTTGTCGGCGTCTTCAGCTCCGTCGGGCAACCAGCTGCCACACAACCATGTCCCAGCAGCGGCCGTCGAGCGAACGGCCGGTATTTGACGCGGGGGAATCTGTTGGCCAAGACACCGGGAGAAACTCCCTTCGCCTCTTGAACAGCCAGTGCCTTCCTTACTGGGATCTTTGACGTCCGGCCGAACGACCAGACGTATAGACTACAGACCTCCGTTTAACGTTTCACTTTCCGACACTGCGTTGGAGGGAGGGCCGGTCTAGGCTGTGATTTCCAAAATGGCGCTCGAGTCCACAACCTTCTGACCCAAAGGCGAGAGTGCTACCAACTGAGCCGGACTGACATTGACGAAGTTAGAGTGACACCTAACTTCCATGAGTTCAGAACTAAATCTTGAAGACTTGGGACTTGCTTAACAAATCTAGTCTATTAAAAGCAAACTTTTAGGGAGCTGGGTAAACCATATGAATAAGTATACAACCCTTACTTATGGGAACCGGTCTTGGATGCAGTATGAAACTCAGAAAATCGAGATCCATCTGATCACACTCAGAGGATCCAGCATTGGGCGGCAGATGTACCTGTTTTGGGGACTTCCCCCTCACCGAGGGATACCTAGCGGAGCTGCAAAATATTGATTTATGTGAGATAACAAAAAAAAGAACAAATCGACAAACTATACTGCATCATCAGTAATGTTGGGGCAAAGTCACCCCTAGTTTCCTTTTTGGAGTAAAATCTGTGAGAAAGCAGCTGCCACTCTTAAATACAAGAATACAATACAAAGTTACATTGGTAAAGCGCCTTTCATGTTGGGAGGATGTCCCAAGGCGCTGAACAGTCGGATTAGGACTGGAGCGGGGCGGGGTGGTGGTTGGGGGGTTGAGATTAGGGAGGGTAGGAGGGTGACCGAAGGCACGGTCGAAGAGTATGGTCTTGAGGCCTGCCTTGATGGTGAAGGGAATGTGTGATGGAGTTCTAGATGGTGGGGGCAGAGTCTGAAGGCCCCAATACCGATGGTGGGGCGGGGGACATGGAGCAGACCGGAGCCTGCTGAGCAGGGGAGCATTGATGTTTAGTGATTGTGTAACTGGAATTAATATTTCTCTTAGACTTTCAACTTATATTTGAAATCAATAATGGCTAATGCAGTTGCAGGCATTTTTGTTATAAAAAAATTAAAATAACTTCCCTATTGGCAAAGAATTGATAATCGTTTCTATTAGTTTGTTTTAATTAAATACCAAGTATACTGTACTTTGGGCAATATTTTTGTAAAAAGTATGAGTGCAACTGACCCTGCTGGGAAATAGCTAGTAATAACTAGGCACTACATCATTAATTTATCCTGAATAACAATTGTGACAACGTCATGCAGTAGTTAAAAAGGCAAAGGCAAGTTTAAGATGTATAGTACGAACGCTCAGGTGAAGATCAAAGGTGATAAAATTCAAGTTCTATAATACATCACAACAGTTACGCAGAACTTAGATTATTGCAACTAATTATTCTTCCCTGGTCATAAAGATGTAGACTGGGCTGAGAAGAATGTAGAAAGGGAAGTAACAATAATTGTGGGACAAAAATGAAGCATGTCGGGTAGGTTTGAAAATGTCTCATTATCTGACAGTAAAACAAAGTTTGAGTGAATGTAACATTTTCTATCCAAGCAGGAATCGATTTCAACGGAAAGGATGGAAGGGGCTGAAAATCAAAATGGTACCAAAGCTGCTGTACCTAATGAAGGACTGGATATGTCAAGCAAAACAGAGATTTTAAGTAGAAAAGGGTCCCGTAGAAGCAAAACAGAGATCAGTGGAAGCAAAACTTCAACTCTGCAGGTTAGTAGATTGGGGGCACTTAAAAGTTAAAGAGAAAATATTGTGTGTTAAAAGTATTTTTTCTTCCAGAATAAAGCAAGTATGGTAATGAGATCATAGAATGATAGAATTTACAGTACAGTAGGTTCATTGTGTCCACATTGGATCTGAAAGGACGACTCCTTCAGTCCTATTTGTATGCCCTTTGTCCATAATGATAACTTTCATCTTTCCTTTCTTGAAGATATGGAAGGAAAGAAGAAAATTCTTTCTCCAGAATATAGAACACTGGCTGTAAGAATTGCCACAATGGAATTAATAGGATCCAGTAGACTCAACCAGCAAGGTTTATGATACGTGGAGTGTAACATGAAATGGTTATTTAGACACATTAAAGAATGTAGTCAAAATTAAATGAAGAGTAAAATAAAACAACGGTGAGATTTTTTTTTCCACCAAAGGTATTGCTGGACTAGTTGCCTGTACTTTGCACAGGATATAATAATAATAATTGTTGCATTTGATATAGCGCTTTTCACGTCTTCTTGACATCTTAAAGCGCTTCACAGAATATGCTGTAAAGTGAATTGACCATATATTTGTGGGCGAAACGCGGCAGCTAATTGCGCACAGCAGTGTCCCACAAACAGTCGTGGATTGAAATGACCAATTTATTATTGTTTTGTTTTGGAGGGATTATTATTAGGCGTGTGGAGTAAGGAAACTTGCCCAAGGTTCTGCCTTGCCTGGAATTGAACCCAGGTGTCTTGCTTGCAAGACGAGTACTCTAACCACTGAGCTACAGGACTCCACTTATCCGCTTTTGTCCTATTTCCTCCAGCAACCTGTTTCCTTACTTCTGAGAATGCTATAATCTACAGGCTCCAAACGAAATATTTCCCCCGATTGGTACCGCAATTCCTTAATGTTTCCACTCTGGCCTGTTTTCTGCGGCATGCTTTCAGTATTATCCATACAGACTATGGCAGAGAAATTATTACCACAACACATTCAGATGATGAGATAAAAATGATCCCTGAGAAATATACCTCTGGTAATGCAGAATCATGTGATGTCCTTTGTGTACCTAAAGCAACCCAAATATCTCTGAAAACCATTGCATGAACGGTATGAATCATGTTTGTGTTACAATATATTCCATGAATATTTATGTTAAAAATCATTTAAAACATTTATCTACAGATTTTGTTCAAAGTCCTAATATTTCCAGTCAGGGTTTGTACAACCATATAAGCTGTAACAGACTGATTCTCATTCACTTCATGGCTGTTTGTGAAATATTACTCTGTGCAAATTCGCTGCATGTGTTCGCCTACAAAATACACAATCACTGCACTTTACGGTAACTCAGATGAAATGCTTCGAGATGGACTCAGACATGAAAGACACCATCAAATGTAAGGATTTTTCTTATAAGCATTTATTTTACTTCCACACCTGTTATTCTCTGTGGAGTCCTGTAGCTTAGGGGTTAGAGCACTTGTCTTGCAAGCAAGAGGATCTGGTTTCGCAGGGCTAAACCTTGGCAAGTTTCCTTAATCCACACGCCTCTGTGTACCTAGTAGTAATTAGGAACCCAGTTGTTTGTTGATTGGCGGATCGCTTTTCCGGGGCAATAATACCTTAAAATAAATAATAATTAGTTCACTCAATCCATGACTAGTCAGCCGTGTTTCGCCGACAAAATATACAGTCAATTCATTGAAGCGCTTTGAGACACCTCGAAGACATGATAAGCCACTCTATCAAATGCAAGGATTATTATTATTATCAATACCATACAGAATGGTAAAAGATTCACACAATTTACTGTTCCAAGTGCGAAAGCTATATTTTCTGGTACTTTAGAAACTGAAAAAGAGTGAGCTAAGAATGACGGTGCATCTCACAGTTTTTTAAAAAAATTACTGTTATTGTTTTTACTTAGCATAGGACTGTCACGGATTAAACATCCACAACGTTGTATTGTGTTCTGTTACAAACGGAGGTCAGAAAATGTATTTCAATATATACATTTGTACGATAAAGATAAATGATGACAAATTAAAGGATCTCTGACAAATCAGTGCACTTTTTTAACAATCATTATTGGGAAAAATAATGTTTTCTTTGAGTGAAACATTGAATTTGTTTTAATCAAAAGTTCCTGTAAACGTATCTACAATTCTTATAACAGCCAAGTCTGTTGTTGATTCAAGCTACTTTGAACCATCACAATTACTAGTTTTTGTAATTTTCAACAAAGTGAGAAAGAAGAAAAGGAAACAGGAATTTGCCAATATTGAAGCACAAATGCAGCACAAAGGTTGTTTTTAAAAGCCTCTCATTATCAGGCAGAGAAAAGGGTTTGAGTGAATGTACCATGTTCTATCTCAGCAGAAAACTGTAACTCACTCAGAAAATAGAATGGAAGGGGGTGATGATCAGAATAGCAACAATGCTGGACTGAATAACTTGAGCAAAACAGAGATTGAAAACAGAAGAGCTTCTCGTGCAAACAAAGCAGAAACTGACAGAAAAGGTTCCCGTGTAAATGAAACAGAGACTGAAAGCAGAAGAGCTTCTCGTGCAAGCAAGGCAGAGACTGAAAGCAGAAGAGCTTCTCGTGCAAGCAAGGCAGAGACTGAAAGTAGAAGAGTTTCTCGTGCAAATGATACTCAAAACAGAATAGTCTCTGGTGCAAGCAAGACAGAAACTGAAAATGGAAGAGTTTCTGCTGCAAATGAAGCAGAGACTGAAAGCAGAAGAGGTTCCCAAGCAGACAAAAATGGGATTAGAAGAAGCAAAACTTTAGTCCTGCAGGTGAGTACATTATGTAAAGTCTTTGCCGATTTAGAATTGGTAACAGATCAAAAAGAACTGCTTTTAATGTGATATGTATTGCTGTGTATTCTTCTCATTCAACGGAGCACAAATAGACACAAAATAATGTGTAGGTGAACTTGTTTGTTATCTCCATTGTAATCTAGGAAGTTATCAGTTTAGACATAATAACTCAGGCTCAATTCTGAATCACATAATAAATTTCAGAAATAATGGCATTTAAACTTTTGTTTAATAATTCACTGCTGAATGATAAATAAATGATATTCAAATATTTAATTCCTTTATTTCAGAAACAAACCTCAAAAGAGGATACAAAGAAAGGTAAATGGAAAGCGTTATATCACCACATAAACTTTGCATCTTGTTACAAGGCTGTAATATCTGCAGCATTTAGGTTTGACATTAATCTTGATACTTGCTTGTTTATTATGCTCTAACACTTAGGATGTCAGATTATTGTTGCTGTGTGAAACTGATTTTTTTCTGTTTGAATTCATTGTGTTTTAAGAAAGAGTTTCTGGTGAGTACCGATTCTTAAGTAATTATTTTATCGATAAAATACTTGACTTTAACTTTCTGGCTGTAATTTGAATCATACAGAATTAATCAGGTTGAGGTTTTATGCTTGATGGCTTGAAACACTCGTTTTCAAGCCCATGCTCTGCCCATGCCCCTCAGAGCTAAACTCCAGTTAAATTCTTTGAAATAATTATTATTCACTACCTTAAAGAGAACATATATTCTGTGCTCATAAAGATGAAGGATGTGAAAAGCGCACTTCTATATTTGCCTGGATCAAACACTCCCAGATCAATAATGGGGTGTCTTAACACCAACTGACCCCAAATTACAGGAATGTAAATATTTCCACTTTCCACACTAGCCATTATTTTAGCCTCTTCAGTGAAATTGCTGATTTATGCCAAATTGTAAGAAATGTTGCGCTGTAGGGTCCACCCACTAGAAACTGGATTGGAATTGCTCCCAACAACAACAACTTGGATTTATATAGTGCCCTCCACACCGGGTGGAGTCTCAAAGCGCTTCACAGTAACGGATCCTGGGGCCGAGCCGGGGGGAGGGGAGGAAGGTGACCAAAGGCGCGGTCAAAAAGAAAGGTCTTCAGCAGAGACCTGAAAATAGGAAGGGAGTGAGCGAAACGAAGGAAGTGAGGAAGGGAGTTCCAGAGCCTTGGGGCACAGTGGCTGAAGGCACGGTCGCCGAGGGTGGAGCAGAGGACTCGGGGGACGAGGAGGAGGCCAGACACAGGAACAAAGGCAATGGGTACTGTTTTGAGGAGAGAGGTCAGAGAGGTAGGGGGGAGCAGAGGAGTGCAGGGAGTTGAATACAAGGGTGAGGATCTTGAAGTCGATCCTCTCTGGGACAGGCAGCCAGTGCAGTCTGGCAAGGACTGGGGTGATCGGGGAGCGGAGTTTGGTGCGGGTGAGAATGCGGGCAGCAGAGTTTTGAATGATTTGGATTTTATGGATGGCAGTGGATGGGAGACCAGCGAGGAGGGCGTTAGAATAGTCCAGCCGAGAGGTGACAAAGGCATCGACCAGGATTTCAGCGGCTTTTGGGGAGAGGTATTGTCGGAGGCGGGCGATGCAACGGAGGTGTCTCATTAGGGCAATTTAAAACGTTCATTCCAGCCTTTCAAAATCTGAATCCGGGTCCCACAGGTGAAAGAGCAGTATGTTAACCAATTTGCTATCAACAACAACAACAAATGTTGTCATACATATTGCAGGAACAGACAGTTCAAGGCGTTCAGAAACAAACCTTTCAACATCAATGCCAGCCTCCTCAGAGATCATCAAAACCGATAAACTAGAACCGATTACTACAAGAGACTTTGGGACAAACGTTACCATGTGTGCTATCCGTAAAAAGTCATCTAAATCGTGAGTTAGATTAATATTTTTCATTGATTTTATTTAACAATTTAAATTAAACAATTGTTGAGCCCCTTATTATTTTCTGCTCACTGCATGTCTTTAACTGTATTCATAAAGAATTTGTATACAAGAACAGTATTTAGGGGTCAATTAATCTATTGAAATTTCCATTACAAAAGAGCAAAGAAGAAACACAACTGGGGCAACTTAGCACCATATTTCGATACCAGTGCATTAAACTCTTGTAAAGCTGAGGTATGTTTCCTTATTTGTTTCAGTGTGAAATTTGTTCATTGACAGAAAAGTAAGAGCTAATAATTAAATCTCCAACTTTTCTATTAATTGATTTGGGATAGGTAGAGAGTAATTGATATCCAAAGTGAGTTATGAGGCTAAAATCTAATGGAATATTTCAGATGACATCATAAACCGCAAGCATGAAATTTCAATGGCGCATAATTCAGCTAGATGCTATCTCATTAAATAATAACCTAGATTAGATTGGAACTATGGTCTGGAAATTTGGTCTGGGCATTTTAAATTACTTTTAATTGTATTTCTAGTTTAATTTGTTTCAGAGGAAGCAATTTATTGAATATTTTTAGGGTCTCAACAGCTGTTGATAATTTAAAAGATCCTCAATATGTAATGTCGTTCACATAAGGTGAATAATACTTTTGACACCATTATTGCAGGCTTATCATTAAATAGTCAACAGCTGATTACACAGAAGTATAATGATGCTTTATTTTTAATGAGCAGCTTTTAATATTCGATCGGTCAGAGGACCATTTCTCAAAAAACTTGCAATTCAATTGCAAATTAGTACCTTATTTCAGAAATAAAGTACGGATCATAAAGTCCAGAGCAGCCAAGCCTTACTTACCAGTGCATTTCAGAAATTTGTGCACACTTTTTTTTCCACAAAAAGTTAAAAGTTCAAGTTTAGAATTAATATCCCCAAATTAAATGTGTTGTCAAGTTAAAGCATATTGTAGCCAAATGCCATTATATGGAAATCTGTTGAGTTTATAACACGGTTCAGATATTTAATTAATTCAAATACACATGAATTAAGAAATATCATTATTATTCCGTATCTGTAAATTATTCAAATTCAATGTGTATTTCTTTTATACAGGTATTAACAAGCAAAAATGTATATATTTTTGCAAGCCTAAACTGTTAATATATAATAAAGCTGATATTTATTATGAGCCAGTCAAATGGGAACTATGAGTGCGCTCTAGGATGTTATCTTTAAACAGCTGGGAATTTAATAATGTATTTATACTTCGTAAAACCTACTGCTGGTACTCTGTTAGTAACAATAGTTTCATTCTGTTTAACAGCCAACAATGATCAGTTACCAATACAGGAGTAGATCGACCACTTATAAAATTCTTGATCCTGAAGTTTCATTGAAGATGGATCAGTAAGTATATAATCATATTTGATTTATACTATGCACCAGAGATTTTCTAAACCAATCAATGTGTTAACCAATGCTAAATTTATTGAATGTGTCGATTAGATTCAACACACGTTTCACCCCAGTATACTGCACAAATGAATCTTGTACATGAGAAAATCCACTATTACTAACTAAGAGTTAACACTCACTGTTTTCCTATTATGTAACAGATTGATATCACCAGAACTTCCCTATCGATCTGTGCCACAGATTTGGTAAGAAGACGTGAAAAAGCGCTATATCAAATGCAAGGATTATTATTACTATAAGTGTTGACTGAATATATTGACATATGTAAAAGGAATAGTGTGTTGGTGAGAAAGCATCATCAGTGCAAGGCTCTCTGAGAAACTTGCATCACTTGGAGGAAAGCAAGCAAAGAGCAACTAATAACTTCCTTCGATGCTGTACAGTTCATAGTTTTTTTCCTGTAACCCAGAAGTTGTTCTGTAAAATCTGTAAAAGGCTTGGTCACAAAATACCAAGTTATTATAAATGTGAATTACATTCATATCTATGAATGAGAACAAGAAAAAAAATTATTGCAATATTTGATATTTTAATTTGATGAATGATATCTGTAATAGTTTATCCTCGAGGAATCGCAAATCACGAGCTAAAACACAAAGTAAAAAACGTTGCAGCCCGAAGGAAAAGAAAGATCAAAAGCTAAGGTAATGTCATTGGATTTTTCAATAAAATTACTTAAGTAGTTGATTTCTAAAACAGAGTTTAAAATCAATAATTCTATGAAGTTTTGAACTTTACAATTTAGGTGTGCTTGTCTAAGACCAAGGGAAGACACGCATGGCTTAGATGAAATTGCCAAACAGCACTATTGGGAAACGCGGCACGCCTTTTTCCGAATGGGTTTGGATCAACTGATAAATCATCGCCCAGGTCTCCAGGCTTTATTTAAAAGTCTCATTCTGATTTACATGGGAACCACAAAAGGCTCATTGAAAGCCGTCAAACAACTGACCAACTGCTACTGTAATTAAAGAGACCAGTAGCTACAAGTTGCGTTATTTTTATTATTTAAATACATCTGCATCATTGTTACACATTTGGGTTTGCGCTGCATGTTACTTTTTGACTTGCAAATCAGTATCTTTCCAATGAGTTTTAATAACATTTGAAAGATAAACTAAGGTATTAAAGAAAGGATTCTTCTCAAATACAAGTGAAACATGTACATACAACATGTTGCCCCCCACCCCCCCCCTGTGTATTTTTAGACTTTTCCTAATATATATTGAATATATTGAATATATACATTGATTTGTTACCAAACCAATTCAGATCATTATTAAGGATATCATGATCCAAGCCACACTGATCATATGAGCAGTACAGGCAGAAGCTGGAGCTGCAGATTTTCTGCACTGGAGCTGCTCCTCATCTCTAGCGATGACATCTTGCAGTGGCCCAATGGAATCCTGAAGACGTTTGCCTACCTAGAGCATGGGAATAAACCTGGTTACTCTTGGCAATTGAATTCTTTTGATACAATGAAGTTTAATATGCAGTAATGCAAAAGCTGCTAAATAATGAGAATTAGTTGACACATTGACACACATTATATGAAGGACAGATTGCAGGCAAGAAGGAGGCTCACTCGTAGTGTCCTATCATGAGGCTGATCATATCAATGAGGTAATCTGTCTCATGAGTGCAAATCACTTTTTCGAAACACATGTTGTATGGAGGGCATTTGGAGTGCCCTGTATCTACAATATTCATAAGCAAATAGTATGTTTATTTCTAGCTCAATTAAGCAAAAAAAAAAGAAAATTGCTTTGTGATCTTACTAACCCTTGATGTGGGTCAGACAACTTACAATTTGTAAACAAATTATTTGCAAATAGTTATTACTCTGATATTGACAATAGACAATAGTATTTGCTTAGTTTGCCAGTCAGTATTTTGGAAGACTTCTTCCTCGCTGCTTTCAAAGGAACTTACTCATAATAAGAGCTAATATGTACTTTTACTATATCTAATAAAATTACAGAATTTATTGGACAAATATTAATTATAGAATTTAATATTAAGAAAATAGTTTTAAAAATGGCTTACATCTTCCACTTTTTTGAAGACTCGGATCAAGTTTAAACCTAGCATATTGTTGATATCGTTGTCAGTCCAGTTCCGCTGGAGAAGTTCAGAGATCAAGTTGGGATATTTGGAAACGTCTTCCAAAGCAGTTGGTACTCTTATGTGACAGAAACCAAAATTATTTTTCTTGACTTTATTTTTCAAAATGATTGTCAATACGCTACAATACAAGCAGATGCTGACCCATGTACTATACCTCTCAATTCCATCAAAATCACTACCAATGCCCACATAATCTGCACCAATACGTTTTCGAATGTAGTCAAAGTGATCTGAAATGAACAACAGTAAAGAAGTAAGTAAATGGTCAGTTGTTGCAATTATTCAGAGACAGTTGGCTGTTGCTTTTACTGACCTGCCACATCTGATAATGAAGCTCTGTCTTTGCAAGAAACAAAGTATGGATAAAAATTTACCATCACAATGCCTTTATTGTCTACCTGTAGAATGATACAAGTGGATGTTTACTACAGGATTACTGTACCTGAACATACAAATCACTGGATACAAGAAAACTATTTGAAAAATCGTGATGATGCAGTGATTCAATGAATTGATGCAGCGATGCTTTATGTCAGAGTGCAGCCTGTGATTCCTTAGACCAGAAGTTTCCAATCTCTCGTATTATATCAGGGTGAGAAGTTAAGTGAAAGTTACTTTTGATTTATTTCAAAATATTCATTTAAGTTTTCCTTTTGATGGTTTACTGCCCAACAACATGGTGGAAAATGAAACTCACTTACTAGATCTTAACATCAATTTTACTAGGAATAACTGTAGTAAACAATAGCCTTCAAATAAAAGGACGATGACGAGAAGAGATTGTCTTTTTAGTTGCTTGAAATGTATTGTATACTAAAACACAGAAGTGAAGATTCTTACCAGTTTATCCAAAACTTCATCTTGCACGTTTCTGGAGCTATTGCATAAATGAAATGCGGAGGAGTGGCTGAAAATGACAGGGGCTTCAGATTCCTTAAGCACATCCAACATTGTAGCTTTGGAAACATGCGACAAATCTACCAACATTCCCAGACGGTTCATTTCCTTCACAACTTTCTGCAAGGGATCATCACAGCAATCATAAGATGGCCTTTTTTTTATTACACAGTTAAAATTGGCAACAATTAGTGCATAAGCATTCCCGTCCCTGTGAGCTGACCGGTTCTGTGTAATTTTAGATCATGCACCCAATCAGTAGATGGCTGGAATCACTTATCTAAATGTTAAAAGTCCTTAAACAGATGCCAGGTAGCGGTGGAAAAGGTCCAGAACCTATAATCTCTCCCCGTTACAAAATGGAAAACAAACTACAGTATTCCAACTATAGGCCAGCATAAACCTCAATAGGGGGTGCAAAATGCTTGGTGAGAGAGACTGAACATTCTAATTTCTCTATCTAGATAAGGTAGGTTTTGTACTCTGCAAACTATACTTGTAATACAGTACAAGTGTTAGCCAAACATTTAGCCTAGTCACATGATTTGTATGTTCCTGCAACGATGTGTTTTAATATAAAGTGTGGGACTGATTAACCTGAATTTTGTGTATTTTGGGATCAGGAAGGGTGGAGGGCAGAGTGAGTAGGAGGGTGGCTGAAGGCACGAACATATTGTCAATTGTCTCCTAACAATTTAACCACAGCTTTGTATGGCTCACAAAAACCAGGATGTAATATTATTTTAAATGTAAACTAAGTGCAATTTTTCATGTTTAGACACAGTTTACTAACTTTTCCAAATTCAGAGAGTCCATGGTTGTAAGATTCAACAGTTTCACTGTCCAATTTGTGCATTTCTGCCCTGCAAAATACAAGATAAATGTCAAAATTGCACCAATGTCTCTGTGAGTATATTACTTATCTGACCATAGGAATTTAAGAATATAGGAACAGGAGTAGGCCATTCAGCCCCTCGAGAATAAGCCTGATTTTCTAAAAAAAAATCTTGATTTGTTTTTTAGTTTGTGCTGAAATTAAAATAATTTTTTGGTTGCCTCATCTCCAGCTGTAGGAAATGATACTTTGCGATCTGGACACTCATTCCAGTAACCCACATTGATGTTCATCAGCGTGCCCAACCTGTATCATATGACGGCATGGAGTGAGGGAGAAAAGGGCGTTTTGGGAAATCCATCTAATCATTAAATGCTGCCAATGCAAACTCTCTGTATTCACCTAAAATGGATAGAGATTACTTTAGCTGTTGTACCTGTACAAACACTGGCAGTGGTGCAGTAGACATGAAATCTAACCAACCAGTATTTAAAGGAAACCAGCCACGATCATAAGAGGTAGTTTGCACAATTAAGAATTTTCTTACCATGGTGTATGGCAGTTATGGGTTAGTGTCAGATAACGAACCCCGAGTTCATAGAACATTCTCAAAGTTGCCAGGCTACTGTCGATTCCATGCCCGCTCTCCACACCGATAAGACTGGCTATCTTACCCTTTTTAAATGCTTCTGTAATTCCTTTAATAAAATTTATGAATATAGTTATATTTGCAAAAATGTCAGACTTAATACTGCAATGCCTACAATTAATTTAGCATTTATATTACAGAAATGTCTCAAGTAGTTCACTTGTGATAGTTGTGTTCTTGTTGGTAAAAGTGACAACCGTTTTGCACATAGCAAGTTTCACATATACAAACTTCCATCTCTTTCTGAATAGTATTATGGGAGTTATAACATCCACCTGAACAGACAGACAGGACATTGGTTTAATATCTCATCCGAAGTACAATACCACAAACAATATAGTGGTTCCTCAGCACTGTACTGGAGTGCAAGCCTAGATTGAGCTCAATTCCCGTTGTTGGGTTTGAATCCATAACCTTCTGAACAAAAAAAGCAAAAGTGCTAGCAAATGAAGCAAATCCTACAAAGTCTGTTTTCAGATTCCATTAATAATATCTTGTCTTCAGAAGCCTTTAACTTAGATGACCTGGTGAAAGTTTCTCCCAAGAGGCCATCATTCCAAGCATCGTGAATTGTTTGAGGCTACAACTAAAACCTAGCTGTCTGTCCTAATTCCTGACTGTTTTCCTGAATGCATCCTTCTACCAACCAGGAAGGGGTCAGCTACTAACACCTACAAAACCAATGTTAAATCAAATTTGTCTAGTTACTTCAGGTTGGGATTTAAGGTCTTTGAGGTGTTGGGATTGATTAATGATAACATTTCAGATTTTAATGGATAGTTCTTTTTCCCCAGTTTTTCAAAATTATACATGTTAAAAAAAAAGCTTTAAAAGAAATATGGACTAGATGATGACATAGCTCCACATAGTGGATTCCTGTAGCTCAGTGGTTAGAGCACTTGCTTCGCAAGTGAGAGACCTGGGTTTGATTCCTGGTAGGTCGAAACCTTGTGCAAGTCTCCTTGCTCCACACCTGATAATAATCCCTCAAGAAAAAACAAAACAAAAATAAATTGGTCACTTCAATCCATGACTGTTTTGGGATACTGCTTTGAGCAATTGGCTGCCACATTTCGCCCACAAATATACAGTGAATTCACTTTACAGTGTATTGTGTGAAGCGCTTTGAGACGTCTAGAAGACATGAAAAGCGCTATATCAAATGCAAGGATTATTATTATTATTACATACCAGCTGATGTAGTAGTTAGCTGAAAATCGTTTGGGTACATCTCTACCAATCTCCTTATCACATCGATTTGTTCTAAAGTCTGCCGAACTGCTTGTTTGTTTTGTGTACTACAGGGTACATAAGCAACCCAAAACTGGGGAACAAACAGAAAGAAGTAAAACTGAACTGGCAGAAAACCAAGAAGTCATTTAAAAAAAACCAAATTGCCAATGTAGGCATTCAACTCTTTTCACTTTATTTCAATTGGATTTCTTAAAATTCTCCTTTTTATGAACATTCAATGAACAGTTTCTGTAATGTGCTAGACATAATAAAGTGCTCACTAACTGATAGGGTATAGAGTATTTTATTTTGAATTAATTCTTGTGTGTATATGTGGCATTGTTGTTGTATTGCAGCAGTGTGATACCAGTTGCAGCATTAAAATAGAGCGCCTGTACAGTTGATATGTCAGAATACTGGCACTTATTGTTCACTGGAAGACCTAACCTTGTCCCAATTCTATTGATTCTTCCATATGCAGAAAGGCCTGATCTGATTTTTGCCAAGCACAGGTTCTAGATCACAGATAATTTACCTTCCCCCCCACCACACCCACCCACGCGCACATGCTATATGAGGTTAAATAGAGCAAGAATCATCTTTTACCTGAGCTCCAACCAAACCAAGCTTGAGCTTCTCAATGTTGGTCTGAGTATCATTCCAGCTTCTCAGGTCTATTGCAGTGAGATTATTGTTCACTCTCACCTTTAACTGCCATGGTAGATCATTGTGCCTAAAATAACGATGAGACCATATTTTCTTTATAAGGAAATAAGATTTAAAACAGTCACCTTTCACACATTAGTAAATATATGCAATAGTGTGGATCGATAGGAAACAGATTGTTTTTCATCCAAACTAATTGCTGAAACAGTGAACATTGACACTTAAATTTTGGGTCAATTCTCTGCTTGAGAGCATTGGATGATCCATGTTACCCAGTGATACAATACTTGTCTGAAACACAATTTTGTGAATCTCTACAATCCTAAAATTGCTAGTTTAAATAAAGCCTAGACAATATTCTCAAACTTTGATACAAAGTATTAGGAAATAATGTTTCAACATTATTCTGAGTCACAATGATAATTGTTTTTTTTTGATCATTTGGGTGTTTTGACACACTTGTAAACCCATCACCTTAAGAGCATCCAAACCAGAGTTCTGCATATGCCACATACACATAAAACTTTCCATATCTGGAATAGAATGTGCACTCTCTCCCTGGAAGGACACAATCTGCTGTCATAATTCCAGAGTATTTGGTGATTGGAGACCCCAGAGTGTGCCTTGAGATAACTGCAAATTTAAAACTATATAGCTTGCCATTCAGAACACAGCCTGGAAAGCTTCTTGCTGCTTGTCCCGTGAGGACCACCCTACTTGGGCTTTAATAATATAATAATAATATTTAGCTTGCAGGGTTAACAGGAGTCCCGTGCGAAGAACTACTCTCAGTGGCTAATCTGCCCCTCCCAAGTCCTGCTGATAAACGAGGCTGTCTCAGGAACTGGACTATCTAGACCACCACAAACAATAATGATTTGGTTACGGTTTTAAATAACTTAAATAATAGTCTCCAACAATCCTATTTCTTAGTACTGTACTAAATGTCACCACGGCTAAACACCTACAATTGGAAGGATACCCGATTGCCTCCCTTGATTAATATGCATTGCAACTATAGAATTCTTACTTTTACCGGGAATCCAGTACTGTGGGAATTGATGGCATAATTTTGCTGTTAGATGACAGCAAAATTATGCCTGTCTTGCTATTAGCCAGTTACAGGTATAAACCTCACCATCTGTTTCAGTTTTGACACTCTCTGCAGCTTAAAAATAAGGTTCCACGAACCTGGACACGGCCACATCCAAAACAACTATTGCTTAGATTGACTTGGTTTCAAATAGATTTCAATCAACATTGGAAATAAATGAAAAACTTACCCAATAAATAAGATGATCTCACAATACTTTGGTAGACAAAAGCAGGCTTTTTTAAAAATAAACAATCTGTTTAAATATTCAATGCAGCCTCCCATATTGAGTTACGTATTATTCCTTAACTTACATGCTTGAGTTTGCATGATAAAAGCTTTTGAATTATAGTTTAACTTTGAAATGCAAGCATAATTTTTTTGAATAAAACTATCATTATTTACTTACCCATCAATCAACGGAGTTTTCTTCATTAACTCTACAGCCTTATGATAAAAATCTGTATCTGAAGAATTTGTCGAGCAACTCACTAAAATCAGTGTCAGCAAAATAACCAGAGGTTTTAACATTGTGACAGGAGCTTCAGCCCAAGTCGCTTCCAGCCAAATATGTGCTCTCTTCATGGGTTGACAAGGATGTCAACAGCACATTGCTTGTCTTTGACCTTTCATCATCTGCAGGATGCTAACGTTTCCCAATTTCTGACAAATGAGAATGGTATTTTTAAACAAACCACATCCTGTTTGTGCTTGCGTTATGATTTAATATACAAAACCTTATGGTCCAACACAAGTTCCAAAGTCAAAACTTAAAGGCACAACATTGGTTTGTTGCCTCTTGTCTCACTTTTAAAAGCTTCATCACATTTTACATTGCAAAAACAGTTACTCGTCAACTCATCCAGCAGTAATTTACTACTAGAAAGCCATGCTTGTTATTTTCTTTTACACACTTCTCTAATCTTAAAAGTTCAAAATTGTGATGCAGGTGCTATAAATAAAGTGAGACAAACCAATGTTGTGCCTTTAAGTCTTGACTTTGAATCTTGTGTTGGACCATAAGGTTTTGAAACTACTGTATCTCAGACTAGTTGGTTTAAAACTAAGTGGACCTGGGAATAGGTTGTCTACTCTTGTAAACTAGTTTATGATTTTGAAGGAGAGAGAAAATAACATAAGAACATAAGAATTAGGAGCAGGAGTAGGCCATTCGGCCCCTCAAGCCTGCCCCGCCTTTCGATAAGATCATAGCTGACCTTCAGACCTAACTCTAATTACCTGCCCTATCCTCCCCTAATCCCTGTATTTTTAAAAAATCTATCAGTCTCAGCCTTGAAGATGTTCAAGGACTGAGCATCTACAGCCTTTCTGGGGTAGTGAATTCCATAAATTCCCTGAGTGAAGAAATGTTTCCTCAACTCTGTTCTAAAAGGCTGACCCCTGGTTAGAGATTCTCCTACCAGGGGAAACAGACCCTCAGTGTCTACTTTATCCAGCACTTTAAGGATCTTATATGTTTCAATAAGATCTCCCCTAATTCTTCTGTACTCTAGAGAATACAGCCCTAGTTTATTCAGCCTATCCTCATAGGTCAGTCCCCTCATCCCAAGAACTAACCGAGTGAATCTACGCTGCACCCCCTCTAGGGCAAGTATGTCCTTTTTTAAATAAGGAGACCAAAACTGCACACAATACTCTAGGTGCGGTCTCACCAAGGCAGTTGCAGCAAGACTTCCCTACTCTTGTACTTTAAACCTTTTGCAATGAATGCTACCATGCCTTTACATTGCAACTTCTATAAATGCTGGGGTATTGCTTTCAGTTACAATGTAGTGATGCATTTGTAATACTGAACAGTATAAATTCAGTACTTACAAAACTAGTCATTATCTATTACAATGATATTCTAACATTATCGTTTCTCTCTCCACCAGCTAACCATTTCCTATTTACTTTTGTAACATTTGAATCTGTAGAACAGTTTAAGGGTAACAAGCCCATGTGAGTCATGGAACAGAAATTCCTGAGGAAAAACAATTGAATGTAAAGTCAGATTGAAAGTATGTTTTTCTAAGGAAGTTTTCAGAAAGCAGTGCAGTCTGCAAAGTGTGTTCTGTTCCATGTTTTTAAAAGTAGGACTTTTTGTAAGACGCTAAATTCTTTCATACAGTTAAAATGTTTCATCACACATCTATATAGTCAGCCAACCCCAGACGGTTTAGATTGATGTGTGGGGAACATGAGTTTGAAAAAGCTAAAAATTCAGAACACTTAGTCTCTCACCATCATTGTTGAAAATAAACTTTTGAGAAATGTAAAAGATTCACAAACAGGAAAAGAAAATCTTTGAAACACACCATCATTAAGGATGCATACTTTTTTTTAAAGACAAAAGTTTATTACCAAAATTACAAATGGTACGCTGCAAAACAAAACAGAATAGGTGACAAACATTACAAGTAAAATAAATTAATCTAATGTTACACAGCATATCAGAAAGTACAATAATTACAGAGGTACTTCAGGTCTGTTTAATCAATACAGAAAAGCTTGATCTGATCTACAGCAGACTGATCCATACAGCTTCTGGCATTAAGGCATGCAGCTTAATGTGCATACTGAACTTGGTCACATACATACTCCTACACCCGTGCGTGCACATGCTCACACATACACAGTTCCATTATTAACAAAAGATATTTCAGTTTTCAAGAAGTGCTAAACTTTGGCTAACTTTAGTGTTGTTGGTGATATGTGGAAAAAGTACACGTATTCAAAATAGTTTTTCAATATCAAATGGTTTGTATCATTACATAACTTATAAACCTCCAATATCCACCTCAGCAATCAAAATTTATAATGTTCCTAGTTATACAATCTTGGATTTAACATTATATATTATTAATTTTAACTAAGTGCTTTCAAAATATGAACAAATATGGGACCGATAACCATCTTCTGAGACCCTTGTGATTTTTCTGGATTTTTTTCTAAAAAAAGCTTTGGTTAATTCCCCAGTTTAAAAAAATAAACAGGCTGAAATGCAGCACGTTTGTTGGAACAGGGCATACAAAAAACATGAAGGAACTAAACAAACCGTGTGGTTCAGTGGAGATGCAAGAGCTCCCTGTGAACATATTCAATAGTTAAGCCTAAAAATGTTTGGCAAACACAGATTCTCTTTATTATACACTTCTGTGGGGCATGATAACACTTAATACATCACATTTCCTGTAAAGTGACAAAGGTTGTAAATTTCCCCTTGAATAATGACACACAGCACTGTACAAATCCTCTCTGCCAACTTTGTAATGATTTATTAACAAGTTCCCATTATACACTTGTGGCTAATCAAGCTGCATCTTGGTTAAAAAAGGAAATGTGTTTTCTTACAACCACATTATTTTCTCAGTCACAAGAGTTACAGATCTATAATGTATTATTCAGCTCCATTATTCATAACTAATCCTTGAAATGAGACATCACTTTGGAACATTTTCTTGATTTTAGGAAATTATTGTTCTCATCCCACTTGTCATCAATGTCAGTCAACTTTACTCACCATAACATTAAACTGGGTAATCAATGCTGTCTTTCAATGGGCCCACATTAATGTTGTCAGTAACTCAATTTGTGCAATTTGAGACTGTACCAGTGTAAGGAATAACACTACTGTACATCAAGCTCTTCTGTTTATATTTAGTTGAACCCATAATTATTTACATTAGGATGTTGCCATCCCCCCTCCCCCCCATGCTGTCTCCCGTAGCCTGCGGGCTGGGGCTGCCACGCTAATCACTCGCTCCCGGTCTCTGCGTGTGCGATTTGGCGTTTTGCAACTTCAGTGAAATACAGCACATGTTGGATTTAGTTTCTTACGCACTTTGTGTCCCATTTGTACCTGCATTTGGAAATTAAATCTACTTAAAAAAACATCTGTTTTGAAAGTGACCCAATGAGCACTCTGCTCATCGGTGCTCACAAACTGTACCAGACGTCTGATTATTGATACCTGCAATTTGTCTTTTATTTGGAAAGACACCTTCCCAAGTCGACCAATACCACTGGACTATACAAATAGTACATTAATACCAACTTCTCAAATATATAGAATTAGTCTGGTAGCACCCCTAAAATCCCCTTATCTCTATTGTTATTGTTTCCTACCCATTGTTTCATTATAGGATTGATTTCCTGCTAACTCTACACAAAAGGTTTTCAAACCACTACCTAACCTAAGTTTCAGGATGTCGTTACTAATGTACGACTTTTACATGCAAGGGTTGTAAAAAAAAAGTAACCAGAAGCTTCAAAATTTAAACAAGGAAAAATATTTCTTGAAATCACTGTGCTAAGAACCTTTGCTTCACAACACAAAATATATTTCTTCTAAAGCAGACTGAAAATAAACTTCCTCAAATTACTGTCAGTGAAATAAACAATTTAGTAAAACTTTTAACAATAAACTTTCTCCCCCTCTATAATTTCTAGCATTCATATAAAAGGAGAAAGGTAATTTTTATTGGCAATTTAGTTTTCCACAAGGTTTCTCATTAACCTTTTTTTAAAAGACTTCAATATTGCCAATCCTACTCATTCACAAAAATTTCACATGCAAACGGATTGCTAAAATATATATATAATATATATATGTTCAAATCAAGTCTTTAGGTTTGAAACCAGCACATTGATACATTGTTTAGGCTTGCATTTTACATTCTAGGTCCTCTACATCCACATTTTTGGTACAAATGATCACAAAAGTTCCAGACTGTCAGAGGCAAGGCAAATCTAAGACAAGGCAGATCTAAAGGAGCGAAGTTTGATCAGATCAAATGTTTGGTTCTCCTGTGTTTTGTCCTAAATTATTGAATTTAGCCCACCATTATTTTTCCCATTTTAGAATAAATAGGCAGAGCAGACATCTCGACTAAACGTTTCAATCACTTACAGAGCAATTAATTATCAAATCCAATCCTTTGAAAATCTAAGCCAATCAAAGTTTTTAATATAGGAACAAATATCTCATGTAAGTAGAGGAGAAAGTGACGAAAGCTCAATACATTTGAAAGCGCTTTGTCGATTAAACTTTCTACCTTCGACCTCCACTATAGAGGGCCAACTACATGAAAGATTGCTTTGCAAATCTTCGTCCGTTTACAAGTTTATGACTTCTCTCATTGAAATTCATCACTTTCATGTAACACAACCAAAATACCATACTGGCCTTCGGCTCTCTTGAGTGAATATTTGGATGTTATACATATTTCAGATTAAGTTTAAATTAATATTTATAAAGTCATTTTGCAGTCGATCAAATTAAAATGGATTGAATTTCATTCGCAGCTAGGATGTTTGAAAATGAACAGTGAATTTAATGGGATATCATAAGCTTCTTACTACTGTTTAACTCAGGTTCCTGCATTAAGAACAAATCATTTATTATTTATTTTATATTAAAAAGCTGCATTTACTCCATATCTTAGTTTGCTGACATATGTGACACTAACCGATTTCTGTGTCTTGTTAAAACTAAATCCATCACTTCAAATAGTTCTTAATAATAAGTCAATTACATGATTCATTAATTTCCTGATTTCAACAAACTGCTACAACTATGTCTGCCATTAGCCACATTGCTCATTGGCCCCAAATTCCAGCATTTAGTATGACCATTTAGTTTTAAAAACTAAGATTGTGCAGAATTTTGAAAATTCTTTTAGAAACTGATTTTCGATAGTTCTTAAAAAAAACAAATGGCACCTTTCATGTTGGGAGGACATCCTAAGGCACCGGATAGTCAGGGATTTGGACCCGAGCCGAGGGCTGGGATCAGGAGGTGCGGAGCGCAGGTTGGGTAGAGAGTAATAAGAAACAGTTTGTACATAATCTTAAAATCTTAAAACAAAATAGCCTTTTAAATTAAGACTAGATATTTTGGGGGAGCTCTCCTTTCTAACTCATCAGGTCATTCAGTGCAGCAGTCCATATAAAAATAAGGGGAAAGCATTTAACCAACAAATCAACATTTTATATTCAAGATTTTGAGCTTTTCAGTCAAGTTTTAATAAAGGACGTGTTTTAAATAACTCCTTTAAATTCATAAGGCTGGATTTATTTAATTTCCATTAAATCAACTTGCTAACAATATTCTCTTGATGCGAGATACCATACTATCACCAAGCCCAGGATAAATCTATGAAGGACCAGATGCTTCTATAGTTATTAATCTTTTAGTGAATTATTAACTGGTGATTGAATGCACAAATGAAACAATAATAATAAATATTATGATTATTACATTTGTGTGTTCAATCACTAGCTAATAAATATTATTATTACACAACTGTAAATGTATATACTCCCTTTACATGTTGGCACCTAGAGATCTTCAACGAGAAGCATCAAAGCTCTTCTGTGGTTGTTCCCAGATCTTCAAAATAGATATTAAATAAAAGTTACAGTAAATGTGCAATCTCCTTAAATAAAATTCTAAATGTCAGTCTACAATACAGCTGGAACAAGGACAGATTTTCAATTTCCTTTTGCACCGATTTGAAATGTGTGAAGTTTGTACATCTATAATTTCTAACAATAATGTTTAGGAAATAAAGGTATTCACAAAACAGTACGAGAATCAAGTTCCAGAGAACAAGTACAAGCTCATCTTTTATGTACAATATAAAAAGTGTGCTTTCAGTAAGTAAGGGATGTGTTACACTCCCCTTTCTTTGTGATAAAGCATATTATCATCAGTTGATAATGAGTCTGCTACCCAAGGTATAAGTGAAAAAATAATCATTGTCGATTTAGAATAGAATCCCTTGGATATTTGCAGTACCACCCAAAGCTCTGAAGATTGCCTTTGTTCAAATTCTAAATTTATGCTGCCATTTAACAAGGACAGACCTTCAAGTCAACATTCGCCTCTTTTCCTTGTGTTTGAATGAGTATGCTCAGTGACAAGTTTATAAAATAGCACCCTGAGCTGTACTGTATTCTTTACTGTCGTGTAACAGCTTGTTCCTGGTAACAGCAGAAAACTACATGCATAAATAGAAAAATAAACACACACATCATCCCTACCCAAAACTAATATTTAGAGCCACAGGAAGGAAATAAAAACTAAAATAATTAATGAGACTTAATTTCTTCTGGTCATGTATTGGTAAATTGTTACTTGTGGTAAATCCTCACTAGTGTAATGTTGGCAACAATAATAAAAGAACAGCTAAATAAATTAAATTTGTTCTGTCAATTTTTTTGAACCGTTGATATTCACTTTTTCAAGCTGTGGTTTATTACTATCCACAAAAACAAGACACTGTACTCTGAAATTATACTTTGCAGGCTGGATCTAATCAGTACTGCATTGCTCAGTCTGGGAGCAATGCTCCTTGTTCAAAATGATGTTAATGATCTCACCCTCATGTTCTTTCATGTGATCCATCAATAGCTCCTTACTGGTGGATTCAAATCCACATATACAGCAACAGAATAGTAAGACACAGTACTCTATGCCAGCTCGAGCCTGGCTTCCACTTTTTCCTGATGAATTGGAAACATTTCTATCTGGGTTTAAGATTTGAAATTTTTCAAGGCTTTTAGCTTCATCAGTAATGTGGCCTACTGTTTCTGGAGTTGACACAAGTTTCTCAGAACTTTGAGAAAGAGGAAGAACAGGTGGCGGAGAAGCCGTTTCTTCAACATCCTCAACTACAGATTTCCTTTGAGGCTCCTGATACCTAAAACAAATGTCAAGATTATGTTAAAATGTACATTAAATTAAAGCCACTAAGCAAGGTAAACGTTATTCAATGTGATCTTATTATTACGATGAAAGCAGAGGTTATTGTCTAAAAGTCTTTATTTGAGCACGTTGGACCCTCTCAAAGCAGGGTATGCTAAAATTCACAGGCTGAATGGTACCTGCAGCTCTATAGGACATAGAAAATCAACATGTTTTTGTATTTGTACATCACATGCAAATATTATCCCAAATCCATACACTGCATACAGTAAATACACAGCAATAAAACAATTCAATATACAATCTAAAACAATGCTTGTATTTTATTAGCTATAATGTTGTGAAAATCTGGGATTTGTGATGAATCTTAATTACATGAGTAGAATTGTATTCTATTTTGTTTGGAACAATTATTTTCATATAAAGTAGATTCAACATGATCCAGCATCTCTGGTTGAGATGTTGCTAAGATCATGGATGGAATTCACAAATGTTCACTGATGTATATATATGTCTGGGCTGTAACATTGGATTCATGTTTTGATAAACGTTTTCCTGGAAAATGAATGGTCTTGGTGTCAATATTAATAATATTAATAATCCTTGCATATGTAGTGCTTTTTACGTCTTCTAGACATCTCAAAGCGCTTCACAGAATATACTGTAAAGTGAATTGACTGTATATTTGTGGGCGAAACGCAGCAACCAATTGAACACAGCATTAGTTAAATAGTACATGGTGTGTAGTCAAAATGGGTTGGATAGATCAAATTGCCTTTTCTTGTTATATTTTAATTTTATCTGCAAATGTAATAGGATTAGCAGCACAAAGAGTGAACAAATATTCTATAAGTACATATTACACATTTCATGCTTGGGATTGGTGTAGAGTTCAAATTGAAGCATGTAACCACTGCAGCCTGGCACTGCCACAGCTGATTAAAGTGCTCTATGGTATCAATAGATGCAATGTTTAGTTGTTCCCTTACATCAAGTGTCCACAACAAAGAACATTATATTATCAAGGAAGCTTTAATTATACTTTACTCTATCCTCACCTGCTGCTTTGGGAAATGGCTTCATTTATGGCCTTATTCACCTGTTCATAATTATAATTTTGGTCACTTGCATGTTTCCACATATGGGACTTCAAAGATGGAGGATGGCTACACACATAACCACATAGAGAGCACCTACCAAGAAGTAAAGCAAAATAGCTTAATGTAAATTTTTGTTTCCAGCCAAATATATATAGGATTTATAAATAAAAAAAACAAACCTGGAAGCTTTGCAATAGATTAACTGGAACTCACACATCTAAATTGCACTTTTAACATTCAAATTGGTCTATGCTTGCTGGTCAAGTTTCACAAATTGGTTGCCAAGTACAGACGCACATCAATAGCAGCTGAATCAAAGCATGTGGTTCAGACCTGCTAGCTGTCTGTACTCGCTGAAAGGAAGTACATTAATGCTAGATAGCAATTATACTTTTGTTTTTCAGATATGAGTAAATGAGAATGCATTTACATAAGACATGTGCAATATGCGAGGGGAAGGGTGAACTGTTATATCCCTTTGAAATTAAGTGATTTTGGTTTAATATTAATACGCAACATAATATTTGTTGATGAATAGAATCTGATTGATGAATACATTTAGCCCAAGTTCAAGCTTCAAAATATAATCAGGAATGTCTTGATTTTACCGAGGTAATATATTAAATGTATCAGCCAATTAAATTTGGCCATATTCTCTATGGAATACTGCAGTAGAAACCTTCAACACCACATGCACAAGCTCACCATCAACAACTTATTTCCAGAAGATTATCTAAACAGTACTTTTCTGATTCACTAAAGAATATGGCTTCACATAATACAAATGTCTACAGGCAATGGCTGTAAAACATTTTAAACGGAGTTTAAAAACTGTAAAAATCTTTGCAATAACACAATCATTTCAGCAGGAGAAGAAAATGCACAAAGACTGTAACATAATTTTATTTGGTAACTGCAACTCTTCCCATCCCCTAAGCAACCAGGTTATACCTTGAATAAACTCGCATATGCCTGAATTAAAACTAATCCCATTATCTTTTTATGGATGGCTTCCTTTCTATTGAGTTTTCTTTAAGAAAAACAAGGACTCCAACCGGAAGTAATAAATCAAGGCTGTAAATGATATAAATATCTGAATTAAAAGATCTGAATTTTTCCAGCACTGTTGCTGAATTACTGTTGTTTTACAGATTACTTACCTGTATTGATCCAGAAGCTGAACTGCTTGCTGTTCCTGTGGGTGACGCCTCATGTGACACTTTAAGCTGTTCATATTTGTCGTGGCAAAGTCACAGTTACTGCATCTGTAAAGGGATCAGGAAAAGAATGTAAACAAGATTTTGCTTTTGGGAAGGGAAAAGGATTACATTTTTATGCTCATTAAAGTGAGGAATGTTTAGCGTTTGGCAAAATGTCTGAAAGCTCTTATTATTCAAATCAATTATCTTTGCAGAAGGCCTAATGAAATGTTTGTGGAACATGTGAGTAAGCTCCCCTTTCAAAAAGGATTCATCACAAATAAAATAAGAATGTGTTCTCGTTTGCATAAAAATTGCCTGAAATTGTACTGGACATCACACTGACTTCATGGCTGCCAGGCCCCATCTGGAACCTCATCGAAGTGACATTTCTTCCAGTAAATGTTGCTAGATGATTATTCTACAAGTGCATCATAAATAAGTCTGATCCTATTCTTACACACTTTCTATCAATGGTTTTGGAGTATGATCAAGAAACACTGATTGATGTAATCATTAAAGAGTACTGATACAAATTGTAAAGAAGTTAAAACTAACCTTGAACTTGTTCAAATTTAAAAAAAATATATTTTTTATTTGGAAACACTGAATTATAAATAGTTCCAATGTTTTGAAGACTTCACAATTTATTTTCTAATAAACATTACTACTGGGATTTTCTTCTTGCTAGTGCCTTGAGGCTCAAATATAATCCATTTGTGGTGCAAATGAGTAATAATACAATTTCCAATACTATTAATATCACAAGATTAGTTTTAAAAAAATGCACAATAGATTTGGGTTCAGTTGTTGTGCGGGAAGAGAAATGACTTATTTATCCTGGTTATGTTGGAGAACACAGTTATTCATTTGGAAGATAATTAGATAGTAAATAACTTTCTTCATCTAGTGCCTTGCAACTGCCTGAGCATTAAAGCAGAACAACTGAAAACTGTCCAACCAGTCTGAACAGTGTTATTAGTGTGTTACTTTCTGTCACAGTAAATATGATTGAGTCAAACTTTTGCCTCTCTCTCCCTCCCCAATACATCCTTGTTTCAAACAATATTTTATTCAGTTTTCTTTTAACACTCTGAAAACAGCACCAAAGTGCAGAAAGTGTGAATGGAATGAACTCAAAGGAAAAAATGTGTGATCTCATCCCATCAGGAGATACATAAAACATTCTGAATGATGATAAATATCGAACAGGCTGCACAACTTCCTGTGAATTTACCTACTTGCAGCTAATTGACAACTCTGTGTGAGGCTCCTCTCAAACCACTGCCATGAGGCATTGGGAAATAATTGTGCCAAATAAATCTCAAATGAGCAACAGTAAACAATCTCAAACACACAGCTTTTCTCCAGCCCTAAGATGAAAGAGATTCTACCAATTTTATGCTTGCCCCGCCCAATTTACAGATTTCTCTTATTATTTCTAACCAAAACATAAAATGCAATTCCTCACATTTCCTCATGATTGAAGATTAGAAACTTGTTTCTGGCCACACAAGTGTCTGAAACTATTTCAGACCTCAAACATTATTGGTTCAGTCAGCAAATCAAGATGCCTGAGGATATCTTAGAAGTGATACCCCATTTCCAGTTGATATCCGGTGCCTTGGGACGTCCTCCAGACATGAAAGGCACTATACAAATGGAATTTGTTGTTGTCGTAATGTGCTGATACGCACATTACGAATAATGGGAAAGTATCATTAAGCACATCACTTACCTGTAAGGTTTATCAGAACTGTGGATTCTCCGGTGGTTTCTTACACCAACATATGTCGAACTAGTGTAGTCACAGACATCACATTTGTACAATTTCTGACCTGTTAATAGTATTCCTAGGCAAAATAAGTAGGATTAATATGTGCTCGGCTGGAATACCATCATCTTTTTCAGTACAATGATCATGTAGTCGAGAACTGATTATTTGCACTAATTGAAACTGGCATCAATGTGGATAAGCAAACCGTGCAGATAACGGGCATTACACAAAATTGGCTACATTTCTAACTAAAATAGTTTGCATGTCTCTCTAACACTACACAGTAAAAAAGACTGTTTAACACTTTTGCGACAATGATTTTCACACTATTGTGCTCATGTACATAGTTGCTACGAAGTTGTCCACATGCTTGTTAGAATCACAATTTTAGATCATAGTATCCTTAGAAACTTCATGCACATTTTTAACTGGTATGTAGTAGGCCCGTGCCCAAATTCTGATTCCGAGGCCAAACCTTGGTCAGATGTTCAGTTAATTGGCATGCTGATAAACACTACTTTGCTTTATCCATGAAGTAGTTAAAGATGAGAAAATAGCAACAAATTAGCTGCTTCTTGATGTGTGAATTGTAATTCTCAATATAATTCTGAAGTATTTTAGTCCTTCCCAAGCTCAAACTACACTCAATAGTAAACGTCTTCAAATGTCTCATCTTGTCATTTTGACAAATCCACAGATAAGGAGACACAGTAGGCTGTCAACAAAGAAAACCCCTGAACGGTTTTGGAGACTATGAAATCTCAGTGGAACTATTAAAAAGGCTGCTGGCAACAAAGCTTTCAATCAATTGCTCATCTATTTAGAATAGGAAAAAAAATACTCTTTGGAGAGAGATAAAAAGAGTGCAATCCTGCTTTTTTATAAATGGAGGAAGGATACACAATCACACTGTTAAAATAATGAAGACATTACCCCCATCAGTTGACAATGGTACTCAACTGTACAACAGCCTTTTTAGCACCACAAACTTGCTGAAGTGACTGCCCCACTCCCCAACATGATCACATCAAATGTTTATTCTGAACAGGAAAAATGCCTACCCTCTATTTATACATACTAAGAGATATTCATAATCAGTATCTTGGGATATCCTCCCAACATGAAATGTGCTACATATAAATGCAAATTTGTTGTAGATATAAGGCATTTCACTCTAAATGGAGAGCTTAAAAGTGCACAGTAGTGTACTAGTGTTATATTCTGGCTCCAGATACAATATACAACATAGAAGAACCTATCTGATTACAAGAATAGTGATAGGGACTTCATGTTGTATGGCTACAGAATTCAACTAAGCATAAGACTGTTTTATCCTGGTGGAAACTGTGTGACAATTGTAGACATGGTCTGTGAGTAGCAGTGTTTGCCATCTGATTGAATAATGTAAATATTTAATTAGCAGTCTTATCATGGGGTGTGCAATCTTATCATTCACATGAACAATTTGCATTACCCTCTTGTGTGCTCCTGGATTCACTTCCTCTCGTTCCATCAGCATTTTCATCATTTGTTTCCGCTGTTGAGATGTCGGAGAAACTGTGCTGTTCACGCTCATGGTTCCGTAGTTGACTCTGTCAGAAAAAAACACCCAGTAATGTCAACAAAGCAACGAGCCATACATTTACATAGAAAGAATCTAAGAGATAGAATACCAATCTACAAGCATTTTGAGGGGAACTGCTAACCTCATTGGACAATTTGCACATACATTGTAAATGGTCAAACATAACCAATTAACCCTTTGAGCACTATACATCTCTTGCAGTAGCTTTCAAAACCCAATAATGAATGGAAATCTACAACACAGCGGCCATTTCCCGATGCCAAATAAAAACACAAAGCCATATGCTTAATTTACAGGTTGTAAGCTACTGGAAGTCTTCAATGACACTACATATATTTAAGGGGCAATGGCAAAATAAAGTTTCATAAATTAAAAGCTGGGCCAGAACTTATTTTGCAGAGGTTCCAGCAAACATCTAAATAATCTTTAAATAATCATTAGAAAGGGAAATCATTCAAAAACATACAGCTAATGGCTTAATTGGAGGCTTTTTCTGATCTAAAATTCTAATCAGATTATTATGATTTCTCTCTCACATCAAACTGCCATATTGCTCGAAAAGGCATTGAACATACTTTACAATATTAAATTCACCATTCAGAAATATTAAGCAGTGGTCAAAAAGTCCTATTTAAGAAAGTAGGATATCTATAAAATTTGCAATTACAGTAAAATTGTATCCTGTTTTTACATGGTGCCAGGGACACACAAATCATGACAACTCAAATTACACCTCCATCAACCTCACATCCATAGCGCAGATCTATTGAGCCATTAAGCGTGAATGTACTGTTGGTGTGTAATGCCATTTGAATTAAGCATTGCATCATTATTTTAGTTTCTACAAATGCTCAGTGCGATGCACATTTCGAAGCAGCGAAACGATTTTATTTGAATACCCACTTTACCTTGTAATAAAAGGTTTCGTTACATTGCTTGCAATGGTACATCCTGGTCTTGCAGTGGTTAATCATATGGCTCTCGAGCCCATTGCTGTCTGCGGCAATGTGGTCACAGATAGGGCACTGGTAAGGCTGCCTCTGCCGGTGCACTCTTAAGTGCTGCTTGATGTATCCTTTGTTGCTACTGCTATAATGACACAAGCGACAACAATAAGGCCGTTCTGTGTTGGGGATGTACTCCACCAGATTATTTGCTGGTGAACTCAGATCACTTGAAGGTTGACATTGAGCATTATCCTGTAATTCCTTTAGGATATCTTCATCGGAGGCATTTTGATCAGTTCGTTCCCGCAATTTTTCAATTACAGTGAGTAGGGACATGCTGATGCCCATTTTGACTGGTACTTCCGAGAAGCCAGATTTAGCCTTTTCAAGTTCCAAGCCAACATTTGCTGCATTCCCGGAATAGCCCTGACTTGGTGGAATAGAAGTGCCAGCTTCCAAATTCCTCTGCCCTGCATCTGGCTCAGGAATTCTTGTGCTGGGTCTAGTTAATTCGGGCGCTCTTGTTGGTAGTGCAACCAGAACTTCAGCAGCCAATGAATGAAGCCGCAAAGATTCAGAATTGGTTCTCCTTCGCACCGGTGGAACGTTTTCATCGACTGCGGCAAGGTTAGCAGATTTTAAGCCATCGTTATTATTTTCCTCATCATTCCATTGCAGGACAGCTGCTTCTACTTTGGCTGCCCTGACATCTTCTTGATACGTTTTGACAGAATCCTCGTAAAAGACCATGCAAGACTTTTCAGAGATAAGTCTCTTCTCAACTTCAATATCTGGCTTGATCAGAAAGTGTTTTTCTGGGACAGTATCTCCAGCTCCCGGGACACGCTCCACTATAACGTTGACGTGCCCTGCCTTGTTGGAACTGCAGTTAATGATTTTCTGTGCAGAGGAAAGAAGGCTATCGGAAATTGTACTTTCCTGTTCACAATCCAATAACAGAGGCTCTCCCACTAGAATTTCTTCAACTGTAAGGGTGGGTGCTTTTGAGTTGTCAATGCCAGAATCTTTTACAGCACCATCAGAAGGGAAAGATTTGCAATCAAGCGAGTCTGCTATCATAACTGGAGCCACAGTACAGAACTGAAATTGATTAAGCCCGGCGCAATGTACATTCTCTGGTTTGTCTGTTGGCGAAAGAACAATTATTGGCTCATCCTCATGGGATGTGTGGCCTGTAGTTGAGAGTCCTGAGACAGCAGACTCACATTCCTCTTCAAAGATTGGATATGAACAATCAACTTCACCAGCATGTTTCCATGCATGCGTTTTTAACATTCGCTGGCGATCACAGGCATAACTGCAAATCAAACACCTATACATCCCATGCTGGTCAAATGTATACCACTTTCTTGGGCCTGGTTCAATGCTCAATCCAACATGTCTGGATTTTGGGTCATTGCTATCTATGCTGCCAATGGCATTTGATCGTAATTGCTGCTGTATCTGTGGCAGCAGCTGTTTTCTCTGCATCTCTGCTTCCTCAAGATGTACCCAAATATGAGCTTCAAGTTCCTCTTGCCTTTTGGAAATGAAACAACACTCAGAACACATCAACACCACTTCATCTGAATTGCCGTGCTGTTCAAAGTGCTCCTTTAATTGTAGAAAAGTCAGGGAACTAAACTTACACAAATTGCACTGGTACCGGGTGAGTTTCTTGTGCAAATCTTTGTGAGTTACAAGGTCTTTAGATATTGTGGTAGCAAAGTTACAGCTTTCGCATGTATAGATTTCTGTGCTGCCATGACCACGTAAATGTTCATAATACACAGCTTTCTCTGGACTAACAAACTCACAGAGGAGACAGCAGAAGTTTTTTGAAATTTGTGTTGTTGCTGCAGAGTTAGGAGGTCTCACATCCAGTCTTTTGCAACTCTCAGGCAGACTTTCTGTTATAAAGTACACTTGGTTAACAGACGGCTCGTTGTTCAGTGCATCCATGCTTGTGTCCACCGATTTCTTGGCTGTTGTATCACAGTTGTCACTATGTTCAATCCCATCAACACTTTTCCCATCAACAGAAGCATTTACGTATGGTCTCTTTTGACCAGCTATAGAACACTGTTTTGATCTTCCTTTCTCCACTATCTTACTCAACTTTTCAATCACCTGAATTAACGAATTTGATCGCTCCATTTTTGAAACGGACACTTCGCTATCTACAAACGAAGGAACTGCTAGCTGTTTCAGAAGACGTCCATCACATTTGTATTTTGTTTCATAGTCATGGTTTTGTAGATGAGACTCTCCAACAGCCTTTGAGAGAAGAACACTGTCCTGGCAGTTGTTGTGTTGCACTAACACGGCAATACTGCTAGATGCTTGCATTATACCTTTTTAAAAAAAAGTAAGTTAAGATATAAATTTTTAAAAGTAGAATTATTATATTTCTTAAAGGATACATGTAAACAGAACCATCTCAAGATTTTGCAAACTCTTCCTGGATTATTCTATGTACTGCATCATATTTGAATCTTACACTCATTGCTAAGAATACTAAATAAGATCTTGGTTCCATTTAATTAATAGCCTACAGTGCCTGCAATTTTTGTGTGTGTGTGTGTGTGTGTGTGGTGGGGGGGGGGCACAGTGGACTGCCAGAGGTGCTGTCCTTCAAATGGACATTAAACCAAACTTCTGTCTGCATTTTCAGGTGTTAAAGATCCCAAAGCCTTACTTGTAAAAAGGAGCATTTCTTGGTGTCCTAGCCAACTGCTCCCCAGATGAAATTGTGCATTTCACTTCATGCCCTTGTGGGACATTGCTGTGCACAAATTGGCTGCCATGTTTGCCTACCAAGATACAGTCATTGCGCTTCACAATAAAATCCTGTAAAACGCTCCATGTCTCAATGATGTGATAAAACTAAATTCAAGGATTATTTTAAAGTAGCTTCCAACGAATAAGGATTAGCACAGCACACATGCTAAAGCTGCATCTTAACCTCCTCGAAATAAAAACTGATATATTTTGTACCATGTCTGAAAAAATACTCCTTCCAGTCCTCACTTTTCGCATTTCCATACTTCTGCCAAAAAATAATTTCCTGTGTAAATGTCTTTCGTTTCTATTTGTTAAATGTGCATGACATATGAAATGTTTTGTAAACTTGGCTCTGCAACTTGTCTCTGCAAGATAGCCAGGAACAAAGGCTGCCTGTTGGAATCTTTGACAGCTTTATAGGCACTAACAGAACTAAATGCAGCAAACACAAATCAAATTTCCAGTCACTGACTTCTTCTTTATACCTCAATAATCTCTTTTAAAGAGCTTTTATTGATGTTATTACGAGTGGAAATGCAAATCACAACAGATTCCCATCAGTTCAAAAGAAAAAGTTCTGAACTAGCAAGTTGTGCTTTTGCATCCCAAAGTCACTTAAAACGTATTTACTGTGGCCATGAGAGTTGTCAGTTTCTAGTTGTGCTCCAAATGGGAGTGCTAATGTATCAGTAATAATAATACTTGCATTTAGTACAGTGGCTTATCGTGTTAGAAGGATGTTTCACATGATTTACTGTGAAATGGAGTGACTTGTGTATTTGTAGACAAACATAGGAACACAATTGCATCCAGCAATATCCCACAAACAAGTGAGTGATCAATTTTATTTGGGGGAATTGTTTGCCAGGACACCAGGAGAAACTCCCTTCTCTTTTCGCCATGGGATCTTTAATGTCCATCTGAATAGGCTGAGGAGACCTCAGTTTAACTTCTCATCTGAAAGGCACCTCCAACAATGCAACAACTCCGCATTGGAGTGTCAGTTTAGACTATGCACTATTCAAATACCACAATCTTCTGACTCAAAGGCGAGTGAAGCCAGAGCCAAGATGATACACCAGGCCAGTACCAGGCAGTAGAAAATATTTCCACTTTTGAGACTGAGTATCAGCACCAAAACACAACTGTCAGATATGGCACAACCAGGTAGGTAATAGATTCATTCTGCTGTATCCCCAAACTTACTTTAATGACAACCTTAAATGAGCAGTCATGCCCCTGTTCCATCAATAGATTTTTTTTTCCATTTTTTCCATTGTGGTGCCGAGGGAAACCCTACACTGGACAATTAGTGCTAAATTATGGCCAAGTTTGTGTTTCAGATTTTCACCCAAAAGGCTGAGCAGCCGAACCTAAATTGACATGCAACATTTACAGTCTAAGACTTTCATCTGATCAGTCTGGGCGGGTCTGAAACACAAATCCCAGATTTAAAAGGACCAATCTTTAATTTACAACAACAAGATTACATTTATATAGTGCCTTTCACGTCGGGAGGGCGTTCCAAGGCGCTGGACAGAGTACAGCATTTCAGACCCGAGCTGGGGTCGGGGGGGGGGGGGGGGGGGGGGGAGGGGAGGGCATGGTCAAAGAGGAGGGCTTGAGGTGGGGCTGGAGGAGGTTAAGGAGGGGGCGAGGCGGAGTGACTGGGGAATGGAATTCCAGAGGTTGAGGGCGGAGTGGCTGAAGGCTCTCCCGCCAATGGTGGGGCGGGTGGGTCGGGGGAACGTGGAGCAGGCCGGAGCCGGCTGAGCGGAGGGAACGGGCTCTGTATACAGTTCTTTCTTTGAAAGCTCAGATTCTAACTCCTGCTAATCAGTCACTATAAAAACGTTTCAACATTTGCGCTTAGCATGAAAATTAACAACCTCTTTTAACTCGATCTTCAATATCCTCCATGCAGCTTTAAACAAATAAGTACTTCTACAAAAGACGTTACTGCTGCATTCATTAAATACCTCCCATTTTTAAAAAAAAATTGTGAAGATGGAAACATTTTAACCGTGCAGAGACTGAACTAATCTGGCCAATCAGTGCCAGATTAGTTGCAGTGCTCAACTCGTTGTTCCACTGAAAAATACAGTAATGAGCTACATGTATGGGGTGGGGATCAGAGATGAAGGAAAGATGCTGAAAACTTAAATCATGTGACAAAACTCCATGTTTCAATCCTTAGGTTTGGGAATAACAGGTGTATTAATTACAAGGCCAACTCGTTATCTGCTAAATGTTTATGTGAAAAATATACTCAAAAGCAAGGGTCTTGTCCTGAAACACTTATTTATTAAACATTCTTTTAATGGAATCTGAAGTGCACAAATGAACTTGTGTGCTCTAAAGGTTTCAGAGGCTCATTCTCTAGTTAAATAATTCTGACAAGTTCAAATTTGACTTTAAGGCAAACATAGTTCAGGATCAGCTATGTGCTAATAGTTTAATATTTGTTCTGGCATTAAATACTCTAATATCCAAATCTTTCTATTAAGCCACTATGTTAAACATATTGATTTTTCAATCTCAATATCTCAAAGTTGCAGTTGCAAGATTTAACTCAACAGCCGAACACTTGAATCAAGATTTCGAGCAAGCCTGAAATTCAGCATTGCAAATTGTTGAACTTGCCCCATTAAAACATTATTCACAGAAGGCATAAGATTCTTATTATTAATTAACAGCCAATGGTTCAGATACATACTCTGAATTCACTCCGAGTGTCAACGGTGTCAAATGACTAACAGTAAGAGCTAAATACATGTGCACAGAGTTCGGATTCCAATGATCGTAGCCTCTATTACTCCCTTCTTGAATGTAGAAACTTATTCTGACATTCAAAGTTCTTTTTCAACAATTACTTTGGAATTACTGTTGGTAGAATTGCTACTTCTATTCCAACAATCTGCAAAATTAAAACAAAGGTGCATAATTTTGCTGCTACTATGACAGGCTAATCTTCTTGTTTACAACAAGAAGAACAAGCAGCTGCAAGTTTTCACTCAATCACCTGCAGTAGTAAGGAACATGGAACAAGCCATGCCCGGAGTTTCAGGCTAAAATTCAAACTTACTTAAAGAACCCAGCAGTTATTACACAATATTTTCTAAAAAAAGCAAGATTGCCATTGTTTTCCTTCAAAAATTACATTTCTACCTTCACTCAAGGAGCTGTGTACAATATCCTGGGTACAATCTACCCTGCAGGTTCTCAGCTTAATGACCATTCTCCACAAATTGGCTTTCACAGGGCATTTGGAGTCCTGTAGCTCAGTGGTTAGAGCACTCGTCTTGCAAGCGAGACACCTGGGTTCAATTCCAGGCAGGGCGAAACCTTGGGCAAGTTTCCTTACTCCACACGTCTAATAATAATCCCTCTAAAACCAAAAACAATAATAAATTGGTCATTTACAATCTACGACTGTGGGACATTGCGGTGCGCAATTGGCTGCCGCGTTCCCCCACAAATATACAGTCAATTCACTTTACAGTGTGTTCTGTGAAGCCCTTTGGGACATCCTCCCAACGTGAAAAGCGCTATATCAAATGCAAGTATTATTATTATTATTGCAGTCCATATGACCACTGGAGAAATCAATTGTACCACACCTGTTGTTATCTTCTGAACTATTCATCTTCAAGCTCCATATAGATAATTTCAATTGATCTTTACTAAACCACGCTATCAGGGAAGCCTGAATATTGCCTTTCTGAAAAGATTTGGAGTCAGTTTTAGGTTTTTGCAAGATAAAATGTAACTTTGTGGTAGGCAAATATTCACTGTAGTTTTTAACCAGTTGTTCTCGCTCAAGCAAGTAAAAAGGCTAGAATTCGACCAAGACATTGTGAAATAAATTAAAACCCAAATATAATAATGAAAATTCAAATCTCACTGGCTTTCAAGAAAAAAACTTATTGGTTCTGTAATTAGAAAGCTAGTGAACTCAATTCTGCTACTGTTTTCTCTCTTCAAAACAATATAGCATATGTACCTGCACAATACTCTGACCGGAACGATTTGCGCTGCTATTTATCAAATCAAGTCAGTTCTATATTGGGGTCTTATTCTATGTTGTGAACACTTCCTGTCACTTTTGATACACATTTTCTTCCAGAAGGCTATCAAGTATTACTAGAATGTTGAATTGCAGTGTGGAAAGTTACATTTCTCAACGGCAGCTTGTATGTAAAAAGCAACGCTGCAGGCAATAATGTGGTAAAAGGGGGTACTAAATCAAGCTGGGCAATTGAATTGCCAGCATGGCAGGATGTGCTAGCACGAAACTCGGTAGTTCAAATGACGTTTGTTAAAAATAAACTACTTGCTGGTGGTGGTAGTGGTGGAGGGAGGAGGAGGAGGAGGAGGAGGAGGTGACGGTGGGGGGGGGGGGGGCGGGATGAGAGAGGAGGACCCCAACAATTCTGAACCGCTTCTCTACGCCGACCACATCCACAGACGAGAATCAGCGGCTTTTGATCTGATCTCTCCCCGAGCTCAGACTAACATGCAGAGGGTATAACCCCCGCCCCACCACACACACAGACACATACACACTGACACACACACACAGAGACGCACAGACACACACAGAGACACACACACACACACATACACACACACACACAGACACACACACACATAGACACACACCCACATAGACACACACACACACAGAGACACAGACACACACACAGAGACACACACACACACAGAGACACACACAGAGACACAGACACACAGAGACACACACAGACACAGAGAGAGACGCACAGACACAGAGAGACACACACAGAGACAGACACACAGATACAGAGACAGACACACAGACACAGAAACACAGACAGAGAGACACACACACACACACAGACACAGAGACACACACAGACACACACAGACACAGAGACACACACACACAGACAGACAGACACACACACACACAGACACAGAGACAGACACACACACAGACACACACACAGACCGCCCGCTGTCACACACAGCACGTCAGTGTCAGTCAAGTCATTTCCAGGCAGAGGCCGTGGTCCCCGCAGGAGCGGAGAGGAGGGACGGGGAGGGGAGCGCAGGCCCCCGAGCCTCGCCGCGGGAGTGAGGGGCAGCGGCTCCCGCCGCGCGCTGTGACAGCCTGAGGGGGCGCCGCGGCCGCCGGGGTTTTGATCTCAAACACTCAACGTTTTACCTGAGGATCGCGCTCCTCCGCTCGGCCCGAGTATGGCCACGAGCCACGGCTGCGCGCATGCGCCAGCTACCAGCTCTCGCGACGTCCAGGGAACGGGGGGGGGGGGGCGTTCACTGCGAGACTTCGGGCAGATGGGCGGGGCCTCGATGGGGATGGGCGGGGCATCGAAAGGGGGGGAGAAGCCCCGCCCCTCACCGATAACTCCGCCCCCTCAAGACAACAACAACAAAGGGCTGGACAGTCAGGGTATCCCCATCGTCCCTTAATCCCTTTATCCACCAGACGTCCATCGATCTCGGTCGCGAACACGTTCAAGGACTGAGCATCTGCAGCCCCTTTGGGGTAGAGAATTCCGTACATTCGCTGCCCTCTGAGTGGAGAGGTTTTTCCTCAACTCCGGCGCGAAAGGGCTTACCCCGAATTTTAAGACCGTGACCCCTGGTTATAGTTTCTCCAACCAGGGGAAGAAGTCTCCCGCTATCTGTCCCCTTCATAATCTTATAGGTTTCTGTAAGATCACCTCTCGTTCTTCTATATTCTGGAGAATACAGGACTAAATTGCACAACCTATCCTCATAACTCATCCCCGTCATCCCAGGTACCAACCCAGTGAATCTATGTTGTACCCCCTCCAAGGCGAGTACATCCGTTCTTTAATAAGGAGACCAAAACTGCACACTATACTCTAGGTGCGGTCTCACCAGGGCCCTATACAGTTGCAGCAAGACTTCTGTAAAGAATTCAGACTAGACAAAAGCTAAAGTCTAATTCTATTTAATACAAAAAGCTCATAAGTCAGTTTCCCTGACCCGTAATGAAACAATACTACCAGATGACTGGAGGACTTCCCTTCTATGGTCAGCACGTTCACAGCTATTAACCCACGAACAAAGACAAGTTCAAAGTTCCAGTCTCACCATTATTTATAATTAAGTGTCCCATAAGGTTCTTCTTCGTGCAGGATGCAACTGCTTCCTGTTTTCCACTCATCCTTCTGCTTTGCACTCCACACCGCGACCTTGGTTCTGTTGTTCAGACTTGGTTGCCCGCATCCATCATTCAGCTATCCCACTCTTGTGTAGCCAAGGTCTCAGAATACCACATTCCTTCTCCATAATCAGCATCCTGTACCCTCCTCATTATTCTTCAATCAACAAACTTACTCATAAGAGTGATAACGCTTTTACAATTTACATCTTACATCTGCTTTGATTGCATTTACTCATGGGACTGCTTTAACTACTATGAGATTATACAGCATATATTTAAACATAACACTGCCCTACTCTTATATTCTAACCCTTTTGTAACAAATGCCAACATACCTTTAGCCTTCCTAATTGCTTGCTGTACCTGCAAACTAACTTTTTGTGAATGGTGTACAAGGACACCCAAGTCCCTCTGAATTCTAACACTAGTCTCTCCCATTCTAAAAAATAATCTGCTCTACTGTTTTTGCCACCCAGGTGGATAACTTCACACTTCCCTACATTATACTTCATCTGCCACCTATTTGCCCACTTACCTAGCCTATCTATATCTCGTTGCATTTTTTAAATGTCATCCTCGGTGTTTACTCTCCCTCCTAGTTTAGTGTCATCCGCGAATTTGGATATATTAAATTCGATTTCCTCATCTAGAACGTTGATGTAGATTGCAAATAGTTGAGGCCCAAGCACTGATCCTTGTGGCATTCCACTAGTCACATCCCACCAATCTGAGAAGGACCTGTTTATCCCTACTCTTTGTTTTCTTCCCGTTAGCCATTCTTCAATCCATGCTAATATATTCCCCTTAATTCCATGGGCCCTAATCTTGTGGATCAACCTTTTATGCAGCACCTTATCGAATGCCTTTTGGAAATCTAAATACACTACATCCACTGATTCCCCCCTATCTAATCGACTTGATATGTCCTCAAAAAAATCTAAAAGATTTGTTAAGCATGACTTCCCTTTTGCAAAGCCATGTTGACTCTGTCTAATCATATTGTGATCCCACTAGTACCCCATCCTTAATTAAGGATTCTAGAATTTTCCCTACCACCGATGTCAGACTAACTGGTCTATAGTTCCCCATCTTTTCTCTCCCACCCTTCTTAAATAGTGGTGTGACGTTTGCGATCTTCCAATCAATGGGAACCGTTCCAGAATCCAAAGAATTTTGGAAGATCAGACACAAAGCCTCCACTATCTCATGAGCTACCTCTTTTAAAACCCTGGGATGCAAACCATCAGGTCCAGGGGACTTGTCACTTTTTAATGCCAACAATTTCCCTAGCAACAATTCTTTGCTAATGTAAATTTCCCTAAGTTGTTCCCTATCATTAGCCCCTTGGTTCATCTCTTATCCTTATATCCTTATTCCCCATTATAATTCCTCCTGTCTCTGCTGTAGTGGACCCACATTTACTTTTGCTAGCCTATTCCTCTGAATGTATTTATAAAAACTCTTACAATTTGTCTTAATGTTCCTAGCTAGCTTGCCCTCATGATCCATTTTCTCACTCTTAATGAGCCTTTTGGTTTCCTTTGTTGGTCCCTAAAACACTCCCAGTCCTCAGGTTTGTTACTCTTTTTGGCAGTTTATAGGCCTTTTCTTTTAGTTTTATACTTTCTCTAACTGCTCTATTTAGCCACAGATGAACTGCTTTCATTGTGGTACTCTTATGTGGAGTCCTGTAGCTCAGTGGTTAGAGCACTCGCTTTGCAAGTGAGAGACCTGAGTTCAATTCCAGGCAGAGGGCGAAACCTTGGGCAAGTTTCCTTACTCCACATGCCTAATAATAATCCCTCCAAAAACCCCAAAAAAACAATAATAAATTGGTCATTTTCAATCTACGATTGTTTGTGGGATTGCTGTGCGCAATTGGCTGCCGCGTTCGCCCACAAATATACAGTCAATTCACTTTACAGTGTGTTCTGTGAAGCGCTTTGGGACGTCCTCCCGACGTGAAAAGCGCTATATCAAATGCAAGGATTATTATTATTATTATTATTCCTCAAGGGAATATGTGACCGCTGAGAATTATGCACTACATCTTTAAATGTTTGCCATTGTTGGTCTATTGTCATATCCATTAATTTAATTCCTCAGTCTATTTTAGCTAATTCTTCCCTCATCGCTCTCTAACTTAATACTAAATTCTATCATGTTATGATCACTCTGCCCTAGGGGAGCCTTAATATCTATATTACCGACTAGCCCTGTTTCGTTACACAAAATAAGGTCTAGGATGGCCTGTCCCCTAATTGGTTCCTCAGCATACTGCTCCAGAAAGCTATCTCTCATACATTCTATAATGTATAATTCTGGCATTTGATTTATCACGTTGTTGAGACGTCTCAAAGCACTTCACAGAATATATTGTAAAATGGAGTGACTGTGTATTTTGTGAGTGAAAATACATGAAGGTCTGTTCCACCAATCTTATTATCCTGGACAGAACAGCTAAAACATTAATATATAGTGAATGGATCTTTAAATGAGGAATAAGTGCAGCATAACTATAACTGCTCAATGAACATGGCAGCTTTATGTCCAGAATGGTGTCCAGACACAGTTCAACAGCTGACTGATGTGATGTGTGCATACTGTTCACATCTCTGAATATTTGGATGAACTTAATATAGTGCGTATGTACGATTCTGTATCTATGTTCAAATCTCAAGTTCCCTTACTACAGGTTTTTCAAATTATCTTTGACTATTCAGCATTATTTCAATGAAAAGTTTTTCTACTGTAAAAATATTATCTTCCAGGGACATTGGGTGTATTTCAGGACATACTTTTTTTTCAAAGCATTTTCATTTTTAGATATATAGATTGTAATTTTGAATGATGGGAACCAAATTCTACAAATACAGCAAAGTTGGCATGTGGACCAGAACTTTATTTAATAAAGTAACGGCTGTGACTGTAATTCTAAATCATTTTTTCAGATAGCACAGGCTTTATTCAAGATCCAGCTGCAGGGGTTATTATGTCAGTGCAGTTGGTCACTGTAAATTTCATTTTTGGTAACTCATACGATATTTGTCTCCCATATTTCAGGAGTTTTGGGATCATGGAACAACTTGCTCAGGGTTTTTATAGGTCATGGGAGATTCAAACTACAACCCGTGAGACTCCAGTATATTCTGAGATGTCTCCACTGTTTGCAATTGATCTAATGAAAATATATTTCTTTGATTATTTTGAATTTCATATTTTATAATATAATATGCCATACCTCCGCCTATGGAGAATCAATTGCAATGAGAAAATATTCCAATAAGGAAAATACTGCACTGCTTCAAAGTACTGTTTATTTTCCCCAATAGGACATCTAAAGATCTCTAACACAAAGGTTTCTAGAGGAATTTCTTTTCAAAGCTGACTACACTGGCCGTTTTTGAAGTTTTCTTTAAGCAACCTGGTTTGTTTAATATTTGTGCAATGGATAATTAAAAACTTCCTTCAAAAGCATTGGCTTAATACAAATGTTTGATTTAATTATCGTGATCACAAATTTGTTGTGGAAAACTTGTCACCAATGTATTCTAAGGATTGCAAGGCACTTTAATTTAGCATTTATAAGATCAAAAGAGTAAATACAATATATATTTGGAATATATATTAAATACGCTTCCTATATTTAATATAATAGAGTTAATGTAAAAGGTAATGTTGGCAGATTCTATTTACGCATTTTAGTATCCATTAAAGATCCGTTTGCTTCTGTGTCATAATCTATGGAAGTTAGTCAACCTTATTGAGATTATTATTATTATTATTATCCATACATTTTATAAATATTACCCACCTTAAAAAAAACACAACACTGTTCCACATTTAGACCTTCTGAATGAATACAGTGCGCTGAGGTATTTTTGAATACTCTTAAATATAGATGATGAATAAATAACAGCTGAAGACAATTTAACCTTCAGCTAAACCCCCAATTCGCTCTCTGGAACAAAACAACATTGATATTTTGTTGGTTAAGCAGGACACATTGTACATTTTATTAATTGTCCTATGAAGTCCAAATACGATACATTTACTT